CTCAAAACATAAGATACACTATGACTTACTGGAGAGCGAAGATGTGCTATAAACATGTGTTACTGCACAGACACAAAAACGCCACAGGACTAATACATAATATCCATTTGACTGATGGATGATTGTTATGAATACCAGTTTATGTGATCAAATTAAAGCCAAAGGTTAGCCTTTTTTTGCTCTTACAGTGATGTATTAAATCTAAATTATTCTGATTACTTCAAAAGCACTTGATGTTCAGATTTAAGATTAAAAGTGTAAATTATGACTTATGCGCATCTACAAAAGCAATAAAAAATAGTGCACAATTAAACAGACAAGAGGTGTCTGATTCAGCCCATGTCGGAGTGACTGCTGGTTCAGTTCCTGGGCCAGCCCTGCTGCCTTACATGCCCAACTCTCTTCTCCCCACTTTTCCTTATTATATCCAGCTGTTGTTGTTTTTTTCTAGAACAGCAAAAACTGCCAAAAATGCTTTTAAAATAATCACTATTTTGTAAGCAATTTGTACCTTTTTAAACTATCCTTTTTTTTGAATAATTGTATTTTTTGGCTTAACTTTACTGTTGCGTCATCTGTCTGTCTCTAAATGATTTGTCTTTGACAGATCATTTCTTTTACAGCTATTATTGCTCTCAGTCTGAGTGTCTTCAGTGTGGTCACTAGGTGGCACTGTTGTGAAAGAAACTGGAGAGACTTCTGATAAGAGATCAACTCTGACATGTTTACATATAAGAAGCCAATGCAATGACTTCAACATTTAAGCATATAAACATAGTAAGGTTTATTAAAAGTATGATGGCGACTCGTATTTCAGATTCAGGTAATTTACAGAAACTCTACTTTGGAGTCAAGAACTGTTCCTCCTTTAACATAGGCCATGGTTTTGATCTTACTCATATACAGTGCGCCATGTCTCAGAGAACTCCTTATTTGTCAGTGCGAACAGCCCCATCCGTCACATCATCCCTGTCTGCTGGATTCCCATCGTCCCATAACCCTGTCACTGGTCAACCACAGCACTGATCCCAGCATACCAGCAGTGATTCTGTTACATGAGACGAACTAACTGTAGTGTAAAGGGCTGACTGGAAGGCATGTCGTCTCACTCTCCTCCACTGACAAAGCTACAAAGGACTCAGCTCTTGTTGCAGTGAGACATGGCTGAAATATTTACAGTCACCAGCCCTGGGGTCGACTCCATCAGGCTGGACACAGACGAGTGACACCAGCATGCTCGAAATATTTGCTCTTATCTCATCTCCTGCCAGTAACTTGGAGGCTGTCATTGGACAAAAACAAACCAGTGCACAATCGCAGAGACACTGCGGCTCTAATAGCTGCAGGACTTGAGACGTACAAAGTCAACAATGCTGTCATCAAGTAACCAAACTTGTAGAGTGCACGAATGCTGTTTCAGGTTCTCTGTCATCTCAGCCAATCTGTTCTGGTCTTTTAAATTTATAACAGTGAATCATAAATCATTTCTTTTACTTCCAATATCCTTTTGTTCCAGCAGCTAACAGGATGCCTCTGATCACAAACACAAACAGGCTTACAGATTTCAGACCTCAACTTGCTGATTATGACCCTTTTCTTATAAACAGTGTGGTACTGGCCACAGCTCTGTCTCTAGCTGCCAAAAATGCAGTTAGTTCAGGTCAAATTATCCCTCCAATGTCTTTCAGCCCAACTGAGCCTAAACAGCATTAGCATTGTGGAACTAAAAAATTGACCAGCGGCTGGAAGATAAACCAGTAGAAGTCCACAGCCACAAAAAGTGCTCATTGATGTACAGTGAATTGATAATGTGCTTATTGTCAAGTGTTGTTATAGTCTTATCTCAGTCAGACTAGGACATCAACTCAAGACATCACATGTGCAGGAGTATTGCTGGTTCAGCAGTCCCACAAATGACCACTGTCTCCTCTTATCCTCGTAGTTTATATTGAGGTTGAGGTTCAACCAGGAGTGTCACCAGGAATTCTGGACACTGAGATATATCACAATGGACTCCAGCACCACAGTCCAATCAATGTAAAGATACAACAATCTGGAAGCTGTGGGATTTGTTCCCTACATTGATAACTGGCATACAGCAATGTCTCTGGTCTCGACAAAGAAATAAGACCTGAAAATGTGTCACATAGGGGAGAGTGGGGTAAGATGAGCCATTTTTCATATTTCTGATCACTACATCAAGGCAGTCATAGTTTTGTCTCTAACTAGTGTATCTGCATATATTTCAAGATGTTGTTCATCCCTGCAAACCAACAGAATGAGTGTAAACATAACTGTCTTGATAATATAGCATGCCAAAAAAAGTGGTCTCCTATGGTCAACTTACCCTGTGTATGGGGTAAGTTGACCATAGGAGCGGGGTAAGTTGAGCCGTATCCCTACTAGCCCTCCACTCTCCACCCCAGCCCTCCCTCACCTTCTCTCTCCCTAAATAACAGTCACTTCTTCACATTCATGTGTATTTTTATCTATTATACACTATTCAACTGGTACAATAATTATTTTTTATTATTGTTGCATATAGCTGCTAAAAAGCTGTTTTGTAAAAAGTCATTTTCACATGAGAATGTCTTTAAGTGATTCAGAACATTCACAGCTGTATTTTAGAAAGAGAAAGTAAAACATTTCAACAATCTGAACTGAAACTCTGATCCTCTCATCAGACTTCTTTACTTTCTCAGTTAAACCACTGGCTTAACTTAACCCTGAACTACTATTACGACTTTATTAGTCCTCTGAGCTAAAATGGCGGACTTTTATGTTGGTTTTTGTCATGCTGTAGCTCATAGATACCACAATTGATGTATAACACAAAATTTAAATAGTCTTTTTTGGTCTGAAGACAATTCTTGAGTGAAAAATGTTTTTTTGGAAATAAATGTCTAACCTCTTCACCCAGGTGCTTCTAACCTTAACAGACTCCATGAATTGATGCCCATCTCCTAAATATTTGGTCACATGATCAATTTCTTTTACCATTTCCAAGCAACAGGGGGTGGCTCAACTTACCCCACTCTCCCCTATGGAAAAGTAGACTAGGGATGCAAATTCAAATGGTAGGCTGAATGTTAAATCACACATTCACCCCATAGACTGTATATTCACCCTGTCTACAGCTGTAGAATCTAAAGGCCGCCATGAAATGAGCATTGGGTTCATTCTTACCTCCCTCCTGCTCCTGGCCAAACAGCAGCAAGGTTCCTGATCCGATCCTCTTTCAGTCCGGAAGTGCGGCTCTTTTACAGTAACTTTCCGTTAATGGTCCAGTTGTTCCATATTGTAGAAGTGAAGTCTGTACTCGACAATATAAAGGTGGGTTTCCATTGGATAGAGGGTGAAAGTCCCATAAGTGATTGTATCGGTGTTTGGACAAATGTAAATTCCACCTTCTTAATGACTTGCACGATTTACTGCAAAGATAGTGTATTTTTAGCAACTGAGCTAACGTCGCTAGCTTAGCCGTTATAAATTATACCAATATCTTTAAAACTGTTGCGGTTTACCTTATGCGGCACATAGAAAAAATGTGTCTCTTTAACAAGCCTTTGGCAGCTGAGGGTAAGTAGGCCTCTTTGATAGTTTTCCCGGCATTTCCACCGCTCTCACGTGACTGCCGTCAAACCAGCCGCTTCTCGTTTTTTCAGTCAACGCAGTCTTGAATTTCTAAATGCGCATGTATCGGGATAATTACGGTAAACGGCCAGACTCAGCTGCGAGTAGGATGTAAGAGCGGTTTCGTCCTATTATAATTCCCCAGTCATTATAACCGTTGATTATGGAAGTCTTTTCCTGAACTGGCTATGAAATGCAGTGGAGCCTTTACGCACTAGGGGGCACTTTAACCCAATGATTTTTATTCAAATGTTGACTGTTCGCACATCATTAATCCACAAATACTTTCAATAATGAAAAATATTACCGTAAGTGGCTAACTATTCTTCTTTAGCTGTTAAAGGATAGTGCCTGTTAAGTAAATCCTGATTTCATAAATGAAAGGTCTGTTTTGATAAAACTATTTAAGAGGAGTATTTTGATTGGCTGAAAAAAGAAGCCATCTGATGAAAGGGAGGTAAGGAGCCTTCTCATAAGCTAGATAATAGAAGCCTTCTGATTGGCCGACTGGAAGCAGGCCTCTGATTGGCTGGATAGAAACGAGCCCTCTGATTGGTTGAATAATGCCTCTTTCCGAGGAGCAGATTTCTATTTACCTGTTCTTTTACATATTTTCTCTCCTTCTCCCTGTGCTGGAATCAAACCCTGGACCATTCAACTGACAGTTGTCACCATTAACCATTGCACCACAGGGCTGCTTGGTAGTGCTCCTTTTTTTTATTTATTTCTATTCCACCATTATTATGATTATTCCTTAAAAGTACATCTCAAACAACATTTGAAGAAGGGGTTTCTTTTGTATCTTGCACGGGCAGCCCCTGGATTTGAACCCAAAATATTTCATTGAAAGGAAGGGAGAGGCAGCAGCCTTTAACGCCACAGGTCAGCCTTGCTGAGTTTGCTTTTTAGGTGTTTTCATTTCACCGTTTCATTGTTCAAAAGCACAACTTCAACTACATGTGAGGAAAGCATGTCCTTCCACACTCTTAGGTGCTATTTTGCAGGGCTTGCTTGTTGTAATTTGATCTATTTTCGAAGCTGTGTTGATATAAAGCACAGTCTAGACTGCAGTTGTAGAAAGTAAGAGATTTCCAGCCAAAGAACGCCCCCTTGCTTAGATTTGACCTCAGTATTTGCCATGAAGTGCTGCTTTACATTTAATTGCTCCAGTAAATCTCAATTCTATTACAATGTGTTTATTCAAAAGCACAGTTCAGACACCTATGATAGTAGCCAGGTCATGCTGGCTTTAAATGTGTGGGTCAATGCTGGATCCCAAGACCTGTGTATTGTTATACATCAGCGTTACCCATCACACAGTTTCAGCACACAAAGACAAAACTAAATTCACCAAAAATTACCCACGATAGTTTTTACACTGTGGTAGAGCCATTTATTTTGACTTTATTACAACCAGCAAAGAAAACCACATGTGTATGAATTTAACAGTTTATTTCATAATTCATAAAATTATGCAGAAAAATATGTTATATATATATATCCAAAAAAAGTGCTCATTTTAATGAGCTAAAAGACATTCAAATTAAGACACTCTGCATGTATATTTACAACATAAGTTCAGGACATCAAAATACATCAGGATGAAAAATTGCTATAAGAAAGTCAGCTGTAAAGTGTCTTTATGTCCTCAGTATATAATTCATTTTCTAAGTTGTCTTTATCCATACTTAATCTAAAATGCAATTATGGTCTCATTGTATTTTGTAAGAAAATTAAAATATCTTAAAATGAATCGTGTGAATGGTTTGGGCTTCCAACACACAACAGGAATGCTGCATATTAAGCAGAGCAACATGTAAACACATCATTGTGACAATCTGCTGCAAACCAGTCCTCCTATCATGTTGTGAACTTTTAACTGTCATTGCTTTGGACACTATCTCTCTCATAAGTCTCACCAAGCAGCCTGCATGCCAAATAATAAAACGTCTAACTCGCTGTCATCATTTTGATATTGAACAACAGTTCAACAGGGACCTTTAAGACTGCAGTTAATGAAGGGAGCTGCCATTCTTGTGTTCATGCAAAGAGTGGTTTCTCAGTTCCTGTAAACAACAATAAAATGTCTGCTCTTGAGAGAAAGGAGCGGCTTTAAGTTTAATTATTGGCAGAAATCCATCTAACATGATCTGCAGATGACTTAGAGTTGACGATGATGATCCACTGGTTTTGCCTTGTCCTCTGAAAACATCACTGTTTATAACCATCAGTAATAGAGACACTGTTGATGACTTCTTATGGCACTTAACAGCTGCAAAGTGTGTCTCAAAAAGGTGCAGAGTCACTGTTTCGCAACTACAGCATCACTGACTGACAGACTTTGACGCTTGTGAGGCTCTCAGGAAGTGCTGCTTCTCTTTCTGGTCCTAGGTCTCCTTTTCGTGATTTCCTCTTCCTCTCTGTCGCTTTCACAGTCCCTCTGTACAAAAGAAGATTTGGAAAGTTTGAGTGAAGAAAAGGTTATTTTCTGTGTGGTAATAGGTGACTGGCATCAAAAAACACCAGTGACAAAGTCCACTCAAGAAACTTTGCTTCAGGTTTGTTACATTTGTGCAAAAACTGAAATGTGAACATGTAAATTTCAGGCTATATGAGTGATTATGCAGGGAGGTTCTCTTTGGTCATGAGGACAGTTTCTCTGTGGAATTGTTTCTGGAAATCTTCACTCATTTTATTTTTTCAACAGAGAGCACTCACCCCGTCCTCTTCGGGCAGCTTGTGGCCTTTCTTCATGATCCGTGTTAGGTGGTTGCACAAAGCAACAATTCTGAATGACAGCTGTAGTTGAAGAGAATAAAACATAATATTAATGTAGAGAAACATCCTTATAGAAAAAAAGCTGAAAATGACTCAAACTGTGCACTTTACCTTCCACCTGCGTCTGGCGTATTGTCTCCTAAAATTCTCCAAGTTGACCACTGACAACCTCTTCACCATGGCCTGTCTGGGGTTCAGAGGCTGCAGAGACACAGTGAGGAATGAAATAGCAGAGGCAACACTTTTTATGTGACTGTCAGATGTTATAGTATACCAAAGACCTGGTCTCTGTTTTATTGAAAAAATTTAGGTGTTGGATTTATCAGATCATGAAGCAGAACAGCAAATGACAGAAATTATAAGTATTTATTTCAGTGTCTAAACCACAGTAAAAAATAAGAGGAGGCGTGACTTTCTGTAGCAGTTCTTCACACGTTGAAACCTGATCTTATCTTATTGAGCTGTTTTCCTGTCAGCTTATATAACAGTTCCAAGAAAGAAACAAAAAGGGTTTAAAAATAAATAAATTCAACCTTCATCAAAAGTGCAAATGACAATCTATGAAAATATATTTGAAAAAAAAGTGACTACATGTGTCTTTATAAATGGGTTATCTTTGCAAAATAAAACATTAAAAAAAAGTCTTAAAAAACATGGAATGAAAAAAGCTAAATCAATAAAAAAAAATTGAAATTCTTACACATTCTGACCAATGAAAAAGAAATCTGGGGTCTTTTTTTAACATCAGAACACAGTAAGTGTACATATCCTCAATATTTAACTTCATTAAAATTACTTTTAAAAATAAAGGTTCACAAACAACAGTGCATAATAAACTATAGTAAATTTCAATGATAGGACCATGATAATATTGTGCTTCCATTATGTCAGTATCAACCTTCCCCTTCACCACCTTTACAATCTGAAACCTCACAGTTGGAGTTGGTGAAATCTTACATACCAGCCCATTTGTGTTACTTCAAAATATTGCACCAAAATAATTTTATTTAGAGAAGAAGTTTTTAATAAATTCAGCCAAATTGTTCTTTTCTTGAGGGTTCAGGTGAAAAAAAATGATGTCACACTGACGCCCATAAAAATATGAAGCAGTATTCTGGAGGCTGTTAGATTTAATCAGCTTAGTTTAGGACTAGAAGCTTGCAGAAATAATTTTATGGGTAGGAGCTGACAATATATGTATGTCTAACTAAAACTTCTCAAATGTGTTGCTGTTGCTGCCCCTTTTTAAACCCCAATCCAGTATTTGTGCACTGAAGCTGTTGTGCAGAGTAGACAATAAGATAAAACCTGTTAAAGAGGCGTCATCCTCCCAGTGTAAGGATGAGCTCATACCAGCTGTTTCCCCTGGTTTCCTGCCAAGACAAGCTAATTGTCTCCTGCTGGTCATTCTATTAACCGTATAAAGAAATGAAGCTGGTAAAAATGTAACTCTTGGCAGAAGGATAACTATTAGTTCTTCCTAAAAACCAAAACAAAAAAGCTTTTGTCAGTTCTTTGACTAAAATAATCTGAGGTTGAAAGATAAAAAACATTTAAAGAAAAGCTACAGACTACTCAGCAGTACATCTAAAATTTGTGTTGCTGATGTTTTTTCCTTGTTCTAAGAGGGAAAAAAAGCGTCCCGATTTTAAAGATGAATAAAAAAAGTCTCATTAGTTGGACTCTGTTAGAGTCGGTTTGGCATCGCGGCACGGTTCTCCCCTGCAGGATGAGTTCAGCAGCTCCTTCAGTGCCTGCCTTGTGTTTGTATTCAGGCTACTGCAGTGGATACTGTCATTGCCTCCTTCAGTGTAAAAAGAGCCCATCACCTCCTGCAGCCACTGCAGCTCAGAGTTTAACTCCTGTCTCAGAGCATCCAGCTGATTCTGCCTCTGACTGTACTTTCCATTGATCGCCTCCAGACTGACGTCTACAGCCTTGATGTCGTCTTGCAGCAGCCTCCTTGTGGCCTCCGCTTTACGAAATTCGTATCGGACTTGTGACAGCTGCTTTCTTGCAGACTCGCTCTCCTCCTTGTACCAGGCCTCCTTGTCATTGTAGATGGAGAGTAACGCTTCTATGTCGTCCTGTAGGTTGTGCCTGGCTCCTGCCACCTCTGACAGCCTGGTCTCCATCAGGCTGACATCCTCCACCACACAAGCAAAACGCTCAAAGTTGGCATATGTGTTGTTCTGGGACACACTGGAGTGGCTCTGGATGGTGTACTCCTTTAAACGCTTTGTCTTCAACTGCTCTGTTTTCTTCTCGGCCTCAGGAACAGCACTTTCCTCCACCGTGCGACCACAGGACTTCAGACAGAAGGATGGGGGGACACTGCGTGAGAGGGTATCTCATTGTTGCATCTTGAAAACACACACACACAGCTGGGAATATCCCAGCACATGTGGCGGATCTGTAGGATTAGTGTGTGACCCTACAGCAGAGAAGCCATGGCAGGTAAAGGCGCCAAAAATACAACGGGACATTCCTGTTGAGTGTGTTATGTTTCCTGGCCTCATGCTTGAATCCAAACAGGATGAAGACTCCACAGCAAAAACACCATTCACATGCATGTCAGCGGCTAATGTTGGAGCGGACTTCTTCAACATTGCAGATTGTTAAAAACACAATTAGTGAATCTTGCTTCGGTTCCATGACGAAATTATTACATAAGACTGAAAAAAATGTGTTTGGAGCTCCGTGTCTTCATGGGTCAAGGGTGGGAAATAATATTCCCAGAGTGGGGGTGTGGTACATTTGTGAAAACAACATACAGATATTGTGACAACGTGTGTTTTAAAAAAAAAAAATCTGATTTTATGTAAAAAGTTCGAGGGTGTTTTTGTTTTGCATTTTTAACCCAGCTTTTCCTCTGACAGGAAAGCTCACTGTTATCTGTTTAATACCTTTGACAATAACTGTTAAATGTTATTTCACATGTAGCAAGTGATGGTTGCTGTTATGGAGAGTACAAAGACATGCTACAACGCCAATAAATCTAGTGCATACCTTTATCCAGTGATGGCCCAGGGCGTCCTGAATGGTCATTCGTTTTCTAAAATGATGAGATAAGGAAAATGCAGCTGAGTCAATACATTCAGTTGACTCTGTCAGACATAAGGCATTGTGGTGAGCAGTCACACATTACAGTGTTAGCCTCCCAGGAGGAGAGCAGAGTTGACTTTTGCAGAAATATTCAGTTTCCCAGAGGTGTATTAAACTAGAAACATATGTCAGGTCAAATCAAAATCACATTGAACAAAGAAAGGAAAGTATTGCACGTGTCTGTAAGCCTGACATTTTTATTTTACAGCATAAATAATGTTTATGGGATATTCCAGCGTAAAATTAATTTACAGTCAAACACACTGTAACACCAAGTTAGACACCCCCTCTAGAGCTAAATGTTGCCGACTGCTTGCTTCTCTAGTTTTTCCAACTTTAGTAAAGACCGCACGATAGCAACACACAGCGGTCTGAGGAGCCATAAACAAACCTCCCTATAGCCACAAATAATGCTCAGAACAGCACCTAACTTCATCAACAGTACATATAGGGTCCCAGCCACCAAACATCTTTTTAACTTTGCCTAATTTCTTTAGCAAAGAGACTAAACACAACTCACCTACTCTCTTCCAGCAGCCACTTGTTTGTAGTGAGACTTCAGGCCAGTCCATTACAGACTACAGCGGGTGACGCAGCTCAAGGAAGAACATTTATGATAATTTCTTCATGGAAATGCAATCAGACTAAGACACTAAGGCAGAAGAACTATAGCGTCTGCAGTGCAAAATGATGAATATGGTGATTATTACTTCAAGGAAATGATAAAGTAATGATCATAAATGTTCTTCCTTGAACTGCGTCACCCCGCTGTATTCCGTAATGTTACAGTGTGTTTGACCATAAATTAATTTTACGCCAGAATATCCCTTTAAGTCCTCTAAATCTAGATTTCTGTGGATCTAATGTGTCCTGGCTTCGCTGAAACACACGCTCTGCTTCTGGGATTGTTCTATTACTAATGTCAGACTCGACCTTTGACCTTTTTCTGATGGTTATTTTACCTTTTATCCTTCTCAAGGAGCTGTCTGATGAAGCTCTTGGCCAGCTCACTCGTCTTGCAAAAGAGCTCCTCGTCAAATTGGTAGTTCATGGCTGAGATGTTTCCCAGCGTTTCCTGCTTTGAGTCGCCGAGGAAAGGTGACGCGCCACTCAACCTGAGAAGATATTTGCATGTTCACTTTGACGCTCCCTGATAATCTCTTTAAAATTGTTAAAAACTCAGTATATTATTGAGATTCTCTTGAACTTACAGTATATAAGTGATGACTCCAATGCTCCTGTGAAAATACAGCATATAGTTCATCTGAATGTGCACTGAAGCCTATTTTACAGAAGTCAGAGGTGATTACAGACTCTTACCACATATCCGCCTCCAGTCCCAGAGGCTCATAGTTGACTATCTCTGGAGCTGTAAATAGAAAACACACACTTCTGAATCAAACACTTGAAGGCCTTCCTATAAAATGACCCAAACATGCCGAATACAAGAAACACTCACCAACAAATTCAGGGGTGCCAAAAATGTTTTTAAAATCCTCCCCAGCTTCTATTTTGTGTGCCAGTCCAAAGTCTATGAGTTTGATGCGGGGCAGAGCAACATTTCTGTCCAGCAACATGATGTTTTCAGGCTGAAGTGCAAAAAAGGACAAAAGAGAGAGGCTCACTTATCAATATGTTAACCCAGATACCAAGATTAGGTGGTAAATTAATAATCCTTGTGATGCCATTTACCTGGGAAAGCTGCCTTTTTTCGTAAGCATTAGAGAAAAACATGCAACAGTTACAGACACACCTGTTCATTTAGAAAATCTAGTTCACCAGTCTTTACCTAATGCATAATGAGAATGAGAAAACTCTATTTTTCTGAAGAATTTCTCAGCCAATCAGAGGAAAGTACAAGAAGTTGGTGGTTTAACTTAGTTTAATAGTTAATGAATAACTTAAAACGGATCTCCTTGTAAAAATTCTACAAATATCCCCATGTTAGGCAGCAACTTTTATGGTTGAAACTTTTCTTACAGCCCTTAAAATTGACATTGTAAACATTCCCTTTGAATATTATCTTTCAATTAGCACTGAGAAAGAAAGTTTAGTGATAGCAATCATTTCATGTGTCTCAGTGCAAGAAAAAGAAGAATATAATCCAAATCCAAAAGCTGCTTCACATAATTCAGCAGGCTTGCAGATGTAAGACCTCCCTGTGTTTGCCTGATCCTGATCAAACAGTACCAAAGGTCACTAAATCTGAAACTCAAACACACGGCCACATTTTCCCCAGTTAATCTGCTTGAACAAAAAACATTCAGAGCAAATGAGTGTGCACATCCGTCAGTGCAAACTCAGGGTCAGAATGAAGTTCTTCACTGCATCACAAAAGGCTACAAGAATGTAGAAGAGCTACAGACAAACAGGACAATGACGCTCAGTGAGGAGCGACTCTGCTCTCTGAAAACGAACTGATAACCTTGTGGTGTCTGAATCTGAGAGTCTGGATCTCAGCCACAAAAAACAGGAAGAACATGTGCTTCAGTTTCTAGCAGCACGTCCATCAGACACCTGCCAGTAAGATAACAGAATATACACATATATATATATATATACACGCACACAAACACACTCAGCCACAAATATATAAATACATCAAGATAATTTCAGAATGTACCTTTAGATCAAAATGTATGATTCTCTTCGAGTGGAGATACTGGACGCCATCTAAGATTTGTTTGATAAACTGAGTTGCCTCCTCTTCGCTGAGAGACTCTTTCTGAGCCAAGAAATCAAACAGCTCTCCTCCAGAAACCCTACAACACACAAACAGAAGAGCACTTACACGTACTGTACATACACATATACTGAAAGACCCATCCTGTGGACTCAGACTATCACCCACTGAGCAATAGACGGCTATTAGACATCCAGTTCAGTTTTTTTTAGACCTAATTTTAAATGTCTAGATTCTGTATATTTTTAGACGGAATTTAGATGTTGCACTTTAACCCATTATTCGATATCTTTTTATTTCAAAAGGCAAGTACTTAACTAAAATAATTATGACAGCCAATGAGCAGTATACAGTGTAGTATAGCTATAGCCCAGATTTAGACTTGGTCTAAACTTGGTCTAAATTTAGGCATCTAAAAAACTTTTATTTTTAGACCTGTGGTAGTCTGATTTTAGACCAGTCGTCTAGACTACATCTAGACATCTATTAGACCTCTTTTATACAAAAAATGCTCAGTAGGCATGAATGAGGTTGCTCATGAACATTGGCTTGAGTGAGCTTTGTTGTTGTCTCTTGTCTCCCAATATTTTACTTCCAACTGTGTATTCAGTTGCTCATTCCAAGAAACTCAGAAGATGTTTATATATTTTTTAAGGTAAAACTTAAAACAGTACAGAAAAATCCTCTGAGCTCTCCATACTGGGTAAAAATGAGCGCAGGGTGAATGTGATGAATAACCATTATGTTCTTATAAATTCACACAAAGAAAACATTATGGACTTCATGATGCACAGTGTGTGTGATTCTGCAAATAACAGGAACTGCTCAGTGGTTAGTTCAGCCCTGCTTTGAGCTTCTATTTAGTCCTAATTGTGCCCTACATGTTCCCAGGCACTCCGTCGACCCAGGATGAGGCCCCTTTCCAACACAAGCTTAATTGACCATGTGAGAGCAGTTTTGATTCTTTTGGGCACCCGTGAGTCTGGTAAAGGGTTTTCAGCGGACACAGGTTTAACAAACAGTATATGTGCTCAAAAGAAGCTCATAAGTCAGGATGTAGAAGATGTTACAGGAAATAAAATTGGATTAATTTAAAATGTAAAAATTGTTTTGAAATTGTTTTATCATGCAGTGACTCACAGTTCGAGGATGAGCACCACATCTGTGCGGTTCTCAAACACATCATGTAGTGCTACGATGTTGGGGTGCTGGATCTGCTGTAGGATGTTCACCTCCCTCTCAATCTCCTCCCTCTTCACTCCTCGTCTGCTGGCTCGACTCTGCCGCTTCTTGATGAACTTGGCTGCGTACTCGACGCCTGTACTTTTTTCTTTGCAGCGTTTGACAATTGCAAACTGCCCGCTGTAAACGCAAAAGAAAAAAAAGAGTTTATTAGTTTCATTGTCTATAAGGTGTTAAAAAAATCCCTTATGAAGCTTTTTACAGTTTATAACAGGAAACTCTAGGGGTGAGGACAGATGTCAGGGCGGAAGTCTTGTCTCGAAACTAGATGAAATATTGAGGTGAAGTCCTTCACTTCCTGTTTCCCATACACACAGAGAACAATCAGACAGGCCTGCTGTGTGGACAGAGTTGCTGTCCTCCCACTCCAGCAACCTTTCCTGCCAAATTTCTAGCCATCTTTGGAGCATCAGCTCACTGAAACAATCCCACAACTCTGAATATTTCACAACAGAGGTGTGGTTTGGAGACCATCCTTCAGCGGATTATTGTTTCGGTCTTCACTGAGATCACTTTATGGGAACTACGGCCTGTGGATAAGTGGTTTTTGCATCCCTTTAGTCTTGAGAAATAACAATCCAACACGGGCCTTAGAGTTTAGATCAACCACAGTGTAATTTCACTCATTACTGACCCACTGAGAGGCTCTGATGCCCAGTTAAGTCAATGTCCAGAGTCTCTGTGGCTTTATCATCAGTCCAGCAATAATAATGTCAGAGCCAAACAAAACTTGCAGCCTCTCCTGCTGCTTTTTTGTGCTAGATTCTTGCTGCTCACAATCATAAAACAATCCCCTCAGTCAGTCAGCGACCCCTCATTAACGGACCACAGAGAGCAGAGGATGAGTGTGTTGGCAGACCTGGCAAACAGTCTGTGAGCGAGGGGGAGATGAGAGTTAACAAAAGACAGAGAGCAGAGGAACACTGAGTCAAGTACGAGACAAAAGAGCGATGATGATTAGTATTTGGTGAAGCACACAAATACACCAGAGTTTACTCTGCAGATCCTCTGATGCGACAAAGTCACGCTGTTTTTTTAAGAGTGTGAAGAAGACACGCAGAGGAAACACGGAGAGGAAACAGATAAAAACTGGCAGGCATTTCATATGTTTGAGATGTAACTGTCCACACAGAGATTTCAGGGTGGCTGTGAGAGGCTGTCCAGTGTGTCCACTATCATCATGGTGTCTAGTGGGCTAAGAATAGCCAAGCCAACAACGAGAGGAAGAGGAGGAAAGAGAAGAAGAGTGGAAAAGAGGATTCCCAGATAAAGGCTGTCCTTGAACATCGAGATACACAATGTCATACTGTCGTAAAACCGCAGTTTACACTTCTCATGCTCTGTTCAAGACGACTCTTCTAACATCTTAAACATTTTCTTAGTTACATCAGTGTGGGATTGTTGAGCCAGTTTGCTCTCTCTCTCTAAGGCACGCCCTGTCCTCTGCTTACACAGCTCTACAATCACATTAGCAACCAGCTCCACTGGAGACTGTAAGCTAAGTCGCCTCACTCAAAAACAACTGAACTGATGTGAACTTGAACCGCACAAGTCCGTATCTTTAACGCTCTCAAACTGGAGGCACAAATGATGGGAAGAACTGCACTACTATGCAGTCATGTTGAGAAAATCATAGTGTAAAATATCAATGTTTTAACAACTAATACACAGTGTTGGCTGTTGAGCACCTGATCCGGATTGAACTGGATTAAACAGATGTTTCTAATAAAAGGGAGGTTTTTTTTGCACAGTTGGTTTGATGCCGAGTTATGATTAATTCAGTCATCTATACAAGGGTTACAAAAACAACGGTGTCATCAGATGTCAGTGTGAACATCTCTTGATTGTGGTCTTCAAAAAGTCACACATGTAGAAGAGGAGTCACACAAAAGAAGAGGAAAAAACAGATTGGAAGGAATCTGAAATGCTCCCTCTATCTGTTCTATTCACAGGACATTTCCGCCCCTGAGAAATCCTTCAAAGCCCGACCCTGTTTGACATGAGTACGATAATGTGTGAACTGAAGAGGAGGGGAAATCACTCAATGAATTCCTCTGAGGGAAGCAAGTGTCACTTAAACAAGACCCCTCATGGTGAGTGTTGAGGACTCTTTTTAAAAAAGTACACACCGCAAATGTCAGTGAAAGGTTTTAACCTGAGTGTTGGTCTGCAGGCAGGCAGAGCGGTGATGCTTGGGAGCGGTATTCCACGACAGGCCAGGCGTGCCGTCTGTCTTAGCTCTAAGCCGGCCGCTGGGACTGAAAGTACCATCTCCCTGCAGAGTTTCCACTTTCAACAGCTGAGGGTCATTATCCACAGCCAAGGTTGGAAGATTGCTCGGACAAGTGGCGCCAGACCAGATTTTTAAAACATCTCTCCACTGAACAACCTCTGGGATGGAGTGACAAAGAAAGCTGTGTCCATAATTGACCAAGCCCTGTCCGTCCGTAACTAGCTCAAACATCTGTGAGTCAAAGAAGGAGAAAAAGCTGCTGAACCTTCAAAAATGAATGCAGAAGAAAATAAAATCTGCAGTGAAAACCCAAAATGGTAACTTTATCTGCTTTGATTGTTCAAAAATTGGACATTTGTGCCTTAAAGGCGTTAAGGACTCTCTTCTGGTATGATTTGAAGTGGTGAAGTGTAAGCTGTGATGAAGGAAAAGGTATCTGCTAAAGTCTGGAGACATCCACTAGGTCAACGTGGCGCTCCCTCTGTGAAGTTACTCTGCATAAACACATTTTTCACCTGCTGAACAGCAGGAATGTCTGCGCCTCAGAACACACTACATGCACTTCCACCCCGATCCTTGTACATGCATGCCTGCTGTCCATGCTATAGATACTTCATGTACAGTTAATCCTTTGGAGAAATTCTAGCTCTTTACTGTCTTCATCTTTAACACCCGCCCGCCTCGCAAAGGTCAGCTTTTTTTCGTTTCAGCACTTGTAGAGTGTGAAGGCCGCAGCCCCAAGAGTGCAGCTCTGTGGTCCCTGCTTCTTGTTCACAACTAACTTCTGCAATTGGAAAACATTTCTCTAATTCGTTTCCTTCTGCACAAATCTGCATAGTATTTTCAGAGACTAAAATATCTCACGGCCTGAGGACAAATCGATGTCTGTGACTTTTCTGGGTTTCCAGCAGGTTTGGATCTAGATATTTGAAAATTTAAATCTGATAGTGCTTACACTAGTCAGGTGACTTTACAAACTACTGTATCTCTGCTGATTTTTCACAGTTATTATGCAGTTATGGTTAGCTAAAGCAGCAAACACAAAGAACAGCTCTGGCAGATACTAACTCTGTAGTTCTTTATGAAGCCATAATGTTTGGTGCCCCCCTCTACTGACCGGCTCTAGTAAAGGTCATGAACTCCACCTCCTCCATGTTAACAGACAAAAAATGGGTCAAACTCAGCATCTTTTAAAAAAAAACAAAAAAACAATACCAACCTCATGGTGGCTCTTATGTAAAGGTCAAAGGTTAAAGGAAAATTCGGGCGTAAAATTGTTTTCAGGTCAAACACACCATAACACTGAGTTAGACACCCCCTCGAGAGATGAATGTGCCGACCGCTTGCTTCTCTAGTTATACCAACTTTAGCAATGAGCGCACGATAGCAATACACAGCAGTCTGAGGAGCCATCAACAAACCTCAACCAAAACGCCACTCTATAGCCACAAATAATGCTCAGAGCAGCACCTAACTTCATCAGCAAGATAAGCTTAAAACGCCACTACCTACAAGCTTTCAGGATTAATTACCGCTATGACGTTGTTAGCCAAAATTGTCAAAGTAAGAGGCCCACATGCCTTTTAGTTTTGTTCTGGTGTTTAAAGACAATGGCACTTCCTGTCCAACTTGTGCATCCTGTGAAGTTTGTTTTTCCTTGATAATGACTAAAAAAGATGGCGTTCTTCTCAATTATAGCCAGTGATTCAGCAGCATCTGGAAAAGCAGTATGAAAGGTGTACATGTCCAAATATGGACAAAAAAAAGGATGTTGACAGGTAGAGGAAGTGCTTTCTTCAGCCTTGTCTTGACTGGCACTTGTGTAACAGTCTAGCTGGTATAGGGGTAGCAGCTGTTGGCTCACACTTCCTACTGTATGCCATTAAGAGTGTCATCGCTAAGATATAAGACTGGTACAGTCGTCATTAAATGTCTCACGTTACGAGTAAAGGGTTCGATGTATAGGTTTACCATAAAGTCTCCATCACTAATGGAAAGGAACATCATGTACAGCCGTGTGGGGTCCTTGACATTAAAATCTGATGATGGGTGGACATTATGATGAATCGACTTTCCAGTAATGAATGTCTCATCACTTCCAAAGAGCAAAGCGTGTCTTCAAATCTCCACTCAGATTGGTTTTTGGACCCCCTTCTTAAATTTCCCCACCCTCCTGAGAGGATGATTGAGTAACCCGCTCCACTGTGGCGCTCAACAGAGAGGTCAGAACCCATGATGCTCCCAATAATGTGGGCGGAGTGGGCTGCAACCTCCACAACAACACACAAACAAAGCCCAGAGTGGTTACAAACAGAACACAAGCCTTACACGAACTCCAGCTGCTGAATTAGTGACTGAATTCTCACACAGCTTCTGTGACTGTGAGCACTTCCTCTTTCAGATGCGGCTTTTAACCACAGAATGTAAAGTTTCTTTTTTCGTCATGACAGAGGCGTTTAATATGCAGGAAGCTCAACCCATGTGTGCATTAAATTTCTCCACTTTTCATGAACAGATGCTGCTGTCTAAACAAAATAAACCCAAAACTGTTTTGTTCAATGAAACTTTCAAAGCTCCTGCAGGGAGATTTCACACAGTTATGAATTAGGGTGAATAACACTGATCCTTTTGTTTTTTTAAAGATAAGGCTCATCAGCAATAACACTGACTCCTTATATTTGATATTTTTATTAATGCCTGTAACATCGCCACCTGCTTTATTTCAACCTCCTGTGAGAAAATTCCAGTTTGTGCCAATTTTGGTGACCCCTTAAAGCTGTGTTGTCCTCTGCATGTATAAGTAATGTCTTTGGACTTGATCATTTACTGTGAATATTTGATGTAAAAAAACAACAACAACAACAACCCAAAACAGGGCTGTTTCTTCAGCTACTCGACTGACAGCTACCCTCTCACACTGGTTTCAGGCATTAAAGACTTCAGTTTAAAATACCAATCTTGTCACAGATGATGTAGTTTGCTTCTGTATATCATAAAAGAACATCAATATGATTTTCAGTCCATTGCATAAATGTCAAAAAGTCCTCACAAGAGCTTTAAGACAAGCAATTAACCGCATGCTACAGACACAGACTTTGTTTACGTTTCTCAAGGCTTAGATATACAGTGAGCAAAGTTTGACGGCTCAAAGAAAGCAAAGAGTTTTTTCATCAAACAAGTTTCTTCAGCATGTACTTGACAGGATCAGCAAAGAAATAATGAAAAAAAATCAACACAAACTAAAAGTTCTTTACAGCAGCTTTGATTATCTACAAGTTCTTAGCTGGCTTTATAAACTAGTCATAACATACGAGCAGGAACAGGACCCTGAAACTGACTTTATCTGAATCTGCATCTGAACATCTCATTCAGTCAACTCTGAGAGCATATAAAAAACTACATCGCCTCTCCTGTTCTCAGTTCTCCTTCCTCATAGCCTGAAACATCAACACAGCCAGAAGCTGAGACATGCCCCTACCCTGAGTCTTGATATCCCCTCTCTCATCCATAAGTTCCTCACAGTTCAGACTACCTTGACCTCAATCATCCTGTCCTACAACTATCCCCCATCTTTCCTCACCTTACCCCAACCCTTTAGCAAAGTTCAATCCACTCATTCCCAAATAATTACTAATAAGAAACACTCTTGATTTGTCTTGAATCATTTAGGTGGAAAATGATCCACGTTCATAAATGATATTGAGGTGTTAAGATTTGTTTTTGTGGCCTTTTCCTGCGTTGACAGAACAGGTAAAAGAGAGAAAATATGGGGATGAGAGGGTGGAGATGAATGGTCGCAGAGAGGGAGTCATACCAGCAAACAAACAAAAAAAGACTATAAATATTAACTACTCCAAAGAGAGTATTATGGTATTTTAACAAGGCAAATAAAGGATTCCTCTTGATACAAAAAAATGTGATCAAAGTGTGAATCCTGTGAGCTGCAGCCTCCCTCAGAGCTCATATATAAATGCAGCTGGAGCTCATATATCAACACCACTGGTTTGTCCAGTCAGGGTGTGTCAAATGAGATGTACAATAAATCTTTCGACACACTGTATATTCTAACCGATCATGAAAGGTCAGAGGTCACACGCTTTCCTCTCACACCCTCAATCCGTTGGCGAGTGGCGCTCGTGCCCTTTCTTGCCATCTGAGCAGAATGGATTTGCAGCTTCCTCAAACCGTATTGAACCCAGCCGACTTCCTTGATTTATTTCCCCATTGGGACCCAGTTTCCTTGATATCTGCACTGAAAAACTTCAACACATTGATACCACCCTGATCAGCCAGCGCTAAAGCAGTAAATCAAACCCGAGTCTCCCTCCTGGGTTGAACATGTCGTGCCCAAACAGAGTCTGTTTTCTTTGAGTGCGTTTGCCTTTGAATTTTTTATCTCTTGCTATAAACTTCAGCCTACTTTAACTCGGGGACACTCCCCGTTTCATGCTTTAACAGGCCAGATGTTTGCATACTGAGGAGCACATAAGGACCATTATGTCAATGCCATGCTGACTCACACCCTGACTCACACAAAGTGATGGGGATCCTGCTCTCATGAACAACTTTTAAAGACACTTACCTTCCTAGAGGTTCACCCATTTCATAGAAATCCTCCACATTCTGTTGCTTGAACACAGCCATGCCAAGTGTCTTCATTGATGTGATTTATCTCCTGGTTGTCCACTACCGAAGCTCATCTACTTCCGACCCTGCAGATACAAAGAGACGTTCTTGCTCATTTCTGACTGCAGCAGTGACTACGTGAACTGCATGTTCCAGCTTGCTGTTGAGCATTCTTTATCAGAGTTGTAACTACTTTCTCCTAACCCTGTTGGGAAAGACTTTACACCAGAATGTAATCAGAAAAAAGGCAAAAAAAAAGGAAGTTAGTCTGTAAATAATGATGATAGGATTAAATTCTAGAGTGAAACTCGTGTAGCTGTGAGGAAAACTGTGTGAAGGATTAGAAATTCAATGAAAAGTGCAGTTTAGGTGAGGGAAGGATAAGAGTGAGATTTGCTTCTGTTGTGAAACATTTTGTCCTGTGAATAGGAAAAGATGCAGATGTACTTTGTAGCTAGAAAAATACACTCTCTGCTCTAAATCAAACTACATTTTTGAGCTTTACAAGGTAACAGTCATGCAGATCTCTAAATCAAAACAACAACAACAAAACTTCTTATCTGTCTTCATACTTTAAAGTAGCTCCACAACCAAACCATCCGTCTCACCTTCTGTCACGCACAGTGTTGATGATAAACTTCCTCCTCTTCTCACATCTCATTCAGCCGCTCTGCTCCCTTCATAGCTTCAGCTCAGACACAAAGCTGCCCCTCTCGCCTCTCTGTTGTTTTCTGACTCTAGCGGTAACACCATCAGGCTTTTGTGTCAGCAGAAGTCCCTCCCCCCCTGATGGCTCCATTATGAAACTGCAGCATGACAGCGGCAGGCTATCAATAAAGATGACTGACATGTCTGCTGTGAAATCTGAGGAGGGATTATTACAGTAAACTGTACATGAGACACAGGACGCTCAGTCTGCCTCTTTTTTTTATTGAATTCAAAGTCCTAAACTGTAACACAAAACTACTGCAGCATTAAAGCTTGAATGAAACAGATGATCATGATACCACAGAGGTTTATATACAAGACAGTGAAGTGCCGTATAATATTCTGAAGTCATTAATTGTGCAATACACAGCTGAAAAAGAGGAGAAAATACAGAGAAAAGACAAAAATTGGAATTAAATGTAGCTTATTTAGAGTGAGAATAAAAAAGGAAATATCATTGGCACATGTGTAACCCCTCCAACAGAGAGAGTGGGTCAAAAAACTGTTTCAGTCTGATCATCCTCCACACTTGTGTTTTCTCTAGAGAGACCCGCTCTCACAAAATTTACTACTGGATTTTTCTCAAATTCACATTTCCCTCATCAAACAACAAAACAACCACAAACCCAAGTTTTGTTCCCGAGTTCAGTCAGGGGGACTGCTAAAGTTGACAATAATGTAATGAATAAAAGTTATTGTTTTTTTGTAACATATGGCAAAAACAAGAGTCAAAACTCAAAAGTGAATCAAAGTAAAGAGAGTAAAAAAATACAACTGTCAACACGGTTTCAGCACAAAAGAGAAAGAGCTGAGTGAGAAAAACGTATTAAACAATTACCCATGTAATTTTTCTGCTTTCCTGTAACTGTTCATAAAACTTCTACCTGAACAACTTTTGACCTCTGGAACATTTCTGTGGTTCTTTTATGTGGAAGTGAGCAGGATAAGGAGTATGGTCACAGTGCTGGAAAGTAAACTGTAATTCATGAGTACCTGAAAAAGACAGAAAACCCTCATATGTCCAGCAATCTCCTGAAATACTTTACTCAAAGATTTAAAAAAAAAAAAAAACTATATTTCATTCTCGCAAACATATATTCAGCACTGAACACTTTGCAGAAGGTACCTGTAAATGAATGCAGACATTGTTGGAAATCTTACACTGCCACACTGAGGACAATTAATGCAAATACACCAGCGTTTGAGCTCAGACTAGAGCTCCCAGCATGACATGTCCTGTAAAGCTGTTTAAGTCGGAGAGAGTGAAACACTCAACATCATGAAAGTCCACTGTCAATGGAAATTAAATTGTTGCGAATTTGTTAAAGTTCTTAAGTCATCAGAGTCTTGATCCAAATCCAGAAATCAGAACATAGTTTGTGTTTTTTAAAATGTAGGTGTGAAACATCTTTTTCTTTAAATTAATGTCTGCGGTAACATTAAAGTTATTTAGTGGTTCTTCAGGAAGAAAATATATCATATAAGAGTACAAGTGAGAAAAACCTGCTGAATAAGAACTGATTAAGTCAAATAAACAAATACAAAGATGGTATTATCCATCATAGGGCGAGACTTCAAGTCCCACTCTGATTGTTTTTTTACTACTTAAATGTTCTCAGTGGTCTTTAAATTGTGACTTTAGCCAAAATCACGTTACCTGTGTCATTTTTGAGGGCTTTACGTCTGCAGAGCTACAGTAGCTCATTAGCAACGTTCTGCACACTCCTCTTACAGCCTAACATTGCCGGTGTAGTAGAATTAGCATGTAACATAGGAGCTATGCTGCTCTCAGACACTAATGACTCTAGGGGCATGATAAAAGCTATTATCATAATTATCTTTCTTACAAGCATTGCAATCCGCTAACGCACAGGCTTGTTCCGTGATTGTCCTCTCTATTTCTCTGAGTCTGGCCTGGAGAGCGTCCAGGGGCGGAGCTTGGAAATGTGACATAAGAAATCCTACTGTGTCTGAACCTGCCGTTTGGATCTGCCAGAGATTCACAGCAATTTGAATGCAGAGACACTAAGAAATGCAATTCCACACTTGTTCTCATGATATGTCCTGTAGCATCAGAAAAATGCCGTATGAACATGTAAAAAAACAAGAAAAACATGATTTCCATCAGAGTGGGTCTTTAAATCCTGAGATTCTGGTGAAATTCATCAACCGTCTTCTATCAAATTGGGATAATGTGTCAGAAGTATGAAGGGGGAATCTACATGTATATTAATTTAACCACAAAGACTTAGGAGACTGGAATGATTTCCACTATGAGGAACACAGTGATCAGGCAGCTAAGACTTACTCTTTAAAGTCAGCAGAGTCTGGATTTCAGCATTATTGAAGAAGTGCATCAAAGGTCACAGGGGTCAAACACAACAGATATGTTGTGGCAAAAAAAAAAATCATAAACAAAGATTTAAGAACAACTTAGGCAGACAAAGCAACAATGATTAAAAAAGGAGTTCAAAATTACAATCATTCCTTCAACAGGCACACTGTCGCCAGCTGGTACATAATCACGGTCATGTTTTAAAGGAAATACTGATTCGGACTGCAAGAGTGTGGCTTTAAACCAAAGACTGAAGAGCTGCTGACATAACATACTGTAAGGCCATCATATGTGTACAAAAGCGTATAATAGGTGAGACTCTTATGAAAGAGAAAAAGGCAGGAATACTGATAGAAAGCCTGTTGGGCTTGTAATCTTTTGGTCCTGTGTTGTGATTCATCCGAACTTCTTCAGAGGTGGACTGTCTCGCTCTGATTCAGAGACTGACTCCAGCAATTCTTTCTCGAAAAATCCCTTTTACAGCTCCCTCACACCCCCCTCACTGTCCCTGCACTCAGATCAGGAGAAGTTTAGTTATCTTCCTCATCATCGCTGACGAAGCTCCTTCTGTCCTGAGTCGTCTCCCTCTCTCTGAGGAAGGTCTGTCTGATGGCCTCGAGCTCGGTCAGCTCAAGGCGGACTTTCTCCAGGTGGAAGGAGCGGCGGCTTTCGATTTGCTTCTTGGGGAACGGGTTCATGTCCACATAAGCGATGTTCATCAGCTTTCTGCACGGGGAGAGAAAACAGATGAAGGAGAAAACATGGAGATATTCAACGCTTACCTCTTACACTTTACAACTGCGGACACACTGCCATTAAAGCATCCGAATTACATTTTTTATAAATGAAAATCTCAAAGGCAGAGCGTGTTTCCTGTACCTTGAATCCAGGATTGTTCGTGTGAAGTATCGGAGATATTTGAAGATGGCTGTGGAGTCCTGCAGCTTCAAAAACTCTTCCTCTTTGTACTTGAAGAGAGCGAGGGCGAAGCGAAATATGATCTGTGGAAAAGAAATGATCGAAGCTGTGAAATCCGTCTCATGACTGACTGACCATTTAACAAAACGTATGACACACAGGGCCACCTCAAAGAGACTGCAGACAGTATTCATAACACCAGCGTTCAGTCTGAATGTGCGCTGTTATTTACTGTCTTTTCTAATTTGAAAAGTTGATTAAAAGTTGAATGAAACTGAATTAAAATAAAAACTCCTGCTTACATGTCTAACTTTTGTAAATAACCCACAAAAAATAATCTGTACTCATTTCTACTGTTAGCTAACTGTTTTGTCTTCCAGGCCAACAAAGTGACGAGGTGGAAACAAACACAGCTGCTTCTGCAGAGGAATGCTCATTTTGCTTGCATGTCTTTAATATATAAGTAATAAACCTTTTTCAAACTATTTTGATTAAACATTTGAAAAAAAAGGAATTACTAAGTCTGAGGGTGTTGATTAAAAGTCTTGTGTCCACTGCCCCCAAGTGGTCAAAAACAGCTATTGCATAAAAAAAAAGTAGAATGTCCCCAAAAAGTTTATTTCCCCGCAAGTCGCGTCAAAAAGTGAAACTTTTGTGAATCTCACTGACAATGCCCACATAGATAATGCAATACAACTGCTGTTAACAGTTATAACACATTATAATACCTGACCTTGAAAGTCATGATAAAATGCTTTATAATGTGTTATGATTATTGCTATAAATCATTATGATCATTTATGAGTGTTTATTACTATAGTTATACAGTGCTATAACGTGATTATAAAGCATTACACATATATTTATAATGTGTTATAGGGAGAGGTGTCAAATAAAGTGTTACCAAAACGTTCACATATTCTAGATTCATCACACACAAGGTGAAATATGTAAACACTTTTTTGTTTGTATCTTGATAATTATGTCTTATGTTTCACTATTTGAATTAAATGATGGTAAAAAAAATTAACTTTTTAGGGTCATTGTAAGTCTTTAAGCTGCACCTACATCATGTGAAAACAAATAGGAATTCTGACAGCAAAGTAAAGCAGTGAAATATATTCAAATAGACAGTATATTCACAGCAAGAACATTGCTTTGGTCAGAGTTTGTTAAACTGAACTAAATTAAGTGGTTGGGCCTGACCCTGTCTGCAGCAGTTGCTGGCCTAGTTTCTGTGCCAGTTCTCCAGCCGCTTTCTTAACAAAAGGACTGAGCTGAGAGAAATCCCCTATGGTTAACACACTTATAGTTTTTCCTTCCTTGTAGGCTCCATATAAAATTCTGTGCAGCATACTGCTCCAGACAGTGAGGTTACGAGCAAAACCAGCAAGACTTATGGGCTATTAACCCAAAACAACAAGCTGAAAGGGTCTGTAAAGCTGATGAAGAACAGTGTAAACATCATGCCACAAACATGATTTTATTGCTACCATGTTGAGACACTGAAAATTCTGAGAAGTTTGAACACAAATTCTGGGTTTGTGAGATTGAAGATTTTGGTTTTTGCCTCTCTTACCTTTGGGCCCTCATACAGGAAAGCGTCCCAGATCTTAAAGAGGATATCGCTCACCACACTGTCCACAAACACCACCAGGAACCAGTTGAAAGTGATGAGGGAGAAGTCCACCTTGTACAGCTCAAAGTGCGCATGAAGCCGGGGAAGCTTCTCACTCATCAGATCCTTGAACACACGCTGATCGACCTGCACAGACACAAACAACACGATTAACTTCAAAACTGCTGACCTAATTTTCCACAGCAGGAGAAAATCAGCGATAAGATCCGGCGCTGATAACCGAGCAGTATTCTTCCTCTGATCGGTCATGAGCAGCAGCAGCATCAGTCACAAGAATATGATGCCACAGAAAACTTGAATCAGGAGGCTGAAACTAGTCCAAGTCTTTCAAAATCTAAAACACAACATGAGAAGATGTTCACCTGTGAGCCAAGAAGAGTTTTTGTGTAATAGTCTCTCGGCATGAAGACCTCGACGATGGCTATGAGGCTCCAGAAGGCATCCTCTTGGTCCAGATACAGCAGGGCAATAGCTGCAAGCCTGAAGAAATCACAGACAAGATTGAGGGAACAATTACACTCAATGAAAGAGAGGAGAGAAAGAAACTCGAGACAGAAACCTGTACCTGTTCAGTCCTTGGCAGTAGCCGATATCCGGGTTTCTCCAAGAGAACGCCATCAGGACGTTCCTAAGTTTCTGAATGCCGCCTGCACTTGTGGAGGCGTAGTGCTTGTTGTTGGGCAGAGTACGCAGCAGGTCCAGCTCAATCTGCTTGGAAGCTGGATTGGGCTTGTCTTGGGCCACGTTTAGTAGGGTCTCATAATAATCAGGCGCCAAATGGTCCCGGAACTTCTTAACGTGGGTGGAGACACACCATCTCCACACCTGAGAGCGGTGTTCATGAGGTATACCAGATCGAATGAGGGTTTTAATCTCAGGGGAGCGCATCAGATCTCTGTTCATGGTGCTGGCAAGGTAGTTCTCCCATTTAACCCCGACGGACACCTCTTGATTCGTCATGGAGAGGGACTTCAGCTCCAGGGCTCTCACCTTTGCGACCAGCTTCTCCTCCTCTTCCTCCTCCTCAGGGACCGTCTTGAAGCCGTACACATCATACTCACTAGAGTTAAAGACAGGTGGAGATCAAACGAGAGTAAACATCAGTCCTGAGAGTTATTACGTCTTTTAACACTTAGAACTCCGCTGGATCACGTGACACCAATATATCATTTACAGTTTCTCAGGAACTACACTGCGTATCTCTATGTGATGAAAAGTGTTCAAAAGTTTACCCTTTTGGCGATCTATTGAGGGTTTCCAGACATTTCTACACCTGCCACAAGGTTTACAATCCAGCCACAAAAATAGGTGTTTATTTAGAGACGTTTGATGGTAAGTCCGCAGTGATAGACCGGTAAAAACATGATTATTTATCATATTGTTGGGATAGAAAAAGATCGCTATATGCCGTTCATATCGTCCAGGTTTGATAAGCTGTTCTGATAACGTCTTTTTCTGTCAAACTTTCGACCAATTACATGGTCTTCTTCTTGTTTCCTTGACGGTAGTGTCCAATAAAAGACAACAAAGTGCCCTGCTTGTCTGCAAAAAAAGAAATAATGCTCCTCAATGCTTGAAAAAAAAGCAAAGAAGAGATTATGAGCCGTGTGATGTGGCCCTCTGTCTCATCTCAGACAGGAACTACTTCAGGGAGTGGCATTAAGAACTGAAAATTGCAAAAAAAAAAATTCCCTGGAAGAATTAGTGTAAATCTGTAAATAGTTTCTGTTGTGTGTTTGTTCCAATCCTAATTTTTCTTCTCCTAATAGCCAAGACTTGAGAGAATGATGTGCAGGTGAGAAAAGGCTTGTTCCCTGTAGATTTATGTGTTTTTTGTGCCAAGTACTGTTGGTATCAATTTCCGTTTTTGTTTTTGGTTGACTTTGATGGTTCTGAATCTACTGTCACATTCATTATACATAATTTTTGCACCCATAAGCTGACAGCCGAGGTCATCCTTAAAAAAAAAAGAAAACGTGTATATATCTGCTGTGCTTAAAAGGATAGAGTTGCTGCATAGATTTTTACAAAACAACAACAACAACAAACAAAAAAACAAACAGGTGGACCAAAAATAGCAAAATATAGCAGGGATTTCCAAGGGTTAACAGTACTGACAACATCATCTGCTCAATGAGCCGTACCTGACAGTGTTTGGCTTAAATATGGGGTGTTCCTGCTGGTCTGGGCTCTCGGCCTGCAGGGCGTCCTCCAACAGTCTTGAAATGACCTCCCGGGCTGGACTCAGTTCTGATGACGAACACACCGGGGTCTTCACTTCTTGAAGCAGGACCAAGTACTTACTCTCCACTTGACACAGTTTGGCTTCCAGGGCTGTATACTGCAGCAGAGACAAGAAAAGAAAAAACACTTTGATCACCTGGAAACAGCAGGATTTTAGTGAGTCATTCAATGTTCCTAACTTTAGAGAGTCTTAAATTAAGGTCAACAGAGAACTTCCCCTAAAAGCTCCACAGACTTCCTGTTTTTATAACAGAGTGATGCATCACTATCTGTTGAACACAAGTTCGCACCTTTGCCTCTAAAGCTTTTTCTCTGGCCTCTGCATTTCTGCGCAGCACAGTCAGCTCCAGGATCTCTTTGTTCAGAAACTTGTTTTGGGATTTGTAGCCTTGAAGACTGTCCTGAAATCACACAAACATGCAGTATGTTCAGTTAATCAATTATCAAGGTTTTTTTTTTCATCTCTGTTAATGATTGGATGGAGAAACATGTTCCTTTTACCTTTAGGATGTCTAGTTCCTGCTGATCTTTGTTGGGAGAGGTTGAACCAGCCTCATTCGGATTGCCGCTCTGCTCATTGCTCTCTTGTGACAGCTTCATGATGACTTCATCCTTGGCCTGTATCGTCTCCATAAGCATCCCCAGCTGGTCATTAATCTCCCCTACTTTTATCTTCAGGCCCTTCAGCTCTTGCTGCAGACTTTCCTTCTCCAAGGTAAGACGCTCCATATGGCCACACAGGGCTTGGATCTGTCCGTCCTTTTCCTTAATAAGAGCCTCAGCCGGGTTCATCTCCTCCTGAGCTGCCGCTGAGCCCGGAGTCTGGTCTGAGGATGCTGATGGATCCGGAGCTGGTGCTGGACGACGGACTGGTTGTATGTCACACTGGGATGTCCTTAGAGTCTGCTGCAGGAGTCTCACAAGCTCCTGTTGGAGGAAGAGCATGTTTATGATTGACACATTGTCGTTTAGAGGAGGGTCATGTCTGTTAATGTAATCACAGATACAGAGTTATCATTGTGCGATTGAATCACAGAGATAGGACTTGTTTGTAAACAAAAGAGAGCCAGGAAGGCCAAGACAAAGAAACGCTGAGCTCAATCAGAGCATATCTCATTTATAAAACAAATACAAAGAGGCAATGCCAAGTGGATTAAAACCTGACACTGTGAATTTAGGCTCTATGAGACCTTAAAATGTTCATAACGCCTTTTATTAAACCCTTAATAACGCTTGTTCCTGTCACCCTTTATGACATTCTTTATACCACACTTCACAACACCCTACATAACACCCTTGATTACACCTTTCAAAACATCTCTTATATCACCCTTCATGTACAGCTGGAACATATCTTTGGGCGCACTTAGACATGTTTAAACAATGACAACAATATAATAAAATTAAACTTATAAATAATACAACCTTCAAAGGCCTGAAGTCTGAGAGAAACAAAAAAAAAAGTCTTGCTACTTCTTACATTTTAAATTAAATCAGGACAGCTGTGGACAACCAATTTTTTCAGTCACATGTTACTCAAGGCTCTCAGATGAGCTCCCTGTGAAGTTTCATAACTTGATAAAGTCATAGGAGTTATAATGTGTTATGCAGCCTTGAATTCAAAAGTCACCATTGTTTGTATTGTATTAAGGTCTTTTGTATTATGGATTGTACCTTCAGTAGGCTTTATCTTCTTTTCTTACATCATTCATTAACTTTGCTATAAGTTATTATGAATGCTCATGAGCTTACAAGGATTGTTATAAAAACTTATAAATGTTTGATAAATGTGTTTATAATTTAACCCTCCTCCTGTGTTAGGGTCTGCACCTGTTTTTGTTTTTCTTCCAATCTTGTGAAATTTAGGAAATGTTCATTTTTCCATGTTTTTCCCTGCTCAGAAAACAACGTCGGGCATGTCCAGACATGTGAGATCAGTTCAGTATAGATGTCTGTGTGAGGGGTATACTGACAAAGAAAGGCCCAGAGGCCCACTACAAAAACTATAATAAGCAATATTTTCATGGATAATGAAGCCGAACAAGGTAACCTAGAGATGAGAACCAAATTGGATGATAGAGAATTGGTTTTAGTGTAATTTGCAGCTGATTTAAGACACAAGTCGAAGCTGACCTGTTTACATAGTGGGTGCGTAGTAAAAGCTAACACGGGAGGGAGGGTATTTTAAGTAAAGGGTTTGTTTAAGAAGAACTTTTATTAAGAAGAGCTTTGTTACCCATCCAACCTCATGAGCTACATTTATCAAACTTTGTCCACAAATCATCACCAAACTTAAAGAACTTTCAGGCTGCAGAATCATCTGTGTTTAATGCAGCTCCTGTTTACACTAAATTGCAGCCATCCAGATCTTAGTGGCTCACCACTTCGGCTAAATAGTGCCTGGGAGAAACCCTGCTAGTGTGCACTCTTTGATGGGGGCTACAGTCATGCTGACCTACCACATGTAACAAAAGCTCTACTTAAGAACAACCAGTTTTAGGTTATTACATGATGATGGTGACACAAAGGTCTGCAGTAACATTTAACATAAAGTGGATTGTCATGTTGTAAACAGCATTGTGAAAACAAGGCCAGAGTGCAAACGCCAGGTTGACACATTTGCTCCTGTATGTGTGACATTCGCACTCACAAATACAACTCTACATGCGTGTGGTCAAAGACGTGCAGCTGCTGTAACTGTGAACTACAGTTTAACTAAATGGAAAATTCACCAGAAATGGCTGAATACCAGAAATGGCACTATTTTCCATGTGTGACATCGAAACACAAAAGATCACAGCGAGACAAAACGTAGGAAAATGTCTTTAGTGGCACCTTAGCTGAACTTTCCTTTCAAAACATGCATAATTATCAACAAACTCAGACCCAACATCAACTCTAGCACACAAAGTGTACTTTCGTCCACTAGAACTGAGCACTGACAGAGTATTTCAAGAAACAGCGGAGGCCAGCTGACTCACACACACTCAGAGTTACTCAGTTCATTCCTTTTAAAGGCTGAGATTGCAGACAGACCGCTTCACAGAGGAAGCATACCCACTTCAATTATGTTTTCATCTGACTATGGCTGCAGTCATTGCGTCAAATCAGCTGGTTTCAAAACAATGAAACAAGAAGAGACAGTAATGGGAAGGAACGACACAGCTTGGATTGTTGTTAGCAGAGCTGCTGTTTCCTTGTTTCCCACCTGACTGGCATGACTCATCATTTCTGTCTCCATGTAATAGTGAAAGCAACAGGATTACACCAAAACGTTTGCTCAGACACCACAACCTCACGCTAAAACTGAGAGAAACAAGAGTAAAAGCAATCCATGCAACTTTGGGTTTTCCCCAATGTGTGGATAAACCCGACATTATGAAATCAGTCAGTGCTAAAATTATAGTCTTATCAACAGACTTAATAAAAGCAACCCAAAGATCCTTAACCCATCACAAACTAAGACAACAAAATGGACAGCTATGAGGTTGAAGAAAAGCAGTTTGTAAGAGGCACTTCCAGCCTCGTCCTTCTTGCTAAGATGCTTCAGTCAAGTTTTTATGTTGGCATGGATGGTGACGAAGAGACATCTGTACCTTCTGACCGGCCAGCTCCTCTCTGAGTTTGGTCTGTTCTTGCTGCATGCGGTTCAGTTCCTCCTGTTGACTCTGAAGGCGGATTTGCATCTCAACCACTTTACTCCCGTTGATCTCCACCGGGGAGCTTTCAGGACTGCGTGTTTCTGCGTTTCGTCCAAACCTCCCGGAGCCCATCATGTCCCGAAGAAAAGGCCTCCTATGCCGGGATGTGTTGCGCACAAAGTCGAAAGTAAACGCTGATCCAAAGGAATCTAAAGGAGGAGAATTTTATAATAATGAACAATAATGAAAGTGACTCAAGGGAGTGGGCAGGCAGACACAGTAATGGTTGCTGTATTGTTTTTCATTTGTCATAGAAATGAGCCTGAAACTCTAATCAAAGTTTTAATAAGTCAGCAGAGACTGGGCGTACGTCTGTGTGGGTCTGGATGCTGTTTCTGTTCAGGGAAGTCCTTGGTTGGAGCGTCCACCAGCTCCCACTCCTCCGTGCTGCTGTTGCCAGTGTAAAACACACTGCGTCTGTTCTCACCTCCTCTGCCCGGCCGCAGAATAGACATGGAGTTCCTGAGGGAACAGCAACCAGATAAGAAGGTGAGGATGGTTAAGACTGTGCTGGACATCAACAGTGGGAACTGTTTCTAAATCCTCTGAGGAGTCTGACACTCTGTTACTTTGTTGAATGACAGCAGAAATGGCTTCAGAAACAGGACCTACGCACCAGAACTGCAGCTGGTAACAAAAGGTTTCTCAGCTGTTTTTTATAGTATTAGGTGTCCTTAATAACATGCTGAAAGTTTACCAGAGTTTGACCAGTAGAAAGGTGTCATTTTCACAATGGCGTCCATGATGGGTAGAAAGCCCGGGAGACACCCGAGATGAATTGGGTAAAATTTTAACTAACAGATATCACTGTGAAACTTCCCAAGTTTATAACTTAGATTAAGACAAATATTTTTTGTATTACATGTTTTGTCAAATGTTATGTTTAAATATGTAAATGAGGCAATATTTAGTTAAATATACACTAATTTGCATACATTTAAAGAACCAAAAACTGAACAACGACCCCTAAAGACTCAAATATCGCCACATGTTTATTTTTTTCCATGTACTTGAAATGACCATTACTCCTTTGTATTCATTCTAGTTTTAACCATGTAATATTCTAGTTAGCATATTTGTATGATAAATGCGTGATTACAAGTACAACTAGTGCCCCACCAGCAGTGTCACATAGTGGCATTTGAATTTTTAGGGGTGGTTACAGCATTTTCTCATTTACAGAGTGATACAAAGAGATATCCAAAGTTTCTTCCTACCCCTCTTCTGACTCTGGTACATCAACAAAATAAAACAAGATTTTTGAAAGGGGCTTTATCCTTTGCTCTGTTTTTGGTTCTGGAAATGTATGCAAATTAGTGCATATTTAATTAGATATTGCCTTATTTACATATTCCAACATAACATTTGACAAAACTTGTAATACAAAAAATATTTGTCTTAAGAAAAGTTATAAACACGGGAAGTTTCATGGTGATATCTGTTAGTTAAAAATTTTACCCTATTCTCCCCTGGGCTTCCTACCCATCATGAAACCGTCATGAAAAAGATACCTTTCTAGTGGTTAAACTTTGGTAAACTTTTAGTATGTTAATAAGGACATCTAATACAACAAAAAACAGCTGAGAAACCTTTTGTTAGAGTTTTTCTAGGTTTAGGTGTTTTTTTTTTCATAAATGCACCTGCCTACACAACACAGCCAAAAAACCCCAAGCACCGTGTTCAGGTTCAACTTGAACATGTGATATAAAGAATTACATTTGAAGAATAAATTCAGCTCTTAAATATTCTGGTCCTCTTGGGTGTAAAATTAACAGGGTCTAAACATGAGCTTGTACAGACTGGTGTTTTTCACACCACTAAAAGTGAGATCAATGCTAACCCGTGACTGTGTTTCAGCCACGTCCTTTAACTTACAGCTAGCTGACTAAACCAAGAGCTTTATTGTTATCTACACACATCAAATTCAACAATGAATTTCACGCTACCTAATTTTTAAGAACATGACTGTGATGATAAAGACTGCAGCCATACTGAATTTTAGACCATGAGGAGTTCAATCATTTTAAATAGCAGCACAGAAACTGGAGGACATGCTACAAGGAGGAGGGAAATAAAATTCACACGAAATCCTGCACAGCATTACTCAATAAAAGCCATTTCAATGACAAAGCAGATTCTGAACATATCACTTTTTTAACATTTCAGAGTGTTGCATCATTCAAACAAATGAGTTGTACAGAAGAGGAACTGCTTTTTATAGATTTATTTTGGGGCTTTTAGTCCTTACTTGGAGAGGACAGGACAGGGTAGGAAACGGGGTGTGACATGTGGGAAAAGAGCCACATACTGGAAGTGAACCCAGGCCAGCCGTTAAAGGAATAACCTCTGCATGTGGGCATAAGCACAGCCTGCTAGGCCGGCAGCGCCCCAGAAGAGGAACTGTTGATTGTTGCAAACAAAAGTGACTAAGAGTACCATGGAAGTAATGTATTTCCTCCGCCCAAGTCCAGCAGAACTAAAGGAGTGTTTTTTCTTCTCATTACAGCTCACACTAGTTCAACCTGGACTCCAAAGAAAGACTTGAGAATACAAACGTCTAAATATCTTCACACTGGCTTACCTGAGTTCTGTACCGATGTTTTTGAGGGAGAAGTTGAGGGTGTTTGTGGACGAAGCCGAGGGTCCCCGGGCTGGATGGACCCCCAACATACCCCCGCCTTCTGACTCCGCCTCCATGGCAAAGTCACTACGGATGTTCTCAAGGCTGGCGCTGAGCTTCTCAAGGCCTAAGAGATCTGGAAACGAGACCCCCAAAATGTCCATTAAGAACAAAAAACCCCACCAAAATAAAATCCTACTGCCCACGTCAACCCAAGTGGAGCTTCTGACATTAGCTCATACCAAAGGGTGCTTTCATAGTGAGATACAGAGCGAGTAACTGAAGGGACTCATAATTTCTTTTGAACAGTGGGCTCACTTTAGTACTGATCGCCTACTAGCCCACTAAGTTCGTTATTTTGCTCTGATAATACTCCTAAACAAGCTCTTGCTAAAAAAAATACAAATAAGAATCGATCATCTTCAACCACAGTGTCATTGTGAATTTGAGACAGGACTTGTTAATCTTTAACAAATCAAGAAATATTAAAGATTTAACGTTGTCCTCACAGCCGGAGGGGAAAAACAAGAGGAAGAAATGTGGCCGAAACATTTTTGATTTCGCACAACATCTCAGCTTCCACACATTTCATCAGAGTACATGGATTAAAAGGTTAAAGACTTCTGAGTCAAGAATTACACAAGCTGGGAAAAAACACTGCCAATACAAGATATCAACAGAATTTCGAGGACTTTCATTTCCTGCATCTTTGATTTGAGAAATTCTTCTTTTTAGTAATTTGTAATGTGAAGTGGTCTCTCTTGTGTAGGTTCTGGAGAATGGCAGCACTTTTAAATAAAACCTCCAAACCAATATCAATAAACAGAGGGACCACGCCTCTTTTGAAGAAAGATCAACATTCATTTACAACAATAGAGGAGGAAAAACTGAGTGAAGTGAAGCTGAAATGTCTGAATTCTGCTCACAGTTGTGTGACTCTATAGATGAGGACAACAAAAACTAAATAACTTGTTAATGATTAATCCATTGAATACAAGAACCTGAATGTGAAGTCATCAGAAGTCAGCATGGATATCCGCACTTGATTATCATCTATTTAGATGACACATTATTGAATTTCCCTTCAGTTAGTTAAAAGTGAAAAATTTGAACCCCCCGCCCCATCATCTTGCACATTTCTGCACAAATGTTACACCTTCTCCTGTATTATATTAATCTTAATGTTTTTTTCATTTTAATATTCTTTATTCAAACTTCCTATGCGAAGCTTTTAGCTGGTTATAAAACTAAAAATGAACAAAGTCAGGAAAAAAGTTTACAGGTACAGCTTTGACCACATGGGGGGCACAAAAAGACACACACTGAAAGTTCCTCACAGGAGCTTCACTTGCTTGGATTAACTTCTTATTCTGATTTACATTCATTATTTTAACACCAGTACACCAAAGACATTCTTCAACTTGGGAACAGACTTGAATCTGATTTTTACAGTATGTCAGTGAGTGTATCTGCATACCGTTGTCTTTGCCCACGAGGCCTGAAGGAGGGTAGGCGAGGGTCGGGGAGCTCCAGCTGTCCCTCTGACCGGACCCTCGAGTGCTGCTGAACTCCCATCGTTTCTGCTGGAGCTGCTGGAGCCAGTAATGCATCACCTGCCTGCTTGGAGCCTGGACACAATTTCATGACACACAAAGGGGAGAGTGGGGTAAGTTGAACCACCCCCTGTTGTTTGGAAATGGTAAAAGAAATTGATCATGTGACCAAATATTTAGGAGGTGGGCATCAATTCATGGAGTCGGTGAAGGTTAGAAGAACATGAGGGAAGGGGTTAGACATTTTTCACTCTTGAAAGTGAATTTAGTCTGTCATAAGTTTTATTAGAATTGTGTTCAGACCAAAAAAAGATCATTTTAAATTTGTTTTATACATCAATTGTGGTATCTATGAGCTACAACATGACAAAAACCAACATAAAAGTCCACCATTTTAGCTCAGAGGACTAATAAAGTCATAATAGTAGTTAAGGGGTAAGTTGAGTCAGTGATTCAATGGAAAAAGTAAAGGAGTCTGATAAGAGGATCAGAGTTTCAGTTCAGATTGTTGAAATGTGTTACTTTTTCTTTTCAAAAATACAGCTGTGAATGGTCTGAATCATTAAAAGACATACTCATGTTAAAATGACTTTTTACAAAACAGCTTTTTAGCAGTTATATGCAATGATAATAAAAATAATTATTGTACCTGTTGAATAGTTTATAATAGATAAAATACACATGAATGTGAAGAAGTGACTGTTATTTAGGGAGAGAGAAGGTGAGGGAGGGCTGGGGCTATGGTCAACTTACCCCATACACGGGGTAAGTTGACCATAGGAGACCACTATTTTTTGTCATGCTATATTATCAAGACAGTTATGTTTACACTCATTCTGTTGGTTTGCAGGGATGCACAACATCTTGAAATATATGCAGATACACTAGTTAGAGACAAAACTATGATTGCCTTGATGTAGTGATTGGAAATATGAAAAATGGCTCATCTTACCCCACTCTCCCCTAATCATATGTTAGAGGCTTAAAACATGAACATCAGTATGAATAGACTGACACCTGTAGCAGCTGTAGAGTTATATAAAACAAGTGAAAGTCCAAGAAAAGGCCTCTAAATTGCAGGTCAGATCTATTGTGTGAATGAGGACACAGGCACTAGTTTCAGTCTCAGTTCCAGCCTCAGGGCTCTGCAGCCTGTTTGGTATTAACCATTCAGACCATCTGCTATAAATGATGCCGACTATAGCAGGCTAAGTGAAACCAGAAGCACCTGTGTTGGCACCAAGTCACATGCACATGACAACACGAAGGACCAACAAACCATCACATGAGCTGCTGTGACCCTCTGCAAAGAGAGGTGGTCATGAGGCCTGATGAGCTCATATCGGTGAGCCTAAAATTATCTCTAAACTGTGGACTCACGGTGTGTTTGGGGCCAATCTGCAGAATAACGTGCTGACTAAGCTTCTGTCTGACAAACATGACCCATATGTGTGATTGGTTTTTCTTCTTCCCTGGAGTTGTCAGATCAGAGGAGAATCACAGCACAAAAACACATAAATAAATCTGTCTGGAATGGGTGTGTCTACACAAAGAGAAAGGAAGTGACAAATGACAGAAGAAGAGCTGGAACAGCGCTGAGAAGCAGAGAGCCTCCACACATGCTGAAAAGTTTCTACCTTCAGCAGGAACTCCTTCCCAGCTGTGCGGATCTCAAACTGACCCTCCTCTCCCTCCACATCGTAGCTGAAACACGCGTCCCCGATCTCGATGTGCCCGAGTGGCAGCGCGTCCTGCTGCGTCTTGAAGTAATATAAGTAACATTTCCTCGGATCATACACGAACCACCTCGGCTTGTACCCCCTTAGCGGCCCCTTGCCGGACAGTTTGTTCAAGAACCCGCACAGCCTGGAGGCCTGCTCCTTCGCCCCCTCCACCTCCGCCACATCCACGGACCTGGAGGTCACGATCCGAGCAGCCGAAAATGAGGAGTTCGCGTCGCTGCCATCCTCCTCTTCGTGCATCTTTCCTCGAAGTTTCTTCTTCGTGCAGCAGCGCAGCGGATGCCCACTCCTGTTTCCATCCGCATGACCATACTGCCTGCCCATTAGAGCGGAGGAGCATGGGAAATGTAGTGACTTCAGACGTCGACGTGTCCTGTCTGAGAGTAAGCGGGATTGCCACTGGGTGGTGCTGTTTGAGCAGATGTGATAGAAAACTGCAGGCGATGGGGAAATATTTTGATAACCGAAAACCAGGACAGTCTGTAGACAATGAGCTAATTTAATGATACTCAAAGTTTACTCAAAGATGCCTTATAATTTTAATATATTTAAAGTAGCCATAGCTCCTCTGTATGGATAGAAAATTGTTATATTACCAAATAGCTGCTGTACAGTGGCCGAGAACCACCTCTGCTGCAAATAGATTAAAAAAAAAAGTCACAATGGAAGTTACAAATGCTAAAAGAAGAATCCCAAACCCGTTGCAAATAAAATTTAAAAAAAGAAACAGTGCAGATAAAAAAAAAAAAACCTACGACAGAAGTTAACGACACCAAAAAAAGTGGAGATAGAAAAAAAAAAGTTACTTACTGCAAAAAATAAAAGGGTGCAAATAGAAAAAGCCACAATTGAAGTGAGCTGCCGGGGACCAATAATGACGATGCACCTGGTCCCCAGCAGCTTGCTTCCGTTGTGGCTTTTTAATTATTATTTTTTTTGCATCCTTTTGTTGTTGTTAACTTCCATTGTGCCTTTTTTTCTACACAGTCTCTTTTTTTATTTGCAGGAGGCTTTGGTGTCTTTTATTTTTGCATTAGTAACTACCGTTGTGACTTCTTTTTTTTTTTGCATTCTTTTTTATTTGCAGCAGTGGCAGTTCTCGGCCACCATACTTACTCAACATGTTTAACATAATAGTTCTCAAAAATTTACAAAAACTAAATAAAAAAAAATATCCATATCTTTTGTTTTCTTCTTCATCCTAACAGCCTAATGAAAACCAGAGGATTTTTATCAACCAGGACGGCCAGGACAGGACGTAAAAATGGGACAAATCCATGGGAAAACAGGATGTTTGGACACCCTGGCAGAAGACATGCAGGGTGAGGAGAAAATACTAACAAAGTTACCAAAAAAGGCAAAAAGATTGGAAAAGTTCTGGTGTTTCAATCAAGACTTGCTAAAAAATAAATCAACATGGCAGCAACAAACAAAAGTCTTATGTGGAACTTTTGATTGGGGTCGAATTTGGTGACCCCTCATAAAAAAGTGGTGATCCTAAACATAAGTTGGTGGCATTTTCCACTCAAAAAAATCTGATTCTGCTGTGCCCATGTTACCAAAGTGTTCTGAAACTTACTCTGAAATCTTTGAATTTTTGGTTTGTTTGGGAAAATGCAAATAGGCCCTGAAGGACGGTGTGCAATTAGATTTGTCCACAGGTGAGAAAAACAACTACAGAAATAATCCAAGGCTCACAATCTTGTCTGTTTTTTAATAGCATGGTAAAAACACTATGATTCAACGATCAATTAAACTCCCAGGGGAACCAGAAGCTATAGGCTAACTGCTGCAGAAGGGGTCAATGCTACCATGTAATTTTATGATACTCAAACCCAAACACTAATGTTGGTGTAACTGTAGTCTACACTCTTTGAAGAAAAAGAAAATCAGCTCTTAATTTTGCTGTCAGAAAAGTAACTTCTTAGGACTATTTTCAAATACAACACAGGCTACAAATTCTTCCTGATATCCTCTATGGTCTAAATTTATTTCAAAATGTGAGTTAAATGATAATGAATAACAGCATTTGCATTTCAATCATTGAGGGACATTGTACGATTTATTCCATATATCACTTTTGTCTGGCTGTCTCATGACAAATGTCATTACTTGATGTTGACATGCTCTTGAATATACCTCAGTGTGACCCACACAGTAGGCTAAGGTTCGTGGACTGGAACTCATTTTGGAGCTGCAGTCCTGAACATGCTGTTCAAAGTGCTTTGAGCGGCTGTAGACATGAACATGCTGTGATATGATAGACAGTAAACGGCTGGTCAAACACGTGTTATTTTCCCCTTCTTGTGAAATGATTACAACATAGTGAACAGAGGATAGGTGACACCCGTGTAACAGTGGGTGGTTCCATATTCACCCATTCACACCACATTTGTACACTGGTGGCAGGGGCTGCTATCTAAAGCGCCCACTGTTACAACTTATCTCGAGTGTGACCCAAAGAGGTTTGACGCTGACGTGATGACATTTGAACAACATCAACCAACCTCTGACCTTTAAAGACCAACATCCCCTCGCAGACATGAATCAAAGTACGAAAATAATCTCAAAGATCCTTCCTGTCTGATCACTTTAATATTACTCTGCTCCATCTAACTATCACATCACAGCAGTAAAGATAACGCCCATCTCTGAGTTGAGTGTCACACTGTTCGATTTTACATATATGATAGTAGATGGTCAGGTTTGGAACAGTTTATGACATTTGACCTGAACCTTTCAGACACCCACAGAGGAGCACAGAATGACTCACAAAGACATCTAAAAACCAACAGGCAACACAGTCGAGACAGTTTTCGAATAGGCGCCCATGTTACCAAAGTGTCGTGTTAAGGTTTAAAACTAGTGCCTAAAACGGTGTCTGCTGTCTTTTGTCTTTGGACACACAGCAAACTGTTCATGTTCATTTAGCTTATTCAAAACTTGCAAACAATGCAGCATTAACTTACTTCTTATTGAGTTTTGTTGTAGACAGAGTTTAAAAATGTAGCTGGAAATAAAATTTCCAGACAGTTTTGGAATTGTTTGCTCTATTTTTTATATTGATTTCAAGATATAACCACTGTTTGTTTGAATCCACGATTTCTTTTAATGGGCTGAATAAAAGGTCTTAGGTTGGCCAAGCAATATATCTGTCCAGCTTTGAAAGGGCATAGTCCACTTGTTTTTATTTTATGTCTTATTGTCTCAATTGTCAAATGTCATACTATTTTTTTGCATTTTTGATCTAATACTTTAAATAAAAAATTTAAATCAACTTTGTAAAGTTATTAGCTGGTTAAGAAACACATTAAAATTTCCAGTAATGCCACAAAAATAAACAAGGCTGACATCTCTTTACTGTAAGTTTCAATGTGTGAAACCTCTGCTAGGGGCAAGTTTTCACGCCACATGAATGACAGCTGACTGAATGAGAAAACCTGTTACCACAGCAAAGATTTACAGTGAATGATAAATGTGATTGTCAAAAGAACAGAACAAAGTCAGCAAAAGATAAGAAATATTTTTAATCCATCAAGGGTGCTCAAATAAACAGAAACCAGTTCTTTACAGGAGCTTTAATAAACGCTTATATTTTTTTCAAAGAGAGGTGCAAAAAAACACAATATCATAGGTTTGAATCATCAACAATGCAGAATACAACAGTAAAAGGATGGTACAAAGAGTTAATACCTTAATAAGTAAAATAAAATACAATAGAAAATATGGAGGCACTGTTCCCGGTTGACAATTGGAGATAGTGATAAAGTTGAGGGATCCGAATAAGGGTTAACCACAAAACTAAAACATATAAGCAGAAAAGGCAGAAACTAGTTTGTTGTGTTAACACGAAGACATTACATTTGGTGGGAAAAAATCGTTTGATTTGTCCGTTGAACGTGATAAACTATTTTGTAAAGCATTAGATGATGCTGGCACAGGAAGGAGTCACAGGTTTCCCCTGATTTGTCTCCGCGTAGGTCAAGTTCCCCCGAAGAGGGGTGCTGCCCCTGAGAGATTTTACCGTTCACTGTAAAAAGTCCCAAACTTGCTGTGAACAAAACAAATGACTTTTGCCAAGATTGAATTTACTAGTGCAGTTGTTAAAATGAAGGAAAGACATCCTCTGAAGCACCAAATCCCCCAAACTCCCCAAATTCTGCCAGTCTTAAAAAATGTCATAAAATGAAGTATTTTAAGAGAGACTGAACACGTAAATGTATTTAGAGGGTTAGGGTTAAGAAAAGCCAGCTGAAGGATTTTTTTTTTCTCAAATTTTTCTAAAAACTTCAACCTAACATTGACTTTTTTATGTGTTGATGTCAAGCTCATTTTTATGTCAAATAACTTGGGGCGCTGATATCCTTTTACTGTTATTTTTCTTAAACCTTAACATGATTTTTCTACCCGACCGAAAGTCAGTGTCTGCTATGTATAAGGTTGATTTGCAGCCAGTATTTTAATATGGCGTACTTTTGAACTATAACCAAACATCTGTACAACACAGGAGTATAACGATTTTGCATTGACATCTATTGCCTGCTGGGAAATGTTTCTGTCATGAGACTAACAGTATTGAGGTATTTCACAGAGTGGGGACAAACAAGAGTGGGTCGTCTGAAATTCATGGCTCATCTTGGTCTGTATGACACAGAAAATTTCGGGTCGCCATCTGTCCCCCAGAATGGAGTTCCTACTGCTCACCAAAACCAGTCATGGTGATTCATAACAACCTCTCATCCATGAGGGGGGGGGAGAGTTCGCCAGTGAAAACTTTCAAAACAAAGCCGGGAACTATGACACTGTATCACAGTCGTGGATCTCCTAAATATTTCCGCTCTTTCCCCCAATCGGTGACAAACTCAGCCATGATCCAGATCAGAAACACAGACGATCAACTGTTGACGCAACTAATCCCCACTTACGACCATACTCAGACAGTCTGTGGGTGAAACATCTCTTGCACTTGTGCACACACACAGACCACAGTTTCTGTACAGCTTACTTTCCGTTTCTCTTCAGGAAACTCTCTGCTTTGTTCTGCGCTCTGAGCCGTTTCTCTCATGCAAATGACTTATTTGAACTCTGCTGTGCCGTTGCCTCAGCACCGATGCTTTCCAAGCTGGTGGAAAGAAGTGTGTAATTGTAAATGTCATGTGTCTATATCTCCCATGTAAAGCCCAACTCTCTCAGAAGAACTTCAGTTAGAGGTAAAAGACTCTCTGGAGGTTGAGGGACACATTTTAATGTCTTCTGAAATGACACCAGGTTCAAATCAAAGCCTGCCAATCTCAAGGAAAGGTATGCACTCCTCTCAGCACAAAATCTTAACTGTTCAAGTTTGTATTTATGTCAAAATTAAGTCTCAGCAATTGAAATTTAATTCTTTATTTTTTGTTTCACAGGGATTGACAGGAATTGCTGCAAGCTGAACAAATATAAACCAAAATCTGAAAGGATCTGCCACTTCTCAGGGTCGAAAACAAAGGAACAGAAAGTTAAAAAATCTCCACGCCTCAGGACTTGTATGGCATTTTGCTTTAAGGTAAGTGACATTATAACTGAGTCTTTTCTGCTTCAATTACTCACTTAAGAACCATGTGTCTGGACTCAGATTTAATGCTTTGTCTTGCATCTTTACAAGATGAGAGAAGGAGTCATTATAAAGGAGTCTTTATACTGAATGTCAGTCTTGTGGGGTGAAAAGTATTTTAAGGCCAGAATGAGTTTTGGATGTTGTGGATTCTCACCTATTTTAAAAAGCATGTAAAATTGACCACTTAACTTATTTAACAGCAAAGATTTTAATGTCAAGTACACATGTGAATTTGAAACTTTTTTCCTTCAGTGTCTGTAAAACACCAAAATTTGAAGAACACAGAGCTATTTGTAGTCTCAGGTTGACGCCTCCTGGAAAATAAGCAAATCAGACGATCAAAAGCCTCCCTGTAACTGTGACATTAATGCTGGTTGTCTTCATTGGCCGTCTGTGTGCTTTTAACTAGGACCGGGTGAGGATGGAGCACAGGGGACCAGCTGTGGATTCATACTCTGACAGGACTGACGGGAGACTCAGGGAACTGGCTTCAAAATGGTTCATAGAGACTCAAATGCCGTTCATCGTTCACAACGGGTTCTTCCCCTCTTGGTTCCTGGGTTTTATCACAAGAAAGTAAGAGTTTTCTCAGGAAAATTATCACTATACAGATTTTAAAAAATTAACAAACTAAGCTCATTTGGTGCAAAGATTTTTGTTGTCAGTCTTCTATCACGAGGGTCAAGAATCAATTTTTAATGAAAGCTTATTTGATTATGGCAAAAAAAGAAAACGTATCCACTTATGTGATTATTTTTATTTATTTTAGCTTATTTCTTAGCTTGTCTGTATTCATTTAGCAGGTAAGGGATTAGATAGAGCAGGAAAATAAGGAAGAGGGAAGGCTGTAGTTTGGAATTAAGCTCTGGCAGGATTATAATTTCTGTACATGAGGCCAAACCGGCGCCTCACTGTGTTTAAATTTTACATTCAACTTCCTAGTAGAACATGTCAAAATCATACAGTGTTTTAAATATGAAATATGATTTTTTTAGGGTAAATAAATGAAAATAGCTAACCACTTAAGCTGTAATCATTCTTCATAAAATTATGAGTCAATAATATTTTCTGTGAAACACGTATCGAGCACTGTTTTCATGCCTGGAGGATTGTTGATTCAGTTTTTCTGAAGAAATTACCTACAGGCCCTTGATCTGACAGACTTACTGTAAAATACACCCACATAAAAGCGCTGTCATGGTAAATAAGAGGTTAATGGAAAAGACATCAGAGCAAAGGGAATCTCCTTTGAAGCACGTCAGATCAATTACAAATGCTGGAAATTCAGCCTCACTTTTTGTGTGAATTCAGACGGATTGGGGAGAAAAAGACATATTTAAAAATCTGTTATTTTGTTTGTCTGTATAGGGATGCTGAGGAGATACTCCGAGAGAAGGACCTTGGCTGTTACCTGATCCGTCTCAGTGAAAAAGCCATTGGATACATACTGTCTTATAAGTGAGTGTTTGGTTGTTTCAGAGTTGCAGAGAGAGCATGTTTGGAAATAAACCAAAATTTTAAGTTTCAATGTAAGCGTCAAAATCTCATTAAAAATCAAGTTTTCCGGGAAACTTTTAAGCTTTTTGTTTGTAGATAATTTCATCTGTAAATACTTTTCTGCCTAAAACCACAGATCTGCTGTTAAAGCTTTGAAATTCCCATTGAAATTATCAGAACTTTTTGGCCAAAAGAGCAAATGTCATTTCATGTTCCTAGATATATTCAATATTTCTGATTTTGTGAGTCAAATTAAGTCTGCTCTGATAATAGCATAAAAAGTGACAAGGTTGTAAGAGCTGTTTTATTTCCTGTTGCAGAGGCAGGGATCGATGTCGACATTTTGTGATCAACCAAAGTGAATCGGGGCAGTTTGTAGTCTGTGGAGACACCAGAGGACACGACACGATCTTTGATTTGATCGAGCACTACAAGACCAGCTCCATTCAGCCGTTTAGAGAGTATCTGACATCTTCATGCTGTGAGGTAAAAAACTACTGAGTCACTTTTTTATTTGTCATAACCAATGTTGATCTTTGAGGTAAATCTAACTAGGGTTTTGTTCTCGTAGGCTCTAAATGAAGGTCTGTATGATATCATCCAGGTCAGCCCCAAAGAAAAACCTGCAGCTGCTGTCAAAAATGGGAAAAAACAACACTTACCGTCAGAGCAGCCGCCGTCACGGCCACCAAAAACTGTCAGGACACCAGAGGTCAGTCGGTATTATTCAAAGTAATAAATAATCTGAAGTTGTAAATGTTTAGATATGTCCAAACTGACTGGAGGAACCTGTTTTGTTTTTATTTTAATGTAGGAGGTACCACCTTTGCCTCGCAGGAGCAGAAACCTCGATGCTGCGACCCTGAACAACCAGGACAATGTGTTATATGCTCAGCTCAGGAAGCAATCGCCCAGAGAGAAACCACGATCTCAACATTACTCACAGGACAATATACAAGCAGATAAAGACACAATGAGAGTTAAGTCTCCATCTGAATCCAGCTCTGTTTACTACCCGCTCAACTTTCTGGAAAGCAAGAGCAGATCTCTACCTCTCTTAGACAACAGCTCTGATGAGGAGAAGTCTTACAGGCTGAGCGCAACTCCACACACACCACCAAGACTTTCCCCAAAGCCTTCCAGACAAGCAGCATCCTGCAGCCCACAGCAAGAGAGGACGTGTGTGTACAGCAGACCGAACAGCAGTCATAGTCTGGAGCTCCAGAGTGACAGTGCTGTTTATCACCTGGCTGGCAGGCCTGGTAGTCCTCACGCTGAGCTGAGGTCACTGACATCAGTGCAGCACCACGAGTCAGTGTACACTGAGGTCACCGATGAGGCTCTGCTTTACAGGAATCCTCACTTTAACACATACGAGTCGATATCAGTCAGTGATGACCCCGCTCAGCCTGAACCTAACAGCATCACTTATGAGCCTCCGATGGATATCAGACCCAAAAGTAGTCACTCCTCCTGCGGTTTAAAGGTCAGTGAAGTCAACGTTTTTGATTTGATTCCTTCAGGACTGAAAAAATGTGTTCACAACATCAGTTTTCATCCTATTTATACAAGAACCTTTTTTTTCTCTTGTCATGCAGAATGATAAATGGAAGTGGCTGCTCCCTGACATCAAGAGAAAGTGGTGAAGACATGAGGACCGGGACAGAAAGTTCACTAAAATAACTCTGACACTAATATTATATCTTTTAAAAGCCTCTTTTCTGATGACTTGCATAGGCTTTCATGTTTATAGCTATTTAAAGGACTTTTATGTATTTATTTAAAAATGATGAGACCCTTAAGCAAATGTGTTAAATGAAAACCAAGGAGTACACTGGATATTGACAAAACTCTGAGACATAAATAAAGAACTAATTATTTCCTGAGTGACCTTTATTTACTTATCTTTTTCTTTGCTACTGAGGTGTTTCAAGCATTAGACATCATTATTTAAAGATAAGTAACTATCTAAAATAAGCTGCACTGTGTTTCACAGCTCATTTCCGAAACATTTTCTAGCTTTAATCCGCTGACATCAATGCTGCTCTTTATTCACAGGAAACTTCATTTGCATAAAGTTTTCAAAAGTCAGTGTAAAACGGTTACAGGGAAGTGGGTCAAAGCTCTTTAAAATGTCACTCCCTCTCTTCTATCATGTGCTGCTTTTTCTCTCTTTATTTAGTCTTCTAGTGGCATTTACATAAAACCCCAGTCTGTAAAACTTCTTTGACTTTCTATGCCCCGGTACATTTTTAACAGGGATCTTTTATTCACTGCAGGAACAACTTAAATGTTGTGTTGTGTAAAACTTTGACAGCATGCTGTAATAAAATAAGGTGATTCCCCTGCAGCTGATGAAGTACAAACTAGGGGTTTGCAAACTATAAACTCAAATAATTAAAGAATTAAACTAAGAAGGTATAAAGTGTTTTGATATTTCTGTTTATCATTTTCTGTTGCATGGCTGGAATACAGATGACAGAGCGAGAAAACGGAAATGTGACATTCAACCAGCTGTTGTAAATGTCTTCTTGTATATCTATGGGTTAATGCACCTGTGGTTAAAATTTTTACATGATTACCAATAGACCAGGAAAAGAAGGAAACAGAGAGGTAATGTTCAACCTATCCATGCATAAAGAATAAGGGGGAACTCAGGCGGGTTACTGGCAGACAGCTGCAATGTACCAGCATGTCAGTCAAATCTGTCACACTTCTTATAATGCAAATTTATGCATAATTCTTCACCTGGGTGGAGAAATTCACACTAGTGCAGTGCAAACCAATAAAGAAATGAGTTATTCAGACCATGACAGATATTCATACCCACATGTAAACTTGCTTTGAAAAATGGGCATTCTTGCATGAGTTTTCTCAGGGCTGTCTAAAGTGCACACATGACAAACTGCAGTTTTTGCTTCATTTTTCAAACCCAGAGGTTGCTGCTTGGCAAGTCACATTCAAGCTGGATGATGCAAGTTTGTAACTTGCATAACCATGAATGGTAAGTTATGTACAAGCAACAAGCTGATTGTTTGACTCAGATACTGCTTGGACACACATTTAAAAAATACTTCGATATGTACATATATATATATTTTTATATTTTTTATTGACATGCAATGATTGGAATTTATCTCAACCAAAACTCCAATGGGATGATGGTGATGAAATGAAAATCTGTACTGTATTTACGATTCAGAGCTAAAACCCCAAACTAATTATAATGTTAAAAAGGAAATAAAGATGAGTTTAATTCAATAGAGAACTGACAGACATGTCTAGTGAATAGCAACTGTGTTATATTGTCAGTCATTCATAATCATAATGCACCACTTCCAGTACACAGTTCTACATCATAACATATAGGACTATTCTCCTATAGGTTGACCGATCAATTGGTTAAGTTGGTTATTGGCATTTCAAAATATTTGATATCAGCAGATATCTGCCCTGAAGAGACTGATTTAAAAAACAAAGATCATGTCTGCAAACTCTGCAGGCAACCTAGTTTATGAAACTGCTGAAAACTAATGTCAAATAGCAGTGATGAGATGTTTAATAGCAGCAGATTAAATCATTTCATAAACTAATTCCAAATCCATTCATTTTGTGTTTCTGGCTCAGATAACCATGGATATTAGAGTATAATGTACAGTGATTTATGGCTGTTATTATTACTGTTATAATTTATGTAACATCGGCATTATCTAGTAGTCATCGGCCGACTGGCTCTATAAATATCGGCAATGTTATCGGCCATCAAACACCCTGCTCAGTGCTCAGTTGGATACATTTTACCACAGTGTTACCACCTTTTTGTAAACCACAAAAACATTTTTTTTAAGTAAAAATTTGGGGAATACAATGACCAGCAACATTATCATCCACTACAATCTGTGGCCAACCATGGTGTGAGACCGCTGCTGTCACTGCGCTGACGGCACCATTTTAAATCAGATTCAACCAGACAAGGAGGCCATGAGGTGAAATCAACATGAGTTTCACACCCTGTTTAGCTATTTTCTGTCTCAGATTTGACTCTGTACAATAAACGCTGCTTTACAGCCCCAGTATCACTAAACACTAGAGGTGTCTCTGCTGGATAAGTCATTAACAGATGCTCTCTGTGAGTAAATTAATGAATGCAAATGAGTATCTCACCCTGGATACTTGATCATGCTCTTATAAAGGGAAGTGGAGACAACTGAACATGGATTTATCTAGCAGCATGATAACCACACACCCTTCATGCCAACTTTTCTGAAATACTGTCATGATCTGAGCCTTTTTCTTTTTGCTGCGACACAAGATTCAACCTTCGGCCTCGCTACTTCAACCTGAGCTGAAAAATAACACAACAGCTAATGACCCTGATGCAAATGTGTGCCCCACAACCAAGGAACCAGCGTCCATTAATCTTCACTCTACATGATAAAGGCTGCCATTTCCACCGGCTCAATCCTGATGAGATTAACTGTCCAGGATGTAATCACGCCTGTGAGTGCTGAGGCAGCTTGCTCCTAATGATCACATCCTGCTTAACAAGTTATTACAGCTCATATGATAGGCTGTGCAGAGGCAGAGACATTTCCTGATATTTACTGTGCACACGTCCTTATCTTTGCTGGTGGGTGGACTGCAGTCAAGGGGTAGAGCAGGGATTATAAGGAACAAATCTAAGGGTTTAATTACTAACTACTGTGTATGTTTTGCATTGAGTAAATACACCTCAAAAAACAGTTCAATCAGAAAACAATATTTATTCAATACAATAAATACCTGAAAGAACATAAAATACTGTAACATGTTAATCCAAAAAACATGGCTGTAGGTAAAATCTCATGATAATGGCTGTGGAAATAGATGAAAGCCTCCAGAAATAGTTCAGAAGAGAGAGAGCCCTTTGTTTCACTGGAGAACAGTAAGAAATGATTGTCATTTCCCAGCTCCATAATAATGACAGTGAGTACAGCATGTACAAATATAGCTCATATTATAAAACATCTGTATGCCCTTAATGCTAACACTGTGCTTTCATTATCTTCAAGCTTTATCGATAGTTAATATTTTGTGTTCATAGTAGGAAGACTTATCTGAGTATCCCATGTGCAATATAGGTAGATAAATGTGCCCCATAAGCAGCAGAGTCTGCTCGCTTTTTCACTTTTTCATCATCGTTCTTCCTCCCAACAGGAGACCAGTTCAGGTCAAGCCCTTTCACAGCTGGTGAGGAGAAATTACAGATTCATCCACGGTGAGGAAAGTCAGCATCCTGGAGAATCAGTAGTATAGAGTGTTTGCTGTTTTTTTGCAATGGGAGGGTATAACAGGCACTGTGCTGTAGTCAGAACAGGGTGCAGGTAGAGTCCTGAGGCTGTCCTCCACACTGTCCGCAATGGAAATTTTAGTTCAGATTCGTATATGGAAAGTGCTGCAGAGACAAAAGAAACGGTATGAGGGAGCAGCATTGAAATAAAAGGAGTCATTGTCCATGATTGTAAATGTCAGTATGAACACACAGAGTGGAACTGCTCGCCACAAATTTGCCACTGCTTTTCATATTCAAGAACAAAACATGTAAACAAATGCTTTAGTTTGTGATTACCTCAAAAAGTCTGGAGCCCTAGTTATCATATTTTCAAAGTCAGCATAGGAAAGTTTGTTGTCTCCATCCAAATCTGCTTCCTCTATGGTCTTCTCACACACCAGCTCCACCTCTTCAGGAGTCAGCTCCTCTTTTGTCAGCTTGTTCAGAGTTTTCTCCAGGTCCTCTTTACACAGGTAGTTATCTACATTGAAATCTGTTACAGGAAACAGGGTTTTAGCAAAAATGATCAAGTTATAGAAAATGAGATTACATGGATGTTTTGGTCAATACCGTATATTTTGAAGGCATAAATAGCCTTAAGTTCTCTAGGAGCCATTTCACTGAGGACTGAGAACATGTCAACAAACTCATTGAAGCTAAGATTCCCCATCCCGTCCTCTGAGAACGACTCGACAATCCTGTTGCGGAACGGGTTCTCCTATAGAGTAAAATGAAAAATGACAATGTTAGTGTTGGACCACATTTAAGGAAAGCTAAGACTGAGTATGTACAGCACAGTTAGGATGGGAAAGTCTGATTAAATACCCAGTATGCTTTTGTTTTGATTTGTTCCGTTATTGCCCTCTGTCGGGGATTTGTGGTGGGCAAAGTTCTTTCTTCACATGGTGTTCCCCAAGGACCCATTTTAGTCCCCATATACATGTAGCCCCTATAGACTGTGTATACTATGGACAACTTGGTTCCACTTTCCACCAGTATACAGATTTGAAGCCGAAACGCTCTCTGTAATTCCATGTTTTTTCTTAACTTCCTGAAACCAACACTGCACATTGTACGCATTTGGTGGTAGAGTCGCAGAGAGTCGCTGTGATGACGCTCGGCTCAAACAGCGTATTCCTGGGTGAGCTACGCAATCTTCGTACGCCCATAGGCTGTATCAAGTGTCAATCATAGAAAACATGAACCCCCTAATAAAACTGAGTTGTACAGAAAAAAAGAGGACAAACCAGTCTTACTGTAACTACATGTCAACATCACAACCAGGGGGGAGAAAAATTTATATTCTGTGTAAAAAAATTTCTAAAGTTTGTCCACAGCTCCATAAACTTTGCTGGCAGAGGCGGGATTTATGACCTATACTGCAGCCTGTCACCAGAGGGTGCTGTTCTCTGAGTGGCTTCACCCAGCGAGGAGGCAGACGGCGTCCATTCTATATACAGTCTATGGTTGCCCCCATTACAAATAGACTGTAATGTTTAGAAAATTTTCTGTGCAGCTGATATCCAGTTATATTTTACATATTTCATTCTAGGACTACCACAAAAATTCCCTTTCTATTTAATTTTCATAGTTTTATTTGGCTGAGAACCACAGTGCCTGTGATTGATGCTATAGAAATAAAACTTTCTTTCCTGATTTCATACATGGGGTGATGATTTTCTGCTAATAAAGGCTCAGCTTTGTTTTAAAGAATGAAGTCTGACTCCCTCGCTTTACTGGTGTGGTAAAGCCAATATTTTCTCCTCTATTACTCAACCATAAGCTTCTCATTTACATCCTACAGTTTGCTGATTTGACACATCTTATCATAAATTCTACTTGAAAAGAAAGCAATCAAGTGGGAGTTCAAATCCGGGGTAATTTCTAACCTGCTGGCAATAGAGCAACAAAGCATGGTTAGCATGTTTGAGCTCAATACAAGCTCAGCAAAGAGAGCCATTTGAATCAGTGCAGTTGACTTAACACAGCACATTAAAACTGGCCCGGCAATGTATTTATGAAGCTGCAGAGAACATTGGTTGACTCTTTATTGTCTTGGCCTCATCGGTTCTGCCGTTGATAGTCTTCATCTTGCTCCTGCCATCCTCACAGACCTTGAAATCATCTGACAGTTTAACAGGCAAGAGCCAATTATGCCCGAGGTAAAGACGCATTATGAGTCTCTGCTAGGCCCCTCGGTGGATAAGGTCTCCATATAAAACTGTGTCGTACTTTTGTCTGGGGGAGAAATGTGGAAGTAATTGTGGCCATGATGTCACGCAACATGCCTTTTTAAAAAAAGAAAAAAAGAAAAGAAAAAGTTGCTTATCTTTACAATAGTGAGGCACTTTATAAAAGGAGGGGAAGCATCACTCAGCTGAGGTGGAGCGGCTGAGGCTTCATGGCACATTAACTTCCATAAGCTCACGGAATATGATGTCATGCAATCAGATCAGTGTCGGTAATGGTCAAAAAAATCAATTCTGTCCTCTGAGAAAGATATTGATTGGGTGCTGGCCCTCATGAGCAGTGTAGGCCATGTTTGTTTTAATGCCTTTAAAGCACAATCTAAACATTTCAGGACAGTCAAAGAGACACATTAAAGGGATATTCCAGTGTAAAATTAAATTAGGGTCAAACACACCACAACACCGAGTTAGACACCCCCTTGAGAAATGAATATTGCTGACCGCTTGCTTCTCTAGTTAAACCACTTTCAGTAACAACCGCACGATAGCAATACACAGCAGTCTCAGAGCCATAAACAAACCTCAACCAAAACACCACTCTAGCGGCTGCTGGAAGAGAGTAGGTGAGTTGTGTTTAGTCTCTTTGCTAAAGAAATTAGGCAAAGCTAAAAAGATGTTTGGTGGCTAGTGCTGTGGCTGGGACCCTATAGATACTGTTGATGAAGTTAGGTGCTGTTCTGCTGGCTATAGAGTGGCGTTTTGGTTGAGGTTTATGTGTGGCTCCTCAGACCGCTGTGTATTGCTATTGTGCGGTCATTACTAAAGTCGGTATAACTAGAGAAGCAAGTGGTCAGCAACATCTCTAGAGGGGGTGTCTAACAGGTGTGTTTGACCCTAAATTAATTGAAACCAGAATATCCCTTTAAAAGTAAAAGTGAAAACAGCTGATTCATTTCAAAACAGTTACCAAATAAGGGCACAGGACTCACAGTGTAAAGATGGATTTTTACCTTTAGCTCTGGCATGTTGACTATTAAGGCTAAAGGCAGTTTACAGTCAGGATCATTGGTGTAGTCCATCGGCACAAGATGTGGAGCCAACTCATGGTATCGTCCGTGCAACCTAGAATCAAAATAGGAAAATAAAAACCTTTTAAAAAATGAGGTTACTTCTGTTTTTCTTGTACAAAGAAGGAGGAGAAAAACTTACTCTGTGACATACCTGTAAACTACAGGTGCAGCTCAAAAAAATTGAAATGTCCTTATGTTTGTCCTTAGGAACCATGGTCAAGGACAAACTCAGTGTAACTGAACTGAATAAACTTGTCTAATGATGGAGTTTCAAGGATGCAAAAAAACATAAAATACTGTGATGTAATGTTAACGTGGAGATTTGAAACAAGGCAGAACAAGTACAGATACGTGTACTTATGACTTCAACAGATGACTTTTTTCTGATATTACATAACTGAGTGGTTACTGTCACAGCTGGGAACAGAAGCAGTGGGTGTTATATGATGGTCATCAAGTGTGGAACCCAATCATGCCCTCTGCTGATCACCGATTTAGCTTCCATTTTAATGAAGGCCTTTCAAGTTAAATGAATATCTTATGGGAGGAGCAGAAGTGATGCTCACTGTGTTCTTCAGTGAAAAGAGATGAAAAAAACAAGCAACTCTTCTGGACACATTCCCAAGGAAACTGATTTGTTTTACACTTGACTTCAACATGCATGTTCAATTTTACTTTGTTGTCAGTTCTTGATTTTGCACAATTCAAAAAGAAAGTGACAGACTGCAGCTTTTTTTATTCAGAAAACCTTACTGTACATTCAGGGTTGTTTCATTTCTGTCTTTCCTGGAATCCCTTACTTTTCATCTTTTCCTTTTTGACTCTCTATAATGTACGCTTAATTTCTTTGAGTACTTCTCTATCTTCAAGACACAGCAACCAGAGCATCATTTGTGATTCCATTAAACTGAAACCACCCACTTTAATTTACGTCCGTCACTGAGAAGGTGAGTGACGGGAAGAGAGAAACGATGCTACCCAGTGAGTCATGATACCTTTCGCCATCCACAAGAGACAGATTTTTGGTAAGTATTAGGGTTACACGTGTTGAGGGAGGCAGAAATGTGACACTGGGCTGGTTGGCAGTGAAAACAACACCGCAGTCAAAAGGTCAACATGACTTTTTAAGGTTAGGTAACTCACATCTTCACAGAAAAACTTGTGAAACAGACTAGCACGTCTATAGAGTGTATGATTCATGTATGCTTGAATAGTGTCTGGATAAGCTTGTGGTGTCAAATTGATACGATGTGCAGGGGTGTCCACAAAGAAATTTGGTGGCCATCAAATGACAAAATGAAAACAACTTCACTCCTTAATTAGAAAAACAAGAATAACTTTTAATAGCTCTGGAGAGTTGATTAAAGTCTTACCGCAGAATTTCTTTGCGGGTGAAAAACGTACAGTCCTGCAATAAAATTAAAAAACAGTATGTCAGCACAAAAATACAATATTACTTAAATAAGGGTTCTGTTGCTCCCTCTATGAATCACATGAGGTACCATTACAGTTACTCTAAGGTCATATGGACAGTCGTCTCTGTGAACATGTGTCAGGGTGTCTGGTGTCTCTTAAATGCTGACGTGTGTGAGTGTTGTCACCTTCCATTTTGCATCAGCGAGGATCGGGCAGGGGAACATGATCGGCTGTTGTCTGACATGCAAGTGCTGGCACATACATTCCCCTTAGGCTGCCCACTTCTATAGTTTTTTGTGAACTTACATCTGTTTACTTTAACTTGTGCTGCTTTGAAAATGTGATTAGAAATGAGAAACTTGCTTTCCTGGCACCCAATTAAATACACCCGCTCAGGTCAAAACAAGCCAAATTTGTTTAATTTTGTGTAAATAAACAGTAAAGACTTGTTTCATATCTACAAGTAAGGAATACAGAGTAATGGTAAAAACTCTGGGTCAGTCGTCTGCTGTTGAATTGAATGTTAAATCATAAATATTTGATCTTAAACAGAGAAATAAATCAACCCAAGGGTAAAATAGTTAACAAGGCAAACAGAAAGCAACAGCATCTTTGGGAGGGCTTTTAAAAAAGCAGCAGGAGTAACCAGAGAGGCTCTTGAGAACTTAACAGTCTCCTGAGAGTAGAGTTTCACAGCATATTGCCGCGGCTTGGCATCAATTATTAAATCCACTCTGAATCACATGATAAACCTGTGCACATGGAGATGCATTTCTTCACAGGAAAACAGAAACTTCCAGTTTTACCCGAGATGAAATATGAGCCAAGTATTTGGGTGAAGTCACGGCTGACTATTGAAGTAAGTGATGAGATGATTGTCTGTCATTTACCACTGATCTTGAGGGACAATGAAAACATATTGCTGCTTTTTCTCCCTATTTCAACAAAACGCTGCACTTTTTCATTTGCTTTTTCACACAGGAGAAACAGACTTATGTGTCAGAATCAGAGAAAAAAACACTTTTACTTCTTAAATTTTTTTTCATCAAGTGTTCAGGTGGGAGTTGGTCATACTTCCCACATGCTGGAGGTAGACACGTGCATGCATGCTTACCTGGTATGCATCAAGTTGCTCGTCGGTAAATATAGTTTGTTTATTTCCCATCTTAGTCAAACCATTGGTTCATTCAAGCTCATTCACAACTCTGAACGTCCGACGCCTTTTTTCAATGAAAGGCATTTAGTGGGTCCGCGGAGACAGCAGTCCCCTCGCGTTGAGGTTTAAACTCCTAAAAAAAGGGTCACAGTTACCACTCAGTCTTGCAGGGGAGGTCCATCATAGCTGCAGAAGAGAGTACTCTTAAAAAGGCGAGAAAAAATGAAAAGTAGTCGAGCAGTGTCCCGGTGTGTCAAAGCCAGCGGGGGAAGAGCTGCAAACTGATCTGCGTCTGCTGAGGCACCCTGATGCTGTTCACCGGAGGAGAGACAACCCAATAGGACCTTAGGTATATAAATAAATAAACTAATGTGAATGAAAGCCCGCTGCATGGCGACCAAGACGCTATTTCGCTCATATGAAGGAAACTACACTGACCGGGGTCATGTTTGGTACGGTGGCCGAGAACCGCCACTGCTACAAAAAAAAAAAAAAAAAGAAAAAAAGAAGAAACCCAAGCCTGTTGCAAATTAAAAAGAAACGGTGCAGATAAAAACAAAAAAAGCCACAACGGAAATTAATGATGCAAAAAAAAAAAAAAAAAAAAAAGTGGCGATGGAAAAAAAATTACTTATTGCGAAAATAAAAGGATGCAAAAAATAAAAAGCCAAGCAAAGAAGTAAGTGGAAAGGTTATTGCTTAATTTCGCTTCGTAAACTTTTCAATGTGGTTAGGCCATGTTGTGCCTGATTCAATATGGAGTTTAACTGAAGCTAACACTACACAAACAACCTTCAGTTCAACTTCATATCAACTCAGGCGCTACATGACCTAACCAAATGACACATTGAAAAGCACACGAAGCGAAATTAAACAATAACCTTTCCACTAATAACTTCTTTGCTCGTCTTTTTGCCATCGTCTTCTGTGCCTAGATCGTAAAACACCGGTGTATCATATCATATCAAATTTTGTTGTGGTTTCTTTTTTAATTCTTTTTTTATTTGCAGCATTGGCGTTGTTTTTTTTTATTCTTTTTTATTTGCAGCCACCGTATGTTTCATTCAGGCAACAAATCATTAAAATTACTATTCATTTATTTGTATAAAAAAATATTAAGTGGGTTAGTTCATCCCTTGGAGGATGCTCATTTCATCTTATTTAAAACAGACTTGAACACTCAGGTCTCTACATTTATAGTCACCAGATCTTTACTAGCTCTGCAAGAAGAGATGAACTTTTAATTAAACCTGTTGCACAGTGGAGACATACAAATATGTATATGTGTTAGACAATAATGCATTTTCTTGTCAGCCACGTCCCCATCTCTCCACACACTAATATTACCCCCCTCTATCTCCTGTGCTGGGCTGGACTGCAGAGACTGAAATCCGTATCCACCTGCGTGCTGTTGCTGTACAGCAGTACAAGTGATCGTGTCCTGACTACACCCCAGGACAGATGCCAATTTCACACTGCCATTAAAACAACCACCCTCTTGCCTTTCTACCGCTCAGTTAAAACAACGTTTCCACCTCGGCAGGTAGCTTTGAGTAGCAAAAGTTGCCCTGTGATGGATTCAAAGCGAGATAAAGAGCAAGGTAAGTTGTGTCGGATAGCTTGTTGCTACGTCGCTGAGCTAACCATCATTAGCGGCTTGTGCTAGCTAGCAGCGGATTAAACTGAACTGTAGCTAACTGTGGCGTACTCTTCGTTACACGACATTTTACGTGTGTCATCATCAGAGGAACAGGGACGAATAATTTCAATTTCATTGAGTAACCCACCCACCTTCACCCAGCTGATTCATCCTCATGAAAATTACTCCGCTGCTCCAAGTAGCTACATACATTAGCTTACAGTATTTACCGGTGGCTAGCTGTCGAGCACAGATAAACACCATGACCTTTATTTCTGCAGGTGTAAACAAATACAAGGTGTGTGTGCTGACCCTGCTTGTCCTTTCCATAACTCTTCCCTCCTTTATGAAAGTGATGTGATGATGGCACTCTGCCCTCCTCCTCTGCTTATTCAATGAAAATTCAAAGAAAAGACAAGAAAAAAATCTTCATGCATTTATGAAGATTTTATAATGTATCAAGATAGAAACAGAAAATTCAGAGCCAGCATCATTATTTCTAGTTAACCAGATGAGTCTGCTCTTTCAGTGACGCTGCAGTCCTCAGGGAATGAGTGCTTCATTTGTGCAGAGCTCATGAAAGAGTATTCAAGTGGAGTAGTAGTTGAGTTAGGGACTGAAGCTGCCCCAGGAAAGAAAAGCAAATCTAACTCCCTCAGTTGTTATTTATGCATGCAGCTGGCGAGCTTACATCGTCACAGACAAGGCACATCATCTAATGTGTGACCCCCGTCTTCTGGAGATGGCTGAGGAAAACCTTAGAGTGCTGCTGCCAGATATGCATAGATACGGTCTGGTTGAATTGTTGGTATTTACTATTCACAGATGATTGCATGGGTAATTTGATTGCTCCAGTTAAACCAGAAGAGACACACTGCTTCCAGCATTTGGCTTTCGCAACCGCTGACTCACACAAATGGGGTCTGAGTCTGTGTTGTTTACTTAAGAGTAGAAAAGTGAATGTGCTTTGCGATGCTGTAGTCTTATCTCTCCGACTCTTTCAGATGCAGATGTAGAGAAGATTACAGCGGTATTGCTCAAGTCACGCACAGGAGAGTTTGATTTGGAGTCCATCCTGTTTCTCAAACTGAGAGGTCTTGGTAAGATGTAGTAAATATATGATTCAGTTTAGATTATGGCTAAAAATGTATTGTTATTTATAAATGGTCTTGTGTTTGTCTTGCAGGAATACATGATCTGGGATGCATTGGGGAGTGTATGAATTTAGAGAGACTTGACCTCTCTGGAAATCACGTCTCAAGTCTTTCTCCTCTAGCATCTCTCCGGCTTCTGTCTGTACTGAATTTGTCCGCCAACAGGATTTCCAATTTAGGTAAGGGGCAATATTCTTTATTCAATCATTGTATATTTGCTTGATAGGGATGTATCTGTCATACATGTGAAAACTAGAGTTTTTATTCATGTCATGTTTGCTTTTCTAGAGCCCCTACGCGGTTGTGAAGGTTTACAGAACTTAAATGTGGCTGGAAATATCATCTCCAGGTATCACTTTTTGATCACTTGATGTTTATCCTGTATAAATGCTTCTGATTTAAGACAATAGACATACTGTTGTTGCTTTTAGTTTTTTTTGGCAGTATTACTAGTTAGATGTGCAATTTATTCTAATAAATAATTCATCGATTTTGTTTTCAACAGCATTGAGAACCTTCAGTTTCTTCAGTCTTTGAAAAAACTAGAAAATATACGTTTTAGAGACAACACTTACAATTACTCTAACCCAGGTAAGGTTTGTTGACTTTGTTTAAATCAACACAGTGAAGAAATTTTGTTTTTAATAGTGAGCTGACATTGATGACTCTCCTATTTTTCAGTGTGTCGAAATTCATCATATAGAAACATAATTCTTGAGATGTTTCCCACCATCAAGGTGCTTGACGGTAAGTGTTGAGACTTTTTTATTTTTATTTTGCATGACATCAGTATCGCAGAAGCCAGTTTTACACTACAAGGCTCTGTAATCAAACTGAAATCCTGTAAAATCCTTGCAATAAAACCAGCTTTGGCTTTTAACTTTCAACCAAACAACACAGGCATATTTCCGGCTCAGTGCATTATTTCAGACAGCATTGCAAAAGAGGCATTAAGTGTAAACAAGGGCATCAACATTACGTCACACACACACACGCACACACACCCTGCCCTGTCCTGCAGACTCCCCCATTTACATAGTGTCTACTTCCCTTATCATTAATATACGCACCCTCGGATCTCTGCTCCACAGCAGACCTCAGGAATTGCTTACCCTCTGCCTACAATGAAAGAATTCCTATTTTGTTAAATGTGTCTGGAAAAGATGAAGCCCAAAGAGACAGGAGGCTTCTGTAAGAGCTCAGAGCAAGGATACATTGATGTATTGTCCGTGAAAGTCTTTTGACCAAGGCCACAACGTGACTCAAGGGAGTGCAGCATGCCTCACCTCTGCACAGATGATCTTTTTTCTTCTTGCTGTGCAGATTTGGAAAAATGTAACAGTTGAGTTCCTGTGATGGTGCAAGATATTGATACAAACCTTTCTTTATGGAATATTTCACAAAATGTTGTGGCGCCCAAGAAGAAGCCTGACATATACTTTTTTACTCAAATAACAACATCGACTCAAATTCTCATGGCACCTTGGTTTTGTATAGAGCTGATCACAATAATGCTAAATTAAAAAAAAAAAACCTATAGAATTCTGCAGTCAGAGAAACGTTAATTTACAGATTTGTTTGACTTACAGGTGAAAGAGTTGTTGGACGTGGGAGTGACTTGTACCAACTATGCAAAGACATTGATGATACTATTAAAGGTACTTTGACTTGCTGTTGTGCTGTTAAGTCATATTATTATATTTTTTTTTACCTTTTTCAAGTTTTAAATGACACAGTCTTCAAATCAAATGGTATCACTGGATTTTATAAAAGAAAATGATTTACCATTCAAGCACAGTACAGCTAACCTACTTTGTTCACCTGTCTGTATATGTTTAGCTGGGTTATATAAGAATGGACAGCTTGTTGAACATACTGACTGCAAACCGTGGGTAGAGGATACCTACTGGGAGATAAAGCGATCAAATAACGCCATCGTTGATGAAGCCTACAAACAATTTAATGGTAAGACACTATCTTTTTAAGAAAACTCTTGCATGTGAACTTGACAGCCGTTAACTTAACTATATGTACACTCCTGTCTCCACAGATGTTCTTCATGAATGCCGGCTCCTCAACAACAGAGCCACTCATGTTATTTCACAAACAGAAAAGTCAATGAGTTTGAAGAAGCAGCCAAAACAATATGCCATTTAAGCTGGGCTCTTTTTGGACACTTTGTGTGCAACATTTTGCAACTTTTTGTTGTATTACTAACCATGCCTAATGTAATGTAGGTTTTTCAAATTGCTAAGCTATATCCAAATGCTTATTAAGTATCATAGCCATACACATGTGCCCTGTGCTGCAGTGTGAGGCTTTATTGAACTTTTATTTCATCCTATGCATTGGATTACTGGTGATACATGTGAGTGGTATGAAAACCTTTATCCATACTGACACCCTGCAGTTTGGTTAAAAGATGTGTTTACTTGCACAGTGTGCATTTTGTACCATGTTTTAGCCTGCATTTATGCTGAGAGCTATGCTGCTAAAAAATAATGTGAAAGTTAAAAGCAAATGAGAGCTTTTTCCATGTTGCATTGCTGGATAATTTTGGGAGTTAATGTATCCCATACTATAGGCTTTCTTTGTATGTGGAGCTTTTGCTAAACACAATCCAATGATTGTTTGAGCTGTTTTTACTTGTTTTTTTACCATAAAGTTTATTATGTGTACAATCATAGTTGAAAGTCTTCTTTTAGACCTGTTATACATCAATATGTACTTAACACGAAGAGAAGCATCTAAAAAAACAGTATGTGTTTTTTAATGGTTCAAACAAATATAGACATCATCAGTGATGGAGCAGGTGGACCCTCTCAGGCAGTCAACTAGTGCCACCTGCTGGTGGCAACCAACTCTGTGGAGCAGTCAGTGCTCAGGACAGTCACGTACAAAGTAGAGGAGAGTGGGGTAAGATGAGCCATTTTTCATATTTCGGATCACTACATCAAGGCAACCGTAGTTTTGTCTCTAACTAGTGTATCTGCATATATTTCAAGATGTGTATCCCTGCAAACCAACAGAATGAGTGTAAACATAACTGTCTTGATAATATAGCATACCTTGTGTATGGGGTAAGTTAAGCCGTATCCGTACTAGCCCTCCACTCTCCACCCCAGCCCTCCCTCACCTTCTTTCTCACTAAATAACAGTCACTTCTTCACATTCATGTGTATTTTTATCTATTATATGCTATTCAACTGGTACAATAATTATTTTTATTATTATTGCATATAACTGCTAAAAAGCTGTTTTGTAAAAAGCCATTTAAACATGAGAATGTCTTTAAGTGATTCAGAACATTCACAGCTGTATTTTTGAAAAGAAAAAGTTAAACATTTCAACAATCTGAACTGAAACTCTGATCCTCTCATCAGACTCCCTTACTTTTTCAGTTGACCTACTGGCTTAACTTACACCAGAACTACTATTATGACTTTATTAGTCCTCTATTAGTCCTATATATTAACTGAGTGCTACCAAGACGTAACAACCGGTTCAAATAAATAAGTTAAACGAGTGAAAACAGCACATATAGGAACTTTGAAAAAGTTATTTTGCTTAATAGTCATGCCATTCAGTATGAGAAGGCATTAATCAAAGTTTTATTCTGAAAAGCCGGTGTTGAGAGCGGACGTGTATGTTAAGTTGTTGTGTGTGAACTTGACGAGCTTCCACTGCTGCTGCTTCTGCCGCATCGACCTTGGTTTCCTGAGGATGGCAGGAAAGGCGTGGAGGTCAGCGGTATGTACAGGAAAAGCGTTTAAATTGTGCATATAGATTTCAGAGTCCCATTTTGACCATAATCTTTGACGGTATTACCTGTTAAATCGGTGACAGCTTTTCTTGTTTAGCCAAACTAGCTTGGTGCTCATGCACCGGCTACCTGCTTTGTAGTTACTATGGCAACCTTGCTCGACCGCTATGAGCTAGCAGGGTTATGTGTTAGCAGCGTAGACGAAAACACACTTCCGCAAAGCGTATGCGCAGAAGTGTCCTTGTAATTGCTCAAGATTAACGCATTGTTGATACTAGGTTCATGGTAGCAAAATGTCTGTCAAAATGTCCCTCATTTACAGATTCTTAATCTCCTAAGAAACTGGGGTGTATGGCTCGGCCCCAAGGATAAACTCAAGCCACAGGAAGTAAGTTGAGAGCTGAGTATCCCTGCTGCAGTTGGGCAAGAGCTAGAGAGCAGTCTCCTCTGCTGTGATGGATATTTTGTATCTTTACCTTTGCACCACTACTATACTTGCTTGTATACTAAGCTTCGTGTATGCTAGGTTTGTGTCTCTCGACTGAAGGTGACATCTTGCTTTGCTTATTGTATTATCATATAAAATTGACAAACGTATTCTAGCTATCAACCTAATTACCCTTACCATTTTTTACGACTTCTGGGAATAGTTTTTGGCACCTTGACCTTCGTCCTTAAAATACCCCGGCCCACCCACCATCGTGTTTTGACGCAGTGTTTTTTTTTCTTCCATCAGCCCACGTGTAGTCGTTTGTCTCCAATCATATTGATCAACATACAGAAATAACTTCCTCAGCACAGCCAGAAAGCTTTTTACAACAACTCTTTGTCTGGTGCTATCTACCAGTCTTCCAGATAATGGCTACATCATATCCATCCATCTATTCATTCACCCATATAGCCATACAGCCATCCAATCCATTTATCTACCCATTGATCCATCTATTTTCCCATCCATCCTCCACTGTTTTATGTACTCTCAATCCCTTGTGTGTCCTGCAGTTGTATTGCTTTTCATGTTTAGATCACATTTAGGTAATAAGTGTTACTTGTGATCTGTGTATCTGTAATGAAACATATATATATATATATCATTCATTGCACCAAGGGGTTAAGTATGCCTGAGTACGCATTTCATTTGTTATTCCGCTTTAAATATGTACTCAACTCCAGCAAGCTTTCCTTAATCAACATAACATCCTTGCTCCTTGCATCCTATTTCTACCTCATATTCACTGTACAACTAAAAAGTTTGTAAATGAGCATATTTTAAGGAAAACTGTACTCCTGATTGTCAGGTAACATGGGTGGCTGGAACTGTGAAGAGAGAGCCTCCACAACCAAGAATATTCACCCGTGGGGTAGGTTATTTTCCTTTAGAGGTGGCGTTGAACTGTCTTGATGGTTTTTGATGTAACAACTCTTGTATTAGTTTTAAATTATTCTGTAGGGCACAATTAGTCTTGTATGTCTGAATTTCATGTACTTTATCTGTCTTTTTAGATGCAAACTGTCACATTAATCCCGGGTGATGGAATTGGCCCAGAGATCTCTTCTGCTGTGATGAAGATCTTTGAAGCAGCCAAAGTAAAAGATCACCGTTCACAAGAAACATTGAGATGACTCTGGAGATAAATTTAAACCACATCTTGAAGTTTTGAACACTGCTGATCTATAACTTTGTCTGTGTTTGATCTAGGCTCCTATTCAATGGGAGGAAAGAAATGTTACAGCCATTCAAGGACCTGGAGGCAAGTGGATGATCCCTCCTGAAGCAAAAGAGTCAATGAACAGGAACAAAATTGGCCTAAAAGGTAGTGCACTTAAAGATCTTTGTATCAAATTAGAAAAAAATGTGACTAAGTGCTGGTTAGTAGAAATAATGAAATAATAGAAGATTTTTGGTAACCAGTCTTCTCCATTCCAGCAGCTTCACTCCCCTTCTTTTCAAAACAGTAAAACGAGAAAATAGTTGAATTACGAACAATGACAGCTAAAAACAGTGCAAAGTTCTGTCAGCTGAGAGGTTTTTATCTTTGACTGCTGCTTTTCTGTGCTGGCAAATGATCCACTAAGAATTGAAACTACTGAATCTACAGGACCTTTGAAGACTCCAATAGCTGCTGGCCATCCCTCGATGAACCTGCTGCTCAGAAAAACCTTTGACCTCTATGCCAACGTGCGCCCCTGTGTGTCCATTGAAGGCTACCAGACCCCCTACACTGATGTAAATTTGGTTACCATCAGGGAGAACACTGAGGGGGAATACAGCGGGATTGAACATGTGGTAAGACCTCTAAAAAAGTATATCTATTGTAGTTGTCGCCCTCTAATTCCCTTTTTTTCCCACTTTTAACTATCTAGACACTGTTTTTTGACTTTTGTGGATTTGTGCATTTTCAGATTGTTGATGGGGTTGTACAGAGTATTAAGCTCATAACAGAACAAGCCAGCCAACGCATTGCAGAGTATGCTTTTGAATACGCCAGAAATAATCAGAGGGCCAGTGTTACTGCTGTTCATAAGGCCAATATCATGTAAGTCTTAGAAAACAAGTTATTTTTGTGACTGAAAAGCTTTTTGATAATAATAAATGGTTGAATTCATTTTTCAATAGGCGCATGTCGGATGGGCTTTTCCTACGAAAATGCAGAGAGGCTGCTGAGAAGCACAAAGATGTAAAATTCACTGAGATGTACTTGGACACTGTGTGTCTGAATGTAAGTCCCAATTTCTTTTGCTTTTTAATTCATTATAGTTTTTTAAAAAACATTTTGAAACTTACAACTGAAACTTTTTTTCTGCAGATGGTACAGGATCCCACACAGTTTGATGTTTTAGTGATGCCAAATTTGTATGGAGACATTTTGAGGTAAGATAGGTGGATTTTTTTTGTTTGATATACCAGTAGTTTATTTTAAGTTACAGTAAATATTAATGAAATTTCAAGAGGTAAAAAGAGAGTTGTGCAGATTTTATGGTGAAAACTTAACAGTACATACAATAATGATATTTATTTTACCTTTAGAAAAGTTTTTTGGTTACACTCAACTTTAAAAATGCAGCATAAGTAAAAAAAAATGGATGTCTAACAAACTTTGATGATGGCATTTAAAATGTTCAAATAACACTGACTTTGCATCCATTCAAGATGATAAGGAAAATAAATATGTATGCACAGTAAGACAGCTTTTTACTATTTACTGTTGCAGTGATCTCTGTGCCGGACTGATTGGAGGTCTTGGAGTGACCCCTAGTGGAAACATTGGTGCCAATGGTGTTGCCATATTTGAGTCGGTGTGTTCTGCTTTCATTCTTCAAATTTGTTTTTCGAAGTTCGGATGATTTGATGAAACACATGAAAGTTTCCTCCCATTGTGTTAATGTTTCCAGGTTTTTTAAATACAACTGGGCTGTAAATGTAATTATTATTCTGAACTGGGATTTTTTTTACCCCTTTTAGGTTCATGGAACCGCCCCAGATATAGCAGGAAAAGACATGGCCAACCCCACTGCACTGCTGCTCAGTGCTGTCATGATGTTGCGCCACATGGGCCTACATGGTTATGCCAAAAAGATTGAAAGTGGCTGCTTTGACACCATACGGGACAAAAAGGTAAACTACTTTTTAAGAAAATGATACATCCTATGTTGGTACAACGTACACATCGTGATTGATATGTTGTTTTTATTTGTCTTCAAGGTGCTGACCAAAGATCTGGGAGGTAACTCAAAGTGCTCAGAATTCACAGAAGCAATATGTCAAAGGGTGCGGGATATGAACTAAAGATATGCAAAGTAGCTTGCGAAATTGGTGTTATAATTCTGATCTCTTCACTTCATCATGAAATATTTAATCTGCACCTTTAAAACCAGAAGATGTATTTAGAAAAGACTCAGGAATTTGAAATCCTGGATGTTTTATTTTTTCTCGACACTCTAAATCACTGTCTTAAAAATGGTGACCAACTAAATATTGTAAAGGTAACATATTTACTTTTCATTCCCTAAATATGTTGAATGTTATTTATTGCCTGAAAATGGCCTCTTGTCTGATGTATTTTGCACTGCTTTACTTTTAAAGGGTCATTCTGAAAACCACAGTGAGCCTCAGTTGTCAAAAAGTCAAATTAAAGAATATGTGTATAAGTGTAAATTTTATGCAATGTATTATTGTGGAGTTAATTCATTCAACTTCAGCGCCATGAAAGTTTTAAATGTTTATATGTGATAATTTGCATGTATGCTGCACATACCATGTATAAATACCAGCAAAAAAATGCCACAGACACTGGAAATGCTGGACTCTTTTATTGACTGTAATACACTAAACATGTCTGTCGTGGGTATTATAAGACATGTCATCTACGGTTTTATGGTAGTATTAAACAGGTTGTTCACTGGCAACTAACATTCATTCTATGAATTCATTTTTGAGCCACATTGAAGTTTTATTTTTTCCTTATGTACTACTTTTGCATTATCTTGATAATGAATTATCTGAAGTGACAAAAGTGACAAAAAGAATGTCCTCCTCTCCCCAAAATGTGATATTACTCCTGACTGGTAGTTCTTTCTTCCTCCATGGGTACAGAAGGAACATTCTCTCCTCTCATATGATTGCAAACTCTAAATGGAGAAAGAGGGCACGCTGACATTACAGCTACACTGATAATATCCTTGTGTCCAGAACAAGATGTGCTCAGTTTGAGAAACATATGGTCTGTGAGTTGGTGACCTAAGAAATCTAATTATCTGACAATAGCCCAAGTTATAAGAAACAATCTCTGTTTATTTCCATTGGGTCTCCAGAATACAGCCACTTATCTTCATGCAAAGCTTTTCTTGTCATGTTTTCCTGATTAAGGAAACTTATTAGTACGCTAGCAGGAGCAAATATCACCTGTTCAGCTTCATCAAAGTCTTTATTCCTGTTAATTTGTATGCATGAAATTCAACACACTTAAAATTTACAGGTTTGTAATACTGGTTACACATTTTTAAATGCCATTTGTCTCAATATCTCTGTTTACTCTGTCCAAACACTTAACATGTACATTTTTAGGCCAAGGGAAACTTCATATATATGTTGAGTCATGTGATTTTATATTATGTCTAATTCTTTCCCACTATAGGCTATATAAGACCACTGAATGCTTATGCCCCAAATCCTTACAATAGTTAGATTCTTTCCCCTTTCATTCATTCATTTAGCAAATTTTCATGATATTCCTCCAAGCTGGGAGAAGCTGAATTAGGCAATCTAGTCATAATGTACGGTGGCCGAGAACTGCCACCGCTGTAAATAGAAAAGAATGCAAAAAAAAAAGAAGTCACATCGGAAGTACAATAAAAAAAAGAATCCTAAGCTTGCTGCAAATAAAAAAGAAATGGTGCAGATAAAAAACTTTTTTTTTCGCATCGCCACTTTTTTTTGCGTCCTTAGCTTCTGTTGTGGCATTAATTTTTTTTTTTTAACTACACTGTTTCTTTTTAAGTTGCATCAGTAAATTGTGTTGTGACTTCTCCTTTTTTTTTTTTTTTGCTTTTTTTTTTTATTTGCAGCAGTGGCTCTTCTCGGCCACCGTAATAATAAGCCACTGGTCAAATTAAAGAAACATCAATAGTTTTGTAAAAAGTCTGATCCTCAGGAAGCCTGTCCATTTTCAGTTTTTAATAGTGTAGTCACACTAGTGATGATTAATGTACTTTGTAGCAATTATTGAAGACCTAAATAGTGATTTATGTTGGTGTAGTTTTCTGGAGAAGCATAGTTATTATCTTTGTCCAAGTTGCTCCAGTGCTTAACTCTTCCATCGACGATCTTCAACAAACTATCTGACGAAGAAAAAGACTGTCGAGGAATATAAACACGTTATACCTGCTCTGGCACACATTCTTTTCCTCTGCACCGCCCCTGAATGTTTACTGAGGTCTTTTCTAGACTCCCTATCTCCACCTAACGACACATCCGCCCCCTCGGCTCCGAGCTCTCCAGAAAGTTCCTCACCGAAGAGGAGGAGTGGTTATAAGAACAGCCATCTTCAACCACGACGGCGAGAGAGACACCGGACCGGAGCGACGCTGTGTTATAACTGAGAAGTGAGTATACTTTATTATAACCTTCATTTTCCAGTCAGTACTGAGCTAATATGCTAACGTAGTCATTCAATTCAGTCATTTCTCGAAAGGGAAATTTCTACACGTGGTCTTACTGCCACCTCCCCCTCATTTTACCGGTGTGGAGTATACTTCAGTGTACGCCGGTTCACATTAAATTATATTTCTAGATAAACCTAAAACGTTTAATACACCTTATTGTTTTTATGAAACTGTCACTCTTGTAGTTTGTAGCTTTCTCGTAGCTACTTTACTCACGGTGGCAGTTAATCTAACATCCACCTCGTGGGGTTGTAAAGTATGTGACAGCATATGTTAGCTAATGTGTCTCTAAAAACGTGTTTTTCTGGTTTGTTGTGTTGTAGTTTATCACCATGGTTCACGAAACCGGCTACTACGACCTCCTGGGCGTTCAACCCAGCGCCACAATGGATGAAATAAAAAAAGCGTACAGAAAACTAGCCTTGAAATATCACCCCGACAAGAACCCCAGTGAAGGAGAGAGGGTGAGTGGGTTATATAACAGCTTTCGGGGGTCCCTGCAGCCGTTTATGGTCCACTGGAATGTCCTGTCTATATATAAACTGCACAGCGAGTTAAGAACTTTCTAGAAAGAGCTGGACTCAGCTCCTGTGTGAAGGCGAGGCAAGATAACTCCACAGTCACTACGCTGTGATGCAACAGGATACTTCTTATAGTTATTGGGAAATTAATTTTACAGTCAGGATAACCAGTGCCTGACTGGTAAATCCAACATGGAAAGTAACTGGGTAGCTTTCTGTGTACATGCACTTTTTTGAGTATATCTTGACATCTTTTACTCTCGTAGTTTTTGTGGAAAGTCTTGTTCTTTATATCACATTAGTTTATCAGTTCATAAAAAATTAATAAGGGTACAAGCTTTCCAAAACCTGCATGTCTGCCAGCTACGGTGGCAAAATTCTGTGAATTAAGGGAAATATATGGAAATTAACGGGAAAAAAATCTGAAATTTACAAAATTGAAGGTTGGCCCTTAACAGGGAACTTAAATATAATTGTGGAAAATATATTGTAGCAAAATCTTGGCTAAAACAACCAGATTTAATGCAAGCACACTCCTTAATCACATGCACATTTCTGTTTGGATATGATACAGTTTGTTTAAATTACCCCCAATTTCCAGTAAATTCCCATAAATTCCCATATTTCCTATGGTACGTTTCCAATTTGGAGTATTTCCAAAATTTCCCAGCTTAACTTCCCATGGAAAGTCTCTGGAAATTTACCGGAAATTTTCTGCCCCTTTGCAACCCTACTGCCAGCTGACTGACATCTACATCTGCTGTAAAGGAGGAGAGCTTGCATGCTGTAAACACAATAAGACAGTCTTTTACAGCTGGAAAGAAGGTTTGAGAGTTTGACCCTCACAACTCAATAACTCACCCAGAAAATTTTTTTTTTTTTACAAAACTGACACCTTGTTCCACTCATAGTGAAGTAAACCGCAAACTTCAACTTAACTTTAATCAGTATAGATGCCTGTTTGCAAGTTGGACAGCCCAAAGTCTGTTGTGTCATCAGAATTATCATCTCATGTTGGTTTGTTGGTTATACTTTTGAACAGTTAGTTAACAAAGATCCTGATGTCTTTGCCAACGTTTTCAGATTCCCATAAGAAAATCATCCATCGCTCTAATAATACAGAAAACATATTTTTGTTTTGTATAAACCCATACTTTCATCTACAGTTATTGCTGCTTTCCTAGTACCTTAAGTCACTTGAAGAAGCACCCACAGTTCATTGAAGTCATTGAAGTTTTCGGAGCTTTAATACCAGAAAAAACGCTTTGACGGTAGCCAATGATTTACACACGCACATCAGATAGAATATGTGTACACTATGCGACGTGTATCATTGCAAACAAAGAACATGAAGCACGGTCAACAAAAATTACTGCTACCTAGGCTCACCTCTCCACCCCAGTGCAGGTAAGACCGCCCCTTATATGAACTACTAGCTTTTAAACACAGTGCCTACGTGATCCAAACCCAGCGAAACCAATGGCAACCAGACCAAAGTAACTGAACACAGGATAACCGATAAACAAAGCAACACTATGGCTCCTACAACAGTAATGCCACAATAATAAATTACTTTCTTCCTTTGTATTGGGGATGCAAAATATATCTTGTGGGTAAAACTGTACTCTGCAGCGAACTTGATCTGAGTTGTTTTTTTAAAGAAAGTTTTCATGAGTCTGTGTTTTAATTTTTTTAAAACAAAAACAAACAAATTTTTTTTGTCCACAGTTCAAACATATCTCTCAGGCATATGAGGTGCTATCAGATGCACAAAAGAGAGACTTGTATGATCAAGGAGGAGAGCAAGCAATCAAAGAAGGAGGCATGAATGAAGGATCGCCAACGGATATTTTCAACATGTTCTTTGGAGGTGGTGGAAGGATGCAGAGAGAGAGAAGAGGTAGGATATATTTTAGTACATGTTCAAAGTTAACTAGTGGCAGTTGGGACTGATTTTTTTTTTGTGAATACCTACAAAACAGTCTTTGAACTCACCTATTCATTTGTCCCCAAGGGAAGAACGTTGTCCATCAACTTGGTGTAACACTGGAGGAAATATACTTGGGCACCACAAGGAAACTTGGCCTCCAGAAGAATGTGATTTGTGAAAAATGTGAAGGTACAGTCTTATTTTTATGTTTATGTGATACCATGTACAAAAGAAACTGCCCAAAGGTACTGTGAGTAACATCCTGTTTTCTTTTTCAGGATACGGGGGTAAAAAAGGGGCCTTAGAGAAGTGCTCAAGTTGCAAAGGAAAAGGAGTACAAATTAAGGTGCAACAGATTGGACCAGGTATGATTCAGCAGATCCAGAGCATGTGTGCAGAGTGCCAAGGTCAGGGTGAGAAGTTTAATTCAAAGGACCGCTGCAAAAACTGCAATGGACACAAAGTACATCGCAAGAAGAAAATCCTGGAGGTTCACATTGACAAGGGTATGTGTTTTCCGGCCCAAATATTTCACATTAGTAAAGTGATTGTAGTTGAAATGAGTTGTCGCAGCATGCTAACCAGTAAATGTGTGATGCACAGGCATGAAAGATGGTCAGAAAATTACATTCCATGGAGAAGGTGACCAGGAGCCTGGACTGGAGCCTGGAGATGTAATCATTGTGCTGGACCAGAAAGAGCACTCTGTTTTCCAGAGGAATGGTGACGATTTAATGACAAAGATGAACATCAAACTTGTGGAGGCCCTGTGTGGTTTCAAAAGAAGTATTACAACACTAGACAACAGACAACTCATCATCAACTCACCACCAGGTAACTATTTAATCTGCTAATTTACAGAACAGGAACTTTTTGTTATTTGCATTAAAGTATGTTTTTTAAAATATCATGAATTTGTTTTTATCAACAGGTCAAGTAATCAAGCATGGTGACCTCAAATGTGTTCAGAATGAGGGCATGCCAATTTACAGGGATCCATATGAAAAAGGCCAGCTGTTCGTTCAGTTCCAGGTACATTTGGAAATAGTTCCTCAGTGGTGCAAGTACAATTTAAGTGTGTTGAAGAAACATCAGTTCAAGCCTTTTTTAATTTATGCCACAGGTGGAGTTCCCAGAAAAACATTGGCTACCAGAGCATCTCATGTATCAGCTGGAGAGACTGCTTCCTGCCAGGGATGATGTGATGATCACTGATGACATGGAGGAGGTGGATCTCATTGAGGCGGATGTGCAATCACAACAGAGAAACTACAGCAGGGAAGCTTATGAGGAGGATGATGAGAATCCCAGAGGTGGAGTCCAATGTCAGACACAATAAACTGTCTATGTTGATGTAGTGCATGTTTGGGTTTCTCTGTTGTTGTTAGTGTTTTGTTTTTGTCAATGGTGAAGGGCCTACATTTTCAAGTGCAGTTTATTTCACAAAAACTTCAACTTTCAAACTGTCATTATAGTTTTATGTAACTCCTGGGACACATGCAATTGTCCCACTGTTTCATGTTTTTATTTGTTTCCTATCAAACTTTATTTAAGATTCACACTTTTGTGTAAATGTCTTTGATCTGTGGAACAACTTGTCTTTTTATTCAGAATGGACTGCTTGTATACTTTCTGTGAAGGTGACTACAGTCTTGGAAAAAAATGGGTTATTTCTCAATAAAAATCAAAGAATGTTTTAATTTCTCAACCCATCTTTATTAAGTGTGCAAATTTACGATTTTGTCAAAGTAGAACAACTGTACACCAGCTGTGATTATTTAAATCCTCCTATATAGCAATATTTCAAAATCATATTTAACTGCAAGGTGGTGTTAGGTTGTAAACAAGCAGCAGACTGACTATATATAACCATGCTCTTAATAGCTTTCACATATGCAACATTAGGGCTGATTAGGGGTTGAACAGGGCAATTGATTGCAATGTGTGGCAACACAAAATGCCCAAGTACTTACAAACAAACCTGCTTTATTTCAAATCCAATGTATTAACCAGGGCACTTAACATCCAAACAGTATAGATCAGGATTCTTTGTCTGTTTGTGTTGTCTTCACTCACAGACAGTGTAGGGGTCAGGGTTTGACATAACTGCTCTTCCCATAAATGAGGTGAGTTAAGTTCAGTATGTAAATAGTTTGTTTGGACTCTTTCATGGCTCATAGTCGCTCTGACGAAGTGTTAAGTCATGTCTTTCATAGAAATATTTTAACAAGTAGTCCCCCCCCCCCCAGTGCCCCTCAAAGTGCTGTTTGCTAACTCTTGTTTCATGCACTTTGCAAATGTGTTGCACAATCTGTAGCCTATCACACGACATGGTGAGCACAACACAGAGGGCTTAGTTAAGGGCTTATTCCCCTTTGCAGATGTGTGCTAAACACAGAAGGAGGAACTCTTATGACGAGGGGACCGATATCAACAAAAAAAAAGTACTTATATAATTTATTCAAAAATAAATTATAAATGGATAAATACATTTAAATGATAATAATAATAATTATTATTATAAAATAATACATAATATAATAAGAATAACAATAATAATAATAATAATAACTATTATTATTATTATTAATATTATTGTAATAATAATATAAATGTATAAACATATGACACAAAGTTTGATTTTAATTTTATAATAACCAGATAAAATTTGCATTGTATTTTCCAAAGAAAAATAAAAAAGAATTGTGCACATGAGTTAGCTAGCCTTGATAGTTAAAATCTGACTGTTGCATTTCCGCGTTTAATTGCAAAAGCACTGGTCTTGAATCCTCTTAACTATTTTAGATGAGTTGTTAATCATTAGACAATATTTTATGCTAAGAAATGAAATTTGGTTTACCTACATGCTTTATAAATAGTAATGGTCTGTATAAATTCCCTTGTGGAAAAAAAATATTATTAAATAAAAATCTTCCACGCTAAAACCATCAGTATTATCTTGATAATAACATTTATTTCATTGAAAAAAAAAAAAGATATCGTTTCCCGTAAACTACACAAACCACAATGCAAAGCGCGGCGTGACGTCACTGTTTCAGCACCGGTCTCCTGCCAGTCTAGCAGACAGCTGAGAGGGTTTCTAGACTGACTGGGGGGTCTTGGCCCAGCACGGTGTTGTGTTATCGAGGCGTTGGAGTCCATATTGTGTTTAAATGGCGAAAACGTACGATTACCTGTTCAAGCTGTTGCTTATCGGAGACAGCGGAGTGGGAAAGACATGTCTGCTGTTCAGATTCAGCGAGGACTCCTTCAACACCACCTTCATATCCACAATAGGTGAGTACCCTGCAGCCGCCCCTCGGGATAAATCTGACATTCTCCACCCCGGTTACTAGAGAATACAGCGACTTAATGCATTACAGTAAACAAAATAACCACAATGCAAGGGCAGGTTAACTTATTTTCATTGTATGAACAGACCTGTAATATTTTAAGACTAGCAGCTGCATCAGATCAGACAATGGGACTGACAAATTATTAGGATCCCGTCCTTGACGGCTCAACGGTAGGCAACCATTAATAAGATTATATTGATCAAAGATAAAAATATAAATATGTTTCTTCTTTGGGAAGATTCTTGACATTTGAATTCCTCTTGGTCTTGATTTATGGTTGTTGTATTTGCCATATCCTTTGCATACCATATACTAAAGCAGCTGGCTGTGATTTGAAGTTGAGTGGGGCACTCCTCTCTCCCCTCTGTAACTTGACATGAGATAAACAGCCCAGGTGCAAATTCATATACTATATTATACTATACTATAGTATAATATTATATAATTTAATATAATATAATTGCGTACACTGATTAGTCTGTGGTTTTTTAATGCATCACAGGAATAGACTTCAAAATCCGAACAATCGAGCTGGATGGAAAGAGAGTAAAACTTCAGATTTGGTGAGTGTACTTAGGCTTTAGTTTCTTCTTGTGACACAAGTGTGTGTTCACTATTGATAGTCACTTAATGCTTTCAGGGACACTGCAGGGCAGGAAAGGTTTCGCACCATCACCACGGCTTACTACAGAGGAGCAATGGTGAGTCTGTGGTTAACACTACATTTAACCCCCTGTGGGTCTGTTTTATGCCATCATTTGTGTAACTATTTGCAGAGATGATGTTTTTTCTTTGCAGGGTATTTTGCTGGTGTATGACATCTGCAATGAGAAGTCTTTTGAAAACATTAAAAACTGGATTAGAAATATTGAAGAGGTAAACCCTGATTAAGAACACTATTTTTCATATTTTTTGCTTATAATGACTGTTGAATTGAAGCACAATGTAAAGGCCTACTACTGTAATAAAAACAAACGACTTAAAGTTTATCTTTTATTTTTTAATGTTTCAGCATGCCTCGTCTGATGTGGAGAAGATGATTCTGGGGAACAAATGTGACATGACTGACAGGAGACAGGTGTCCAAAGACAGAGGAGAAAAAGTGAGTCATATAGCTCAGTCACAGCAGACTCATACAAATGAAATGTCTGTCAGGGGTTCATGATTTTCATTCAGTAAAACTTCCATTTCTTTTGTCTTCCTTAGCTGGCTATTGATTATGGAGTTAAGTTCTTGGAAACCAGTGCAAAGTCAGGCTTAAATGTAGAAGAGGTAAGCATTTTTAAACCCTAATGTACCATGTAGCATAACCAATCAATCTACTCATTATTATATTTCATTGTTCCCTCTTGTCATTGTAGGCTTTTTATACTGTGGCGCGCGACATATTACATAACCTGAGCTCAAAGACAGTAAGTGATCAAGAGATGCTTAAAATAGATGCTCATTTAAGGGGGACATTTCAAGTGTGAGCTTTCTATTAATGAAAACACATTTTTTGAATAGACAGGAGCAAAGTATTCATACTATAACAAAAACAGCATTTCTAAACTTCAGAGAAATGAATCGACCATTTTCCCAGTCATGCTTTTCCTAGAATTAATAATTTATAAATGTCATTTTTGGAAAGATTTTATCATTTTTTAAAGCATTTATGTAAAAGGGGGTGTTTTTTTGTCACCATTCTTTGTAAAGTAACAAAAAGTCAACATTTTAAATACAAAGTTAGAAAATGTATTAGTAATATATATCTAAGGGTTTGAGCTCATTTAATGAACACTTAATTCTTCAACCAGCATAAATGTATTCAGTTCTTTGAAATTGTCTCAAAGTATTTAGAAATCTGATAATAAGTCAGCTACATATATCGTTGAGGCAACATTTGATCTCTATCCTCACATCCCCCTCACCCCTCATAAAACAACATCTGTGCTTTCACTTAATTTAAACTCAATGTGAAGCCCTTCTTATTTAAGGCTCTTGTATTTAACATTACTACTATCATTTCTTTCTTTACTAGACTGACAACAGTGCTGGGGGGTCAGGCAAACCGATCAAGATCACAGAGAAAAAATCAAAGAGGATAAAATTCTTCAAGTGTTCGCTCCTCTAAGCAGCGAGTCTCCAGTGTTCACGACTTGAGCATGACTTTGTCGTGTTTTGAAGGGTTCTTGCCTTCCAGGTGTCCTCACAGCAGCTCTAGTGCTCACATTCAAAGGGCCTTACCGCCAGCTGAAGCTCACAGGTTACGAGTGGTTAAGACGCCGCCCTGATCTGTTGACCAGATGAGGATCAATGAGGACTGAGGCCCTATACTGTGTATACATTCATGCAAAAGACTGGAGTGTGGGGTGGTTAGCATTGGTTTGTAGCAGGCCATGCAGTATCTGCTCATTAGAAGCAGTGATTCTGTTGGCATTCATTTTACCTCTGCTGTGTTGTCATGAATAGTTGTCTTTTAAATGAAGAAAAGAGAAAAAATCTGATTGTTTCATATATTGTAGCATTACACTACCTACTGTCATACTTAACTACCATGATGCTGTCTGACATCCTACATGTCAGGATCAAATCAAACTATTGATTGTATTTGACTGTTTCAATTCATGTATATCAATGAGCCTCTAATCCTCTGTTGCACAGGCGTTATATTCATTTGTCTTTTGTGCCTAGAAGAAGTCACAGGGTGTGATAGAAACGATTTTTAAAAATGTACAAGAATGTCTTACTGCAGTATTTTAAGTTCACCTCAAACCTTTATTTAAACAGGGTCTTGTGTCAGAGTGCAACTGTGAAAGGATGTTTCATGAAAGTCATATTTACTCCATATTGTAATGTGATTGTCAGTATTTGCATGAAAGCTGTAGGATTACCTCAGAGTGGATCATTATGAAGCACATTTTGTAGGAAATGAAAAAAAAAACAACGTTTACAAACAGTGTCAAGCATATATAGGAAGGTCATGTTTTTGCTGTTCATATATTGTGTAGTATTTCAGCACAACTTCTTGTTGTGTATATACTTTGTTTTTTTCCTTAAACTTTGCCAATCAAGCAGGTTTCCTATATGTCTTCAACATAAACCACGATGACTGGGTAAACCTCAAATACTGTGGGATACTGTATGTTTCATTAATGACAAGTAAAGGCAGTAAAGAAAGTTGTTCTTTCAAAGAGAAAGTTGCGTTGACTTACTAAAAGTTTGCTTATGACTTCCCATGACTGTCACTTTTTTCTTTATTATTATGCAAAACACAAATACCCAACTCTCTGCTCCTTGTTCCTCTTCATTCAGTTCCTCCTTATTATCTTGTAGCTTTTTTTCCCTCTACTTCAGCTCTTATCAGTTTCATCTTTTTTCTTTTCCTGTGCGTCATCATCTCTGTCCTCTGCCTCCGTCTTCTTCCTCGCAGCCTCCTGCGCCCCTCTACACACATCAACAAGGTCTCTCTCGCTGCGAGAGGCTCTCAGCTCTTTGCTAAACATCAAGTACTTTGCTTTCCTCTCACTCTCATTCATGCTCTGTGACCTGTGAGACGGCTTGTACTTCTCATCAGTTACAATCAGAAACCCAGTGGGGTCTGAGAGCTTCTTCTGGGCCTTTAACATCGTTGGCTCCTCTACGGGCTCTGTTTCAGGAATGGGTCCCTTACTTTCTAAAGGACTGAGGTCAGTCTGAATCAACTCCTTTTCTGGCTTTGCAGCTAAGGAACTGGTTTGAAACTGCTGAGCAAGAGTCCTGACTGTCGACACCTTTGGCATGTGACCCAAAGTACTTGGGTGGATGAGGTACTCCAAGTTTGTTGGCCACTGGTTTGGTGCTTTCGTGGTCTGATCTACCAATGACCGGAAGTCTGCAGTCTGCAACACATCATCACATGCCTCGACTGGGTTGTAGATGATGCCACTCATAGCTCTTTTCTTGGTAATAGGGGAAGTTTGGCTTTCAGTCGGGACATACCTCAAGGATTTAGTCCTTTTGGGTGAGGAGGGTGTTTTCTGCTGTGGTTGGGTCTGCTCGGTGGGTTCAGTTGCTTCCTCGGGTTCATCAGGTGGGCTGATGATGATCGTACTCATAGCCCTCCTCTTAGTCAAAGGAGAGGGCGGTTGGTCTTCTACTGGATAATATTTTAAAGATTTAGTCCTTTTTGGAGGAGAGGACGGCCAGAGTTTATTCTTGTCTGTCAGTCGGTCTAAAAACATAGAGCTGCCTAGTTTCAGGGTCTCTTGACTTGATGCAGAAACAGGCTTTTGTTCACACGGTGAAATGAGGATGTCCACGCATGAGCTTGGTCGTGATTTGTCCAGAGCACCGACCTCCAAGGACTGACCCGCTTCCTTTGAGTTCAGAGCACACACACTGGAGGCCTGCCGCAGACTTCTCTCTCTTTCCAGACCAGTTTTAGTGGCGTCATCTGTTTCCTTCTGCTTTGTCGAAAACTCCTCCATGTCCATGTGGAAGCGATAGAGGCTGTAACCATCTGCACTGTTGATACTGCCCTGGCGAAGGAGGGTGGAGGGGTCGCACACAGAGGAGTTTCTTGAATACGTCCTGGTCAACTCCAATCTGTCCACCCCTGCAAGCTTCTCCAGGGCGACTGCCATCCGTCCGTGAATCTCCTCTAGTTGGGCCAAGCGCAGGTCCACCGTCTGCAGGGAAGCCTTCATTGTGTTTTCCCTTTCATTGACCTCCTCCAGACGCATGGACATATTCTCAACTCTGCCAAAGATACCAGGGAAACAAAAGTCCATGTAAGTTTAATATCAAGTCAGTATGCTCAGAGATCTTGAAGTGATCATTTAAGAAAATCACCTCTCAGATGTAACTTTGATGCGTTCATCACTAGATGACTGCCTGTCATCTTCTTTCTCTCTGAAATATTCCTCCACACATTGCTCTTCAAACTCGTACAGACTTTTCAGCTCCTCTGGATTCAGCCGTAGCTCTGATGAAAACAAATAGTAAACAAAGATATATTTCACCACTTTAAATCATGACTTTAAACCTAATTAAAGTGGGTCAGTATTTATTAGTAAAGATGACTCACTGAGTCCTCGATCCTTCTCATCCAGCTCTCCCTCTTGTTTCTTCTTGGCACATCGCCGAAACAGCCTGTTGAGGAGAATGTAGAGGTGGCTGAAAATAATGAGCGGCGGTGGCAGGATGGGACGGTCGTGGAACGTCATGATCAGCTGGTATCTCTGGAACTTCCACACTTGGTTGGAGATGGACTTGACTTCGAAGAAGGTGTTGCTGTTGTGTGGAAAAACCAAGACCAGTGAGTACAGACTCTATGTTTTCTCCCTAAAGTCACAATGTCTGACGTTGTAAGGTAACCTTACTTGAACACGGCAATGAGCAAGTTGACCAGAAGGATGTTTGCCACGAGGAGGTAACAGGCCATGATAGCAGGTGTGAGCCATGCACCGGGGATGCATGGGGGCAGTTTCTTCCCGTCCTCGTCGTATAAATGTTCACCACATGGAGCTGAGGGGGAAAGAGGACATCGCTATTTTTTCATCAGGTTACTCATCTTAAAGGTTTGAATAGCACTTTAGATTTGAAGGCTACTCACGGTTTATCTCCATTGCATAGACTTGCAGAAATCCAAGAAGAGGGCAGTCAGGCAGAAATAAAAAAGAGTTTTTTTTAATATCACACTTCTGTCAAGGTCAAGCAAATGTCCATGCAAAACTGAACAGCTGAAATGAAAAACTTCCTGTAAAATTTATTCCAATTTGAAACACTTCCTGTATTTTATGTCTTAATCTTTTTCTTTCCCTACTCATTTATTTTTTTGTTTTTTTATGATGTTTTTGACAAAATCAAGAATGTGAACAAGAGAAATCAAACATGCAGCTTTTTTAACAGTATGTTTAAACAAATAGATGCATGCACAGTTCACTGGAAAACAGCTGTTTTGTAGTTTGCTATTCCTGCCATCTAACTTCATCAGAAGCTGCTTGTTGCATTCACCTTGACAGAAGAAACACTAACAGAAACACAAACTTAAAGGCAGATGATCATGATTTAGGAGATGAAATATTAACTCTAGTATCATTTTCTACAAATGAACCAGCAGAGGGAGACAGAGTATTTAGAGCTCATTCTTAAATGAACCGTTAGTCATCATCACAGAGTTTGAGACATACAATTAATTTAACGCTGATCATCTGCCCAGAATCAGGAAACAGAATCTTACTATGAACTCTAGTCTTACGGTCTATCGAGTCCGCAAAAACCTCTCCGTAGATCATCCAGTAGGGCATGTAGAAAATGTTTCTCGCCAGGCGCCACGTCGGCTCCTCATCAGGGTGGAGAATGGCTTGTCGAGCGACCCCAAAGCTCATAAGCACCACCAGCATGATCACCACAAAGTACATCATGTCTATCATCTGAAAGACAAGAAACACATAGTGATTTATCCTCTTTGGATGCAGGTCATATCTGCCACATGGTTTCTGATCCTTGATAAATGTTATTACCATCTTTCCAATCATCATCACGTAGGGTCCTAAGTATTTGTTGACTCCAAAGATGTCCAGTACCCGAATGTACCAAAAGATGATGTCTATACAGTAGATGACTCTGCCATAGCCCATGTAAGGTTCATGCTGCAAGCGTAGCATCAGCCCCATAAGGAAGGTGCAAATGGCAGCCAGGTCTGTGATGTTCCAGTACTCCTCCAGCCACACACTTATCTTCTGTTTCAGCTTTCCTGGCTCAGACATCAGAATCTAGATGCCAGAGTTTAGAGTCATTAAGAGCCCACCAACACCTTGAACTCTTATTAAGACTTATGATGACTTATAACTTATACCTGTCTGACTTTTTCAGTGCCGAGTGTAAGGATGTAAGCAATGACGATCCACTCTTGAATAGATGGCCATCGCTCCATCTTCACCAAGATGATGTAGTTGTACAACATCAAGTAGCCCAGATAGCAAATCTATTGAAGGGGACAGTGCACTCAAACAACCAAACTTCAAGTTAAAAATATATATTCTTGATTCGTCTTGTTTGAATAAGGAAAACTTACTGTGTTAAACCAGAATTTGGTAAACGGCGCATCGTAAAACTCGAACACCCTTTTGCCAATAGGAACTTTGTGGATTTTGGTGTCGCCCTCCTCCTCATCCCCTTTTCGAGAAGTCCCATCATCCTGCAATAAGAGAGCAAAATCTCAGTTTGAGTTTGTTATTTTTGGTTCAGGAAACATGCATGAAGATAAACAGTCTGTGTAACATGAAAGAAATCATTAAACCTTGCTGGATTTTGTGTCATCGTCTTTGTCTTTCCCATCATCTTTGTCTCCAGGTGCTTGGTAGGATGCATCATCTCCAAGGCGGAAATCCAGGAGTAGAATCAGAGGAGGACAGATGATGCCCAGAATAACCTGAATGAGAGGATTTACACCGTTTTATAGATACAGGGAGTTTAACAACAGTGACTTAAATGAAAGAAATTCTTGACGTCAACCTTGAGGCCTGGATTTTTCCCAATCCTCAAGGAGCCCATCCACATATCAGTGAGTAACATCTGGCTGCAGGTGTGGGCAATGAAGTCACGTTGCTTAGCGGCCACAGCAAGCTTCAGACAGGTGGAGTTACTCCAGTTGACCAGCTCATACGTCAAAAGTTTCATGGCCACCTGTTCGTCGTGTTTGTAGGACTGATCCAGCAGCTCATAGGCCAGCTGGCCAAACTCTCTGTGAACATAGACATAGATAAAGCAGTTTTGAAAGGGAGAGCTGCCTTAACAAATGCTGCAGAAGTAGAGTAAGTAAAAAAAAAAAGATTACATGTCAAAAATACGAGATAATGTTGAATCATGATTCACGTTTCACTGTAAAACATGAACTTTGTAAGAGATGCTGTATGTACTGACTTGGAGTTGTTCTCCAGATCTTGGGAGATGTCATCTACCAGTTCACTTTCAGAGCACTCGTGAGCCATGGCTTTATACAGTTTACAGGCCACCAGGGCCTTCGCCATCGCTTCTTCTCCACGCTGCCACAGGAACAGCGCCATCTTCTGGCGCTTCATCAGCACAGCCCACAGCATCAGCTCGTGGAAGGGGTGCTTGAAACGACAGACCTCAGGGTCATCCACGTCAATTTCCACCTCTTCTTCTTTCTTCTTCTTTGGCTTTTTCTTTCCTTTCGTTCTGGGTTCATCATCCTAACACAATCAAGAAAATCTGATTATTTTCATGTTTGAGGTGAAGTATTTTAACCACTATTTGCTGTTGAAAGATTAACCCACCTCCATTCCTAGAAGCTTTAGAGCTTTTGGCTGCAAGAAGAGAGTAAAACATGATGATTGATAATCAATTTTATTCATGGTTGGTTTTAAATATCATCATCAGTCTGTTTTTCCACACAGTGCGTACCCTTTTTAGTCCGTACAAATTATTGTAGAGGTTGCGGAAAGCTTTTCTGGTGTAATTACTCCTGTAAGCTCCTCCCATAAAGCACTCCAGCACCAAACCAATATCAATCAAAGTGATCTGATAATCTGGCGGGAGGTTTCCCTGTAAAATCACCAGCATCACATACAGTAAGGCAAGTGTCTTGTGAAAAATTGAGATCTTAAAATAGTCAGAGTTATGTATAATTGTACCTTTTTGACATCCCTAACCACTGCATTCAGTGTGTTGGCCGGACCAAGTTTCTAAAAGAAGATAGAAGAGAGGAGAGGAGGGGTTGAAGAGGTTCATAATTGGTGTTTACCTTGTTCCAGAAATTTGTGTGATAATTTTTGCAGAGGGAATCAGCCTCACTGTGTTGTATAACTCTTCGAGTCGAGGGATAGTGAGGAAGTGGTGAATATTGACTCCATTTTCAATCAGCAGCCTTACAAAGTCCACCCTGTCCAGCACCAGAGCATCCATCATCGCCTGCTCCAAAGAGTTCACCTGAGTGAAAGTGATGCATGACTCATATTAATGATTGCACAGGCATCAGAATCTTCATCGTTGAACTGAAATGACATTGTTTGTCAGTAAGCCCACTCTTACCCAACGAATCAACTCCAACTTTCTTGGGTCTGTTTCCTCTGGAGGTTCAGGCTTTGCCTTTCCCTTCCCCTTCCCCTTCTTCGCCCGGGCTTTGCTGCGAGGACCGCTGGCAGGACTCTTTTGCTTATCTGAGGCTGGGGCTGCAGCAGATAAGGTGTTGGCAATGGCACCAGCAGGCTTACAGAGTGGGAATTGGGAAAACAAACAAAGCTTATGCTTCGATCATTGGAGTATTTTGTATCTCAGAAAAAATACACAAATTAAAATGCCTAAGCTGTTGGGAGATCTGGTGCAAACATCTTTGAAACACTTAAAGACTAGTAACTCTTGCTTTCCAGCTCCACGCTTGAAATATAGGTGGTGAAATGATGAATTTACTCTCTTTTGATGAGACGCCAACTCACTGGCAAATTGTGTCCGTATACAAAGATGTGATTGCGAGCAATATCCACTCTGTTCCAGGCCAGAGCCAGGCTGAGCTGGTCAGCTGCCGAAGCGTTTGTGCCTAATGTGAAGAAAATGGGTGGGCAGAGAGAGAGAGGTAATGGTTGCATTTAAAAAAGAAATACTGCTGAGATATATTAGTGCGCAAACTGACGAGTTATTTAAGTTTAAATGCAGCCAGATGATGATAATACCTTTTAACAAGGCAGTAAGAATGGCCATTTCAATGTCTTGTTGTCCCTCAGAACCCATCCGAAAAACCGTGATCTACGTTTGGGGAAAAGAGAAAGACATGGCACAATCGCAGACATGGATTCATGTGAAATTATCATGGTAGGATGTTTCAGTAAAGGTCAATCTGTGCCTGAATGAATGTTTTCTCTCCCCGTTTCTGTAAACATGGATAGTCAACAAATGGAAGATTTCTTTTAGCAGGACTGAGCGGCTGACCCTCCAAGCACCAACTGCAAATTAACTTCTCAGACGGCATAATAGTGCTCTCCTTGTTACAGACAGGACTATATCAAATGAAATTATGCTGACTGGTCCATCACATGAGCAGCCATGGTAAATGAGATTAGGTTGGCATGAATGCGTGGCAGGGATCCAGATATTTCTGCGCTGGTCTTGGGATGCATCAACAATGAGTGACCATACAGACTTTAAACTCGTGTTGCTCTTTTAGAAAGCTGAAATGTATATTGTGTGTTTTTCGTTTTGCAAAAGTAAGACGGCTATGTCATGGTCCGCCACTACACCAGTGTTTTTATTTGTCTACCCAGCTGTTCACTAGGCATTTAGGATGAAAGGATTATTGTGGACTTGACAGCGACACTAATTCACCTGTAGGTTAGTCATCACACTTTAGATTAAGAGCAGGCTACGAAACTAGAGGCCTGGAAAGAGCTCGCACAACTTGGTGGTTCTGTCACTTTCTCTGGGTGGGGTATCAGTGAAAACTAAGAGGGATGGAAAAAAGCATGCAGCGGTGTGATCTTTGAAAATGCAGTTTAAGTTGCTTATCTAGCCGTGTTGGAGCATTAGGCGGTCTAATACATGGAGGATGCAGAGTCAGTGGGGAAGTGATAGCACTCAGGGGACTGAAAAAAGCGAGTGGAGAGACAGGAACCGGACTGAGGATTAGGGAGATGGATCCTCTCCTCCATCTGTGTGCTGCATGCTTACTGTGAATGGATGGAGTAAGAGCTCGGGCTAAGCAGGTGATAGTGTGCTGATCTTTCCCACCCAAATGTATGGAGTCTGGAGATTATACGTGCTGGATACTACAAACTACTAATCACATCACTTATGCTTGTGGAAATCTGATGGAGATGCAACAAATGCTGAACTAAAGACACTCCCGGCTCAAGGATTAATCCGCTATCAGTGAGGAATCTTAACAGAGTGTGTGGGCTTCATTACGCAGACATGATCTGTATTGTTTACACCAAAGTAAAGAGTTTAACACCGCAGATTTAGACACCCGGAGCCCTTTTACAGCTGTGTGATTATAGATGAAGGTGGATGATGTCCCACAGTGAAGCTGCAAATGTCCAGGATTAGATGACATACCAAACATGGCCGCAGTAAGGAAAAGTAATGACAAGCACGTTGTGAGGATTATGTTTATTCAACATGTTAATGGAAACACACAGATGAGTGGAATGGATGAATGATGATGGAGACCAGATGCTTCACAATTCAGAGTATTTATTGATTGACACAAACATTTTCAAACACAGGGGGGACACTTTAAGATATCTACACTATTTTATATACAGAGATTTCATTCTGATACTCACCAGTTCCCTCTTCTTCATGCACTCCATAACCATCAGCAGGATCTGCTGTGATTGGCTTTTGCTATAATTGAAAGTCTTCTGTATTGTCACCAAAAGTTGCTCTCTTACATCATCGTTGATCAGGCTGGAAGATGAGATGAAGATATAACATTTTAGATTTTTATCACATATCCTAAGTTGTCAAGTCCAGCATAGTGAAAAAACTCTCACCCTCCATCCTCTGAGAACTTGTGCGCAAAGGAAATGATGTCAGAAGCTCGGCCGCTGCCGTCGCACACCACCACAGGGACGGGTGGCTCGTCCCTCAGACTCTCCAGAACGATGGAGATGACATTTGGACCTCCCTCCACTATCAGACACACCAGAGGAACCCCCTGACCCAAACCTGGAACACAAAGCCAAGAAATTATGTCTTAGGCCATCTCTTTCCCTCCAACATCTAACAAGGTGATGTGATGCTCAACCAGACAAACCAGAAGGGGGGAGGAAGTGAAGTCAGTGGTGACAGCTGGGCATCCCTTTGCTGTCCCTGCCTTACTCGAGCCCCAGGCATAGGATGACAAAGGGAAGCCCACAGGTCACAGAGGAGCTCTTCATCCTCGTGTCGATCATGACTCTTGCTCACAAACACTGTGGAGGATGGAGTGGGTTTCATGACGTCTGCAGAGCACTTTGGCACTTACGGGTATTGATCTTCTGCAGCGAGATGTGCTTCTCCAACAGCCGACGAAATTTGACCTCCGAGCCGTACTTCCCACAGGTTCCATTGTCAGTCAGGATAAAATGGGAGTGGCTGTTGTTGAGCACGGCTAGCTTGCTCAGAGGGTTCGCCATCGTCTGGTAGGGTCTGGTCACCTTGGAAATTTAGAAGAACAAAGGTTGAAATACGTAAGTGGACGTATTTGTAACAAAGAGTCTTTGTTTTGGAAATTAGCACAGTGGTTAATCTCACATCTTTTCCAATGAGATCCTCTTTGTTTTCCAGAATACCCCATGGAGCAATTCCTATTGCGCACACCTTCCCACGTGACTTGGAGGAATGGTCTTTTAAGGCATCTCCAACATGTCGGATCACCCCTAAGGAGTTTAGAGAAAGGTAAATGTAACAACACTGTCTTCCTAATGGAACTCAGTCCCCAGCCACACAGACCGTCATTTGTGATGAATTTTTCCACAAAAGCTGTAATTACAGAGCTTAAACCTGTGACAATGGGTTAGTTAAATCTCCCTCCAGGAAATTGCAACACTCGTATTATGTAATACCAACTCAAAGGTAATCTTCTAATATCAAAAATTGTTTTGAGTGAAAATTTGACACGATTTTCCACTGAACTGAGTGTCCTACCTGTGTTGACTCCGCCTGTAAAGATCCAAGCTCCAGTGGTGACAGCAGCTTTGATCAGACCTTTGCCAAACACTTGCTTCAGCTTGGGCTGGAGGTCAAAGTTTTGGAGACCTCCGTGGACAGAGATGAGCAAAGTGGGCAACTCCAACTGCCAGTCCTTCACCATCAAATGGAGGAGGTTGTCAGGCTTGGTGTCGTAACTAACTCGGATATACTAGAAAAGAAAAAGAGGCGGCATTTTACTGGCCTGAACTTTTACATGTTTTCAACAGTGGGTGAGTTATAAACAGGCTCTTTGAGGCCACATGACACTCACTGACTTCCCCGTGTTGCTGTAACATGTGACAAAAAAAACAAGCTCTGTAAACACAGAAGTCATTTTTCAGAGCGGGAGACTCACCATGGCTTTGTTGATGAACCCTCCACCCTGAAACTCAGTTATGCCAAAGGCATCTGTTGGGTAGGTCCTGGTGTGCTTGATCACGCTCCATTTATCTTTTGGGGTGTCAATCTGCACCAGCGTTTCCTCTACTGAGTTGGCACCAGGAGGGATGGCCACATGCTGCGTCGTCAGCTGACCGCATGCACATCTACATAAATCACAGGACAAGAATCACCCTCAGTGAGCACATCTGTCCCGCGCTGTGTGCAGCTGCGTAACCTCATCCCTGACTTCTAAACTTTGGAAAACTGAATGCAGTAAACTATCCTGCATTAAAGAGGGTGTGAGCCAGGCAAAATGAGGGGTGCAAATCAAAGACTGCTGTTTAGTCTGCTCACACAGGCTATGTCACACCACACTCTTCATGACTGCACCCATTTCTGGGAAATCTATGCCTCAGTGATCAAAGTACCGAGCTGCCTGGCTGCTCTCAGCCTGTTGTTGGGACTGTATGGTCACTATTCACACAGAAAAATCCTCTATTATTCTGACTCAAGTCTAAAAAGTTAGAAACTTTTATCAACAAGTGACCAAATTTGGCAGAACTTTTTTAAATAATGAGTTTGGATTCATTTTCTAGTTTTTAAATTTTAGCATACAAGATAAAAACACAGCAACCCAAGACAATTTGAGAACAAAATGCTCTTAATCACAATTGAAATGATCATTTAAGGATATTAGTTACCTGGTGGGGTCCTTGCTGGGGAATATGTGAATACATTCTCTTTTGAAAAAGTTCCTCTCAACCCAAGCTTTTTGTGCCTGTAAGAGAAAAATAGAAAATGATAATAGAAACCTACATAGTGATATAAACACAGTCACAGGAAGATCATCTAAATGTGGGTTTCACGAACAGACTGCTCTTAGTAATAGTCTGTTTTAAAAGAGAGCGAAGAAACTCAGTGAGCGGGGAAGAAAAAGTTCACAGTCAGGAAATAAAATGTGTTTTATTTTGTCTATTGGAGCGACAAAATCGTTGCTCATAGTCCTGTAAAAGTATCTACTGTATGTTTTGTTATTCGAGAGTTCATGTCCAGGAAAGAGAATTAGACACCTTACATTGTCAACTGAAGCTTCATAATTGTGTCCAGCTTTGATTAGTGTCTGATGTTTTTTCAGTGCTGAACCAAAGTGACCTAAGTTCAAAGCAAACTTTTGTCTGTGGGTCACTCATGACAGCGATGGCCCAATTAAAAGTGAAGCTTTGGAAGCAAATCTTTACAGAAAAGAAGAAAAGACTCAGCACTGAAAGATAAAATACACATTTAAATACGTAAAAATGTAGGTTTATTTATTCCATAACTCTCGAATTATACAAGTAGGAGTTAAAGATCGGAAATAAATTCAAACATAGTTTCTTTTTGGGCTGTTATGTCCAAAACATAGGGAAGTTTTGGTTCTCTCTCTCTCTCTCTCTCTCTCTCTCTCTCTCTCTCTCTCTCTCTCTCTCGCTATTTTTATCTACCCCTCAGTTAGTCAGCAGAATGACTAAAACATTTGCACAAACTATCTTTGACTTTATTTTGTGTTCTGAATAAAAAGAAGAAAAAACATTAATTACAAAAAAACATCTTTAGGTTCTTTTAAGTTCTCCAAAAACACTCAGTTAATGTGAATACTATTCATTCTGTGAGGAACTTGACACTAACTTTGTTGTTTCTACATTTTTAATGATGCCCATGCAATCATTTCATTTGATCAGATAGATTATTTTATTAAGCAACAGTCTCTTAGTCGTTAACTTCTTTATAATTGAAACATAAACACTTGTTTAATTAAACTTTTTTGATTTTTTGGTTTTAATCAGTCGAGCTGCAACATTTTTATCTCTTCACTGTTTTTATATTTAATGAAAACCAATGATCATTCGCTACAGCAACGGCCTGATATTTTCCACCAGACTCCGTGAGATGTCCAAATCATCAATGTCGTCATGACTTGGTTGGAACGGTAAAATTAATAACTAATCATCTGTTAAAATAATAAAGTTAGGTAGCATTTGCATTTCCTTCCATGTGATAACAAAGTCGAGTGAGAGGTAAAGAAAATATGGGTGAGTTTATGATGAGTTTATCAAAATTACAAACACTTTGAGGAAATTTTTGGCATAATTTCTATCATCTTTTTCATTAAGAAGTTATTTCTCCTATTATTTTTATGTGTCTCATCTCAGCTCTTTTCCAACTTGCTGTAATTACACATCATTCAGCACGATGAGCTCTCACACTCCTGCCTGTTTACATCCTTAAACTCTAAATTTGACATATTTGTCCTGCATCCAGCCCACTCTGTAATATCAAAATATTAATATGATAAAACCAGGAAATGAAAGAAAGAGCTGCCACCACAGAATATAGATACACTTACAAACAATCTTCTGTCCGGGCTGCAGAGTCCTGTCTGAAATGCTGTCGCAGTTTAAACCTAGAAAGCGGAGGGGACGTCTCCAGCCTGCTGCTTCTCTATTAGACCTCTCCTCTGGTGCTGCTCTCCCGCTCGAGTGCTCTCATTGAATCCCACAGGACATGAAACTTCTTCACTTTATGAGGGCCCGTTAATATGATAAGCATGTGAGCAGGGTCTTTGTTCGCCCAAGTCTCATGACTCCAGTTCAAGGTAATCCTTTTGGGAGTCCCATGACTCCCTCTCCATGCCCACTGGGTATTTTCATCCTTCGCTTGAACAAGGCACAATAAATCTACTTTGATAAGCGGCCCCTAATCTCCCAATTTGTTGAAAACTCTTTTGTGTTCACTTCACAGTGTGGAAGATCTTAGCTCGTGTGAGAAGCCTGAGCAGAGCCGCTGAACTAAAAGCACTGCAGAGTCCATCAGAGGCTCCCCAACTTTTCATTTGAACCCCCCCTCCCCTCCAAACTACTTTGATTTCAACTCTATTTGCATAATTGAGAGAATTGGATGCAGGCATTCTCCTGGAAGGTGCCTTGTTAAGACATGACTGGTCTCCAGTATGGGGCAAGGTCAGTCAATGCTAATTGCAGTTAATCTTTATTTCCACCCACCATGTTTTTGTGGAGAAAAGAAAACTCAGCAGACCAGCTTTTCAGGAGCTCGAGTCCTGCGTTTGAGTTTGAGTCATGTTCAGAGGATTTACATTTTAAGACAATTGTGATTTTCTACAGTGAACATCCTGAAAGAGGATTGAAAAATCAGCATTTCCATCAATTCACTCTATAGATTAAAAAGAAAATCATGATGTTTAAATGTTGTAAAGTTAAGAGTGACTCATTTTTACCATACATGTTTGAGGTAGTTTTGCTTAAACCAAAGTGATAAACTGTTTCAATGAAGGATTTTATGCCTGAGCTTAAAGCTGAGATGGTGTTAACAAGCAGAGAGATGTAGACGCTCATTGGAAACCTTCCTCATGAGAAAAGGCTCGAGAAGCTGTCCTTTTATGGATGAAGTGAGCAGTTTGAGCCTGACTGTAACTCGCAGAAAAAGACAAATGAGGTTGATGGTTGATGACTCAGAGAGACAGAGAGAAAGAAAGAAAGAAAGAAAGAAAGAAGAAAGAGAGGCCAAACACCCCCTCCCCATTTCCAGCTTCCCTCCTTTTTAGCCCTTTAGAAAAAAAAAAAACGCACGTGGGCTGCTGTTAATTATAGCTGAGGCAAACAAAGTGCATTTCCAGAAGGGGTTTGGTGAGTTATGACGCAGTTATTTCAGCGTACTTAAACTCATTAACCAGAGCAATTAAAAGCAAAATCCAGTCAGCAACCAGCTGCCTCGTTAAGCGCCGTATTTCAGCACTTTAACAACAGAAAAAAAAAAAAAAAAAAAAAAAAACCTTGAAGAATTAAACAGTGCAGGATCAGATTGGGTCACACTGGGCAAATTAATGAGATTTAAGACAAGCCTCAGTACAAAAAACAACATTCTTTCCAAAGTGCAGAATTTGATTCGATTCAAACAAAAGACAGTTGTGTTTGGTGGAAATAACACTTCAGTCACTCTGAACAGGACACAGACAGTGTAAATAAATCCTCTTTATGTAGGATGTATAAAGATTTTAGCACATTTTCAGCTAGATCAAGCTCTAATATTTTGCTATCTCACTTAAACTATATGCAACACATTCTTTCTTTTCTGCACTGGCATCACATGGGCCTGGTCTCCTGACCTCCAGCTCCCTTAGATAGAGATCACAGCAGATTTCACAGTGCTGCTACAATCAAACAAAGCCAGAACACACATGAGGAGAAAGTCAAATTGTCCATGTTTCTGTATTTCTGAGTGTAAATGAACACTGTCGGATGGTTTATGGAGGTTATCTGTAGAAAGAATCTCATTACGAAGAACCTCTCTTATTCTAAATATTGAACCAGCAAGTGGATTCACACAACAAAAGCACCATCAGCACAAGTGAGATGGATCAGAAAGGATTTGGGGGTCCTAATGGAATGTGATGGACTGTGTTGTCACCAGCCTTGAAAATAAAAGCTACTAATTGCTCAGCTTTAGCACTGAATGGCTGTGCCGTTAGAGCCTCATGCAATGTGACAGGAAGGAAACCCATGTAGATTCCTTTACTGTCTAAAAAAGAAAAAAAGTCAGACTCATGTTCGATCCCACGTGGACTGAATAAAAAGCAACCTTTTACACATTTCCACTGGAGGGAAAAAGATATTTCGGACAAAGCGACACACTTTGAGTCGCAGGCCCTGGAAAGGCGATTTTTGCATTAACTGTGAAGCTAACTGTTTTCCTTCAGCCCTGTTTGTAAATGCTCTCATTGTGCTCCTGGGTTTGAAAATCCATTTAGCCATCACGAGTCCAACATGTCGCTGATTATCCCCAACAGTTGAGGCGGTCACAAGACGGGTTTTGACTGCAGTTTTTCTGTGTTTTTGACCCCAAAAAAAGTCTAGCTGAAAAAGGGAATAAAGTGCAAAGAAGAAGAATGATTTTAAAAGCTCCTGCGAACACCAAAATACAGTTTTTAAACTGTTTTTTTGTGTTGTGGAGAAGAAGCAATTCTCACATTTTAATGAATGTAGATCTCACAAAAATATATAGCATGTTTTGACAGGGATTTGACATATTATATCTACATTATACTGTATATTATGTTAGTAAACAGTTCTGATCTGCAGAAGAAATATAGAGTTGCTCTCTAACAATATAAACAGTGTTGGATATATTAGTTTGCTTTTAATATCATCTTTAAGGAGAAAAGTTTAATCTAAATCTGTCTATAAATGAGGCGAATAAACCAAAATACATTTTAATTTGAGTAAAGAGGAACAATTTTCCTTTTGTTGACATCTTCTCCCTTTAACTTTGATCGCCTTCAGCAGAAGAAGCCTGCTGCTGACCCCTCTGAGACAGAAGAGCTCCATCCTGACCTGGGCCTTGAAGGCTTTTGAGAAGTCTTGACTCTCACCTGACCTGAGCCTGATGATCACACAGTCATAGGATCTTTAAAACCCCTGACACAAACTGGTGGAGTATATATTTGTTCAATAAATAACTTGTGTACATTTTTAGATTTCAGATGACTAAGATTTTTTTTAAAGATAGAAACATAAAATACTCTGATTATTTCTCAATGGCTTAGAGGTGTATTCAAGCGATTTCTTCCCTACAGCAGGGAGATACTAATTCTCAGAAAAAGAGGTAAAAGGTCAGCGAAGGCAGCTTGTTTACTGATGAATAGTGTAATCTATAATCTGTGTACATCTGTGTCGACTGGCACAGATGTACAGGAATTCTTCTCTTAATTGATTTAAGGCAACAAGTTAATACCATGTGAAAATATTTAAACTGAATGTGCTCTCTGTTAGAGGATCTTGCTTAAGGTCCTTTACCCCAATTCATCCAAACAGACAAGAAATGCTGCTTTGTGGTTTACAAAAAAAAAAAAGAACCCTTTATAAACCACTGTACATCATTAAGAATAGCTCAGATAAATCCCTGATTTACGCTGATAACGTGGTAAAAATGCATGATCGGTAAATGAAAACAAGCGCAGTGTTATCTCTCAGCAATCTGCTCTGTGCGGCCAATGAGTTTATATTTAGCAACATATCTGATCTCATTAAAAGTGTGGCGGTGTTCAGCTGAGAGCCACGAGCATCGCTGATTGCTTCAGCGAGTAAAAGCTCATATAAAAAAGGGCCGTGGATTATTCCAAGAATATTAATCTCGCTAAATAATACCCGCTGTAATTTATAGAAACCCATCACTCTGGAGTCTGTTAATGGCGTTAGTGTCAGATATACTGTTGGTTCATAGGTCTACACCAGGAGTCGGCCTGCGGGATTAAGCAACATTATAGAAATGTTGTCAATCTGTTAAAAATGTACCCTGACTGGAACATTTTGATTTTAGAAGTGGATATATAATCCACAAAAATCAATATACATTAGGTCGCCCTCTATGTTCCCATCATATCACTCATTTTATTGAAAATGTTTAATGTGTTTATCATTTATCATAAAACGCTTTCACAACACTCTTTCTCTCCTCAATTTTTAAACTGTTTTCAACATTCACCTGAACTCACAATCATAGCAGTCATATGGTTTTTGCTTTAATCCCAGCACACACACACACACACACATACACACACACTGCCTGTTGGATTGGGAGCAGTGGCATGCACGTGTATAAAAAGGACATCTTCAAGCTTTCAAGGACATGTTATCAAGAGTGTTAATCACATGAAAGCAGACTTTGGAAACATATAAAAGTCCATAATCTGTCATGGCTGTGGTCATCCATACTGGGCCATTACAGAGGATTAAACTGCTTCAGACATCACTTAACGGTAAGTTTAAGTATGAGCTATGAGTCCAGGCCATGTGCTCCACCAGTATACAGCCAGCAGCCATGAATGGTGCATGTTAGGCTGGACAAAGAGGCTCTAAAGTGATTGGTTAGGAGCTGGTGTGGACTCTGACCAGCTCACAGTAATAGTTCCATGTGACAGAGTCAACCTCACAACAGTCATTTTTGAGTTTTTGAGAAAGCAGCTGAAATGTTCTTGTTTCAATTCTATTACAAAAAAGCTCACTGAACCCCAAAAAAACATACTTTTTCATGACTACCTCAAACACGATTCGAGAGTGAAGATTTTCTGTCACTAATTTAGGACAAATGAAAACACTCAAATCCAGATTCATCTCAATCACCTGTTGCATGTGACACAAATGCCTTCGTCTTACCTTCTGCGAGCCAGATGTGCTGCGTTTGAGGGATGACCGTTTGAAAGTGGCGCCCGGGCCTTTGGGGTCCATGATGAAGATTTTGAGTTCAAGCCAAACCGACTCAGAAAAGGATCCTTCAAGACTTGCAGCAGGTCAGGTTTCAGCATCAGCATTAGAGTCATACAGAAACTAAGATACTAACTGCAAAACCACGGCATGACCGTCACTATGATTCAGTTTTAAAAGAAAATCACAACTTTCACGTCATTGAGGGTCTCAGTTCTTCTCTCTTCTCTCTGCAGCTTGCAACCGACTGACAAGACAGAGATCCACGCTGGGGATATAAATCACTCGATGACACACTTGACACATAGACCCTTTCCTCTGCCTGGCATCCCATAATCAGGCTTAATGCAGCCGGCTCTTATGAAGCCTCAGAGTCTAATGGATAGAGATTTAATAAATGGTTATTGGAGGTAAATCTACTCTGGCACACCACAACCCCCTAAAAAAGCTTACAGGGACCAGACAAGCTGTGAGGCTAAAGTCAGCATGTGGAAAGCCAAAGGTTGTCTTGCTAGATGAGACTCATTGTGTCTGACAGGAAAGTCGAGGGAGTCTCATCAGGGTGCAGACAGATAGGTATGCACATATAAACAGAGTGATGCAGTGGCAGCAACTCAGTGAGCACTAATCTCAACCTGGTCAGAGCCAAAGGAGGTATATTTTCTAGACCATTATTTAAAGCTGCAAACTTTCTACCGACCACTGTTGTAAAACTCATCCAAAGTGATCCTTAAACCAGGACTACAAGATTAAAGGTTCGATCATTACAGCCTGGATTTAAACTATTAATTTAAACTTTTATTTCCATTTGATTAAAACATCTAGAATCTCTCTCACAAAGTATCCTCACGCTATAGATTTAAGCCGGCCTGATTTTGAAAAATATTAGGAGTTTGGCCCGTTATATCACCAACAAAACTTTTAAAGATGAAACTATCAAAGCTGGTTTTGACCCACAGTGATTGGTAAGAGCATATATTTTGCTATTCATAACTAGAGCCAAAAAAGATGAACACAGAGACATTAACAAGAACCGTGGCTGGTCTGCACAGTCATCATGACTCCTGCTCTATTGCGCCAGACACAAACTGTGATGTTGAATGACTTGGAATTAAAATCTGAGAGTATAATCTATGTGCTGTCTTAATCAAGGACTTTAACATGATATATGGAAGGAACACAGTGCACAAGTTTTATATAGACGTTATCTTTTTCTCCCAACAAATAGAGAATCAGAGCTACAGATGTTCAAGACTGAAGTTTATGTGTGGTAAAGATACAAATAATATCCAACAGCTCCCTCTGCTGGATGTTTGTAGGGGCTTACAGGAGGAAACAACACTGATGTCAAGACCAGCCTAGTCTCAAAGCAATACAACCATTCCCAAGATATGCATCCATATATAAATGTCCATATAAAAGACATCTTTAATTGGATGCCAGCAACATGTTTCAAAAGTTTTATTACGAGATCATGTTTACTATTGTGTTGCATTACTTCTTTGATAACAACACTGTGTAAACACCAAGAGACTAAAGTTTTAAAGGTGAAATATTGTGAGTGTTCACAGACAGTGTTTTTTTAGAGATGATTTTGAGCCCAAGCAGTGATTTCATGTCTTTTATTAAGGGTGAATTATTTAATCAGTCTAAAATCGCTCATGCAGTCTCTCACAGAGTGATGAACCTTTTTACAATTTCACTTTTGAGAGACTCAGCCTCTGCAAAATACACTTTTTACAGCCGATCATGTTACTAGCATATTGCAAATCAACCTCAGTAGTTGGGAAATGTTGTTTCAGTTAATGTTGTCTCTGTCCCTGCTTTTTTAAAAATCGGTAATGAGCATTAACTTTAAAAGAATGTGAAAAAAGCGCAGCCCTGCACTGTTTTTTTTTTTTTTACAATAAAACTCTCCAGTAATTATAATTAATATAATAATGAATAATTATATGGAAGCTTAAAGGACGTTTCTCTGTGGACCCCAGACTACATCAGGATCAGTAATGTGCTAACCCCATTATCAGTTCAAGAAGTATTTTCCGTCCTGTCCTGTTCACACCTGAGTATCATTCACAGCCTTACCTGTTTTGGTCAGAGAAGATGGTGGAATGGGTCCTGCTTTTACTTCCAATTTTGCAGAATCTTAAACACAACAAATATCCGAGTTCATGGTTGTGTTTTGAAGTTTTTTCTCCTCTACTATGCTCCAGTTATGTGCCTCTGTGTCGATTGTTGCTAAGACTGGATAATGCCTAAGTTCTCGTGTAAGCAGACACAAATGAGCTTTATCATCTTCTGGATGTGTCAGCGAGGGAGATTATTTCCATCTAGAGGAAGGCAGTACACTGAAAGGAGAGAAAACTATGAACATTGCTTTTAAAGTGGCTTTTTTTTTTCAAAGAAAATTATGTTTAAGACTTGCACATGAAAGTGAACATGTTCAGAAATCAGTGTGAGTCTGATAGGACTCAAATACTATAGGATAAGGGTATAAAAACATGTTTTGGTAAAAAATTATTATTCTTTAGACATGTTTACAATTAATTGATATCATTTATCATTGTCATCAAGAGTGCTTTCAGTATTAGGATAACCTCTATGGCGAAACAACTGTAATTTCTGTATTCAAAATATAACTTTGATAACTTAGACAACTGGATGCAGCTGTGAAGCACAATCGAACAGAGTATTCCTTTATTTCGGCTTGATGTCATCATATGAATGTTTCTGGTTTTACAGGTGAATTAAGTATATTGTTAAAAAGTCACTGTCTATGATTGTCTCTTGCTGAAGTAACCCCCCAAAAAGAAGAGTAAAACACAGCCCTACCTTTATTATTTTCATGGTGCCACTCTTACCTTTCAAGCATATTACAAAGGGGAAACCAGGGATGGTCGTTACTTGGGGAGGCATGTAAGGCAACGCCACCGTTTCCACCAATCAGGGATAGCAGAGGAGTCTCATGACCACTTCAGTGTTTCCCCTATCTCTCTCCCTGATACCACATGTTGTTATTTTAGGCTGGGAGCAGCTGCATCCTTGTGTTGAAATATCAAAGTAGATTTATTGATAAAGACTATATTTTGGTTTGTACTTATACTATTGCCAGTAGAATCATGTGACTTTTTTTTGGATTTAACTTCCTCAGGCAAAATATTATGAATTCTTCTCTGTCTGTCTCCAAACTACGGTACTAATACAGCTATCGAGACACTGGGTTGTGACACATCTGGAATTATTTTACAAGCATTCCCTTTAATTACTCCTCATTACAATTTATTAATTTGAATGTTTTTTAATGATACTATCATGTAAAAGAAAGACTGACAGAGGTGTGCCTGATATTGTTTGAAAAAAGCATCTAAGGAGGTGACAAAGAATAACAAGTCTGACTACTGTCTAACACATCCTGTATATGGAGGCAAGTTATAATGATCAAAACTCTAATAAATCAAAATTAATTTGACCATTACTAATTCTAATCATGCACTAAATGCTCACACAGTATTCACTGCATCCTACGCAACTTGCTGGTTTTATGCCAAGTTACACAGCATCATCAAACACTTATTATTTTTATACAGTTATGTAGTTATTAAAACATATATTTATTTATGTAATTGTCAAGACACGTTGTTTATGTGGACTGCGGTAGTTTATTCCTCCCAAACACATTCACTCACACTTCTGAGTCAGCGAGAACGCAGTTTCATCACTTATGGTCATCTCTGTTTTTGCACCTTTGGACTATATGTCACCCCAGTGTGTGTACCAACCTACATCAGTGTTGGGTAAGGCTGCAATAAAGGAACACCCTGTTTTTTCGCATCAACTCACAAGATTTATGACTCTCTTGCACTCTCTTGGATTAAACACATTTCTTTTGTAGTAAACATATCAACTCATTTACTTCATATCAAATTTTGGAAACTCTTGTTCAGTTTTTCAGTAAGTTACAGGTGCTGAAGTGAAAAGTGTTCCAACCATCCCCGGTCTCCTTTTATAAGTACAGTAAACTAACTTGTAGTTTGATATTATTTTTTTTTAATGTTTCATGACTGCAGAATTCAGATGATTTATATTATGTAACAGGCTGTGAGGTATTGCCCACCTCTAAGTGTATTATTTGATGTTGATATAGTCTTTTCACAAGCAGTAGGTAATATTTAAAGTATATCCAATCTGCCACAGATGGATTGCAGAGGCTGGTATTGTCAAAAAATAGTCTATCAGCGAGTCCGCCAAACACTAACAAGTATTCATGTGACTATTTGCTGTTATTAACCTCACTTGCATGACTAATATGACTCCAGTGGCAGTGTATCATCCTGAAGAACACCATGTACCACAAACCCCTCAGGACACAGGTGTTCTCAGAGCAGAGAGATTTTAAAATCAGCCACAAGAGGGCGCCCTGATATTTTCTTTGTCCATGTCCTCAACCACAGTGTTTTTAACAAACACTTCAAGTCTGTCGGGTTGTCTCACATGTTACCTGCCTGTCATGTCTGTCAGATATAAATCACAAATGTGCTTTCCTTTTTTTAACTTCTTATTGAATTGGAAATTCCTGATTTATGTCCCGCTTAATTTTCCCTTAGTTGTTTTGTCTTGTAATTTGTGAACGTCTCGTAGGGCTAATATCTTTAGTTAAGCCATATGGGAGAAAGCCAACAGCTGGAAAGCAGGTTAGAGTGAAACGACTTCCACATGTGATACTGGGGAGGGGGGAGACTCCATTCAAGTAAGAATATGTGTTTCACTTTGAGCACTCAGCTGTGCTGATCAAGTACTCTTAGTAGTTACAACCCCCCCAGTTCAGGACACAAAAACACTGAATGTATAGAACCGGAGCAGCCGTGTCTTCTTGTCTGAGTGTGTGCGAGCACTAATGCATATCAAAGTGATCTACAGTGACATGCAGCCAGGAAACAATAAAGTTTAGTGTTTTTGAATTACCATTGTTCCTCCTGGTCACAGGGGGGAAACAGGCTCCTCCTCTCTCACCTGAGACCTCTGTG